ACAAGCTGCGGTGTGGTGATGGCCTCGTATGTCAAATATTCCACCGCAGATCACCGACCTACTTGCACAACTAGCAGATTACGGAGTCCGCTTCAACAACCACGATGCTCTGTTCATGTCTCAGCCGACGCCGGTTGATGAGGAACTGCGCATGATGGCAGTGTGCCTGGCGTACTTCAAGGTACGTGGTTTGCCGTACGCATCTTGCCGTGCATCGTTAGGCCCTGGCTGCGGCCGAATGCAGGAAACCAGATTGCACTTACGCGGGCACGTTGATGCTTTAAGGGCGTAAGGCACATGGCCTTCATACAAGCTTCCAAGGCAAGCCATGTCATCGCTCTTCCTCTTGCCTTTGTCGTGATGATTACCGTACATGTCGTACATCATGCGTGCCGTACTGTACTGCAGGTGACCTTCAAGCGTGTGCAGGACGGGGTGCCCATGCTCATCCGCAACACCCTGCTGCGGCGCCTGGCGGACCGGCAGGCCTTCGAGGCGGCCATCATGCGGCAGCTGGGGATGGGCGGAGGGGGAGGGGAAGGGGCGGCTGCTGAGGGCCTGCCGCACGAGAATGTGGCCGAAGGTAGGAGGCCAGGAGTGACCCTACCTCAGGGTGGTGTGTAGCGTTTGCGCCCGTACTTTGATGCAGCGTCTTGTATCCTGCATCGGTATGGTACTGCTGGTTTTAGGATATCACCACTTCACCAGACCTACGATCTGCGTCCAGCTGCCAAGCTGTTGTGGTCTGCTGTTGTCGCAAGGCACTAGCGCTACCTACTGTCCTTGCAACACTCTCCTCGTGAAAGGCATGGTCGGCATCCTTCGCATGGCCATCCCGCACAATCGCCCACAAAGTCGCAATCAACCACCCTTACCAAGCGACACGCCGTATGCCCCTTCCATGCGCAGTTGCGCGGGTGCTGCTGGCCGAGGACGAGGCGGTGGCGGCTCGCCGCACGCAGCGGGCGGACATGGTGCGGCGGCTCAAGGAGGCGCTGGCGGTGCTGCACAGCCCGGACGCGCAGGTGTAGGGAGGTGTAGGCAGGCAGGGGGAAAGCACCACGGGCAGGGAAACACGGTGAAGGGAAACACCGTCGGCGAGCGGAAGAAGGTATGATGGTGGGTACAATTGAGGTCGCTTTGCGCGTGAAATTTAAGTTTTGGCCTTGAACCGCCGAAACAGCTCGGCTGCGCGGGTGTGAGCGTGCGCGGGTGTTAGCGTGCGAGGTTTATAGGAGAAGCAACGCGAGGTACGTAAGGTCGCGCAATGCTACCGTGTGGCCGCGAGTGAGGGGGTGGGGGGTGCGGGTATATGTACCTCCATGGGTTTCGGACTGAGTGAGGCCGCTCCCAGGTGGCATAGCAGGTGTCTACCTAGGGTAAAGTAAGGGGTTGTTGAAGCGGAACTCCGCACCCTGGGGAAGTGCCATGTGTCCGTGGCAGCGTGTACGTGCGAGGGCGGAGGTGATGAGCGGGTTATGGCAGATGCGTCGTGGGTTGGTGGACGTCACGTGAGCGATCCTGCTTTCAGCATTTATGATGCGGGAGCCTTGTGATCATCGTGACGTGCGTGGTGCTCCATGTATGTATATGGTGCTTACGAACTCGTGGTTTACCAGGATGTGCAACATTTGTTATGTTATCAAACATTTGCTATATCATCTTCAACTTTTGGGTTGCTCTCTGCGAAATCCTAATGGGTTGCAATCAAACACAGCGTACCGGATGTGTGAGCGGTTGACTTGGACAATTAGCGGACGTACGTCTTTGTGCAGGTGACCCATGGGTCGGCCAGTGAGCTTATGTGCGGGGAGATTACCACTCACGAGCACGATTCCGACGACAGTTACCGTAGTGTTGTATGCCAGAACGGTCCTATGTGAGTGTTCCTAACAGGCTATCTTGCTGTCTATGAGGGAAAGCTTGTGAGCTCACTTTTCTTGGGCAGTTCGTCTGGGGGAACATGTGCCTCCTGTTTGCATTCGCGGAACACCAAGTGTGAACAAATAGCTCGGAACGTGCAGTTTACAGGCCGGGATTGGTTAGGTGTTAGCAGCTCACACGGGTCTGCACTATTTCCGCACGCAGGCTCCAGGGTTTCCGTTGGCTTCCTTGCTTTCCGTGCCACAGCTGTTGTGCTTGCGGGCGCAGTATCCACAGCACTGGGGGAGTCGGTAGGATGGTAGGTCAGGCGGTGGCTGGGATGTGGCTGCAGCTGGCTGGTAGGGCTTGGACGCGCACAGGCGCGCATCGGATAACAACAGCCTCCAAGCGGGTGTAAGACTTACTTAGCGATACAGGAGAGTAATGACTTACTTCGCCATCGCTGTGTGAAAGCTTATGAGCACGCGAAGGCGAGCATGTGGTTACAGCATGCTACAACACAGGGAGTTCACTCCGCACGGCAGTTGAAGCTCTCGCTGCCCGCCTGCTGCAGCCAGGCGCGCAGGCAGGCCAGGTGGAAGATGTGGCCGCAGGGCAGCTGCTTTCCCACCGACCCGATCTCCTCCATGCAAATGGTGCAGTCGAAGGAGGAAGAATGGGCTGCTGCGGCTGCTGCTGCAGCATCGGTGCCGGCCCCGGCGGCTGCCACTGCTGCAGCCACAGCCGCAGCCAGCTGACACCCAACAAAAGGACCTGCAAGCCCCCTTTCGACCAAGCAACCACTTTTCGGGCAGACATCTTGCCTCCACGGCGCCTGCATCCCCCTTCCCTTCCCTTCCCGTGCAGTGTCTGTCTTCCCCTACCCTTTTGCATGCGGCGCCTTCCTCATCGCTCCCCTTCCCACTGCGGCGCCTGCCTCCCCTCGGGCAGGCAGGAATTGGTGATGACGGTGATGCAACACATGGTGGAACCATGTCGCATGGCTGCCCTTCCGCTTTATCCCCTTGCAGGCATCCAGGACGCCCCGGCCTACGGTCCAGGCGGGCGTCCCTGCAATCAACAGACGTCCCTGCGATTTGCCAAAGGACTAGCGCTCATGCGCGCTATCATCCCCGTCCTTCCCGAGCTCAGATGTCCGCAGGCTTACCAGCTGTACGGCCCGAATGCTGCTGCTGGCGCCTGCTGTGTGCATGCCGTGTCCTTTCCTGCCGAAATACTGTTGCCTGTGCAAGCAGGCCTCCCCGATTCGCCAGACCGCCGGTGCCATGCAAGCAAGCAAGCAGGCATGCCCGCACTGTTCAACTACGATGTTAAATGGCTCCGAGTCGAGGCGCGCCTGCTGCCCCCAGCATGCCTGCTCTGTCCGAGTTATCTTGGCACTCACCCATGCGGGCATGCATGCATGGCTGCCCATTGGTGCATGTTGTGTGTCCACCCTTGCCAACTAGCTACCGGCGACTGTATGTGCACTACCGGTACTTGTGCAGACATCACTCCCTGCTCAGTCACCACCAGCGCCCAAGATGTGCAGCAACAAACCTGTGGAAGTGCGATTCCATTAACACCATCTCACTGGTCGGCCGCACACTTTCCCGAACTTAACCGCGCATCCAGGTTTCACCAGTGGCAAGAGAACCTTCAGGATGGGCACATGCCTTTCCTGGAGCATCTCACGAGTGCTTACTCAAGAAGCGCTTGAATTGGATTTAATATATGCCCAACCGCTGCAACGGGGGGTATCAGTCTTCCAGATGTATGTGAAATGCCCCAAAGGAACACCCTGGGCCCACAACTTCCCCACTATTTACCACAACCCAAGCAACGAAATTGACAAGGTGCAACGAGATCGACCCATGGGTCCTTCACCTGCACAAACGATGTCGGCCATTTGCTAGCTCCCTTGGGTCATGCTACCATCCATCCTCAACACCCTAAATGCAATCCTGCTACACTTACGACTTTACTCAGCGCCAGCAAAACCCTAAAGATCACAAAACAACTCGCAAAGGTGTATGTTTTGCAACTTGGAGCTCACTTCATAAAACATAATGCATGGATTAACACCTGTGTTGTGATGTCCACAAAACCACCGCATCACACATATGAAAGCAGCATCCCTCTCCTTCATCCGTTACCCACCGCAAACCTGCCGTGCGAACTCCCCAACCCTCTCAACGCATCATCACCGCCGCACAGGCTGTCACGGACACGTGGTACGTCCCCTTCCACGCCGGCCTCCCTACACCTGCGCGTCCGGGCTGTGCAGCACCGCCAGCGCCTCCTTGAGCCGCCGCACCATGTCCGCCCGCTGCGTGCGGCGCGCCGCCACCGCCTCGTCCTCGGCCAGCAGCACCCGCGCAACTGGGCATGGGAGGGGCATACGGCGTGTCGCTTGGTAAGGGTGATCGATCGCGACTTTGTGGGCGATTGTGCGGGATGGCCATGCAAAGGAGGCCGACCATGGCTTTCCCCAGGAGAGTGTTGCCAGGACGGTAGATAGCACTAGTGCCTTGCGACAACAGCAGACCACAACAGCTTGGCAGCGAGACGCAGATCGTAGGGACTGGCAGTAACATCCTAAACCTCCAGTACTCATGCAGGATACAAGGCTCTGCAGCAAAATACGGACGGACCAAACCAGCATTGTAAGTTAGGTTCACTCCTGGCCTCTTACCTTCTGCCGCATTCTCGTGCGGCAGGCCCTCAGCAGCCGTCCCTTCCCCTCCCCCTCCGCCCATCCCCAGTTGCTGCATGATGGCCGCCTCGAAGGCCTGCCGGTCTGCCAGGCGCCGAAGCAGCGTGTTGCGGATGAGCATGGGCACCCCGTCCTGCACGCGCTTGAAGGCCACCTGCAGAACAGTACGGCACGCATGATGTACGACATGTACGGTAATCAACACGACAAAGCCAAGAGGATGAGCGACGGCATGGCTTGTCATAGAAGCAGTATGAAGGCCATGTGCCTTACGCCCTATAAGCAGTAACGTGCCCGTGCAAGTGCAATCTGGTTTCCTGCATTCAGCCGCAGCCAGGACCTAACAATGCACGGCAAGATGCGTACCGCAAACCACGTACCTTGAAGTACGCCAGGCATGCTGCCATCATGCGCAGTTCCTCATCGACCGGCGTCGGCTGAGCCATGAACAGATCATCGTGGTTGGTGAAGCGAACTCCGTAACCCGATAATTGTGCAAGTAGGTTGGTGATCTGCGGTATATTTTGTTTGGTGTGAAATGTGAAGCCATCACACACACACACCACAGCTTGTAGCAGAATGGAAGTTGCATGCAAGCGATCACGATTGGAGGATGGCCACATACAATCCGGCTACTCGCAGATGCATGCTGTCATGTGTCCCCAACTAACTAAGGCGCAATAACAAGCATTAATTTTTGGGATGGCAAGAGGCGTAACGCCTGGCAACATGCATCGTATGCAGGGTCAGTGTCCGTTCTGTGACTCAGGAGACTAGTGAACATGGGCTTACCTCCCGCTTCTCGTCAGGGCCCCACGCCGGAGGTCGGAGGTACGCCCGCTTCAGGCGGCCCAGGAAGGTCGTGAACTGGTCCTTCAGGTAGTGGTCGTTGAGGGTGAAGGTGTCGTACTCCTCCATGTCCATCAGGCTGGAGATGCCGCGTTCCGTCTCGGCAGAGAGGTCCTCAATGTAGTCGGAGAGCGCCATGCTGTGTGAAGGCAGCAGGTCAGGGTAGGCAGGGACACGACAGGTGAGGAATCCGCCATGGAACTGGAACATGGACAGCGCTTTGTGCTATTTGCACGTTGCAGGGGCTTTGCCCGCTATACAGGGGCCATGCAAGTGATGGCATGGTGAACGAGGAGGTGCACGACCCATGGATCACAAGCGTTGAGCGATTGCTCAAGTCCCCAGAAGCATAGAGAAAGGCCCCTTATTTAAGGGCGTCGTCCCATGCATGTGGCGTCCAGTAACGAGGTGCAGGTGAGCATGAACCCAATCAACCACCCCCAACACTCCTCACCCGACCGCCCGCAGCGCCTTGGGAAAGCGCTCAAAGGTCTCGGCCACCAGCCCCCCCGCCTGCTCCTGAGCCGCCTCCGCCACCTCCTCCAGGCACTCCCGGGCGTGAGCCGACCACTTGCCCTTGAACTCCTGAATCAGCTCCTCCACGGCACTGTACGGACTGAATCCGGGCAGCTCCCGGCCCGCGTGCCGCTCCCTCATCGCCTGCACCTGCGCCAGAGTCATGTGCCGCAGCGGAAACAGAGCCTGCTGCAGCGTGAGCTTGAGCTTCTCGTTTTCTTCCAGCGCCGCAGCAGCTTCTTTCTCAGTGGTATTTGCGGACCATTTAAAGACCACATGCATGAATTCTGCTACGTCTAGCTCGCCATCTTGCAGCTTTTCCATATGTGCAGCAGCAGCAGCGGCGGCCGGGGCACCCTTTTCGGCATTGCTTAAAGCGCTGATGAGCATGCGGCCCACCAGAAATGCGGGCGTGCTGCGAATTGCCCGCTCGCCGTACGTCTTAAACAGCGCCATAATTAGCCTGTAGAAGCGCTTATCGTTGATCTGCCCCGTCGCGTGTATCTGCTGCTCCAGCTTAGCATTAGCATTCCAAAGCAGGGTTCGCAGCTCTTGCAGCGCATCTGAGCTGGGCGGCGGCGGCATGCCTGCGAGCTCGCGTTCCAAGGCCGCCAGCTGTTCCCTTGCGGTGCGTCGCATGGAGGGCAGCTGGGCCTCGATGCGTTCCACCAGCAGCGAGCTCAGGCCAGCTCGGAGGTTGTTCGCGCCTAGGCGCTGCGCGATGTGGGGCCCTGAGGCTGCGGCACTAGCCCATTGCGTGTTGGTGGAGAAGTAGGCCTCCTCGGCTGTGCGCGCTCCCTCGAAGGAGATGCCCTCCACGAGTTGCTCTTGCGAGGGGTTCTTGACGACAAAGTACCCCAGCTTGAGGTGCGTGCTGCTGAGATTGCCGGCTGGGGACCCTGAGACATCGTAAAGGAACGTTGGGTAGAGGGGCAGGGGCAAGATGGAAGGGATGCGTGCGCTGTCGTGGTTTATTGAGCAAGGAGGCGGCCAAGCGATGTCCCCAGCCAACGCAGTGGCAGGCGATTGCAATGTGCAAACATCGCCCTCACCATGTAAGCGTACGTCATACCCAGTCAAGGGCTTTCATTTACCGGTACAGTAGTCGGATGAACCCTGTAGTGCATTCATGGACCGCCGCTTTCATTTGCCCCACGGGGAAAAGCATGCGCCACCACCACGACGCTCCGACCACCCACACCTGCCATGCTGCCCCCCTTGCCCGCCACCAGCCTGACCAGCTTCCCATGTGTGATGTGTGCGCCCTCCCCAATCATGTCGGGCTTGGTGATGATGCCGATGCTGCGGTTGCCCTGGGGGTCCACCTCGCGTGCCCACAGCCGGATGGCCTATAGCAGGGTGCATGGCAGGGAGCAGTATCCATGCAAATGTAGGGTAAAAGCTGACAGGAAGCTGCATACAGTACAGCTGGTAATGTATGCATGAGGGGGAAGCGGAGAGGCATGCGGCAATCAGGATTAGTTACAGGTGCTTCCAGCATGCAGCCATGGGACCGAGGAAGCCCAGAGGCCCAGATCATACCTTCGTCTCCCTGCGTCCAACACTGGCAGCACACTAGAGGCGCAACCCCAGGAAGCCCCATACGGCACCCTGCCCTGCCCTCCTGCCCTGCCCTGTCCGTGTACGTACGTACCTGCGTCTCCGCGTCTGCAGCCGCCGGCAACGCCATGGCAATGATGTGGTGCTCGGGACTGAGGTTCTGCTTGGTCATGCGCTCCACTAGCTCCACGTAGTGCCGGCCCTTGTGGGTGGGAAGGGTTTAGGAGGGAACGCAAATGGATTTTAAGGGGTGTCAAGAAACGGCGTAAGGTAACAGGTAATGGGCACACGCAGTGCTTTCAGGTGCAGCCGAGGCAGTAGCCTGGGGTAGCACTTGAATTAGCAAAAGCAACAAAGTAGGCAACAGACACGTGATGCCCGCACTCGACAAGATGGCTGCACTCTCGGGTGTCCACTATGTATCGACCTTGGGGTGGTCGTGGATGATGCCGGGCAGGTCGATGATGGTGAGATCGGCGTCAGCACCGTCGATCTCCAACACCACCTGTGCACGTGCGTGTGAACACATGATGGGAGGAGGGGTAAAGGAAGACTGTGGTGTGTGTGTGTATAGTCCTAATCATGTCAGAACCTAGTGAAGAAAGCTGCTGGCTTGTGACCTAGGTGGTGCAAACAGGTTATTTATTGAGATAATCTCGCAGGGCTTCCTTACCTTGTTTCCCGTAAACCCAAGCTCATAGTTGTTGGCATCGCCCAGTTTCCTCAGTGCGTCAGAGGCCTTGGCTTTGGATCCAGATAGATTCGGGACAAAGGCGCGTGCACCGCCCGGAGCAGCACTGACAGCTTTGGGGTTCAGGAGCACCGCCTGGGCAGCCGTGACGCAGGCCGTGATGTGCGACTTGTCCAGTACTGTGCAGAACAACTCCTCGGGAGGCTTCTCAGGCAGAGGCGCGCCGTCCTCATCGTAATCGCGGCAAAGCTTGATGCGGCAGGACCAGGATTGATTGTTGGGAGCGCTAGCCGTGTTAGCCCTGGTGATAGAGGGGTGCCGGCATGTACTAATGGCAACAGCGGATGTGAGCAAAGGATGGATGGCGACAACGGTATGCTGGCATCGTGCATCAGCCTACCCAGCTTTGCAAGCCCGGACATCCTACCTCATGCGGACCTCCGTCGGACAACGGGTGCAAGTTCCATCCGAGCGAGGTAACGCAACACCGGCAATTGCCTCCACAACAGACGACTTCCCCGAGGATTGATCTCCAGCAATAACGAGGGTTGGTACCTGTAGGGCGCTCTCAACCCCTAGCTCGCGAAGCTTGTTAGCAACGCTGAGCACGCGGGCGGATACGTGATGATACTTTGTGCTGGCCATCGGCCCATGGCAGTCTACGGCTACAGATTGAATTATTGTTACAGCGATTCCAAACCAGAAGGCAAGGGAAAGCAGAACAGTCATTTTATTTTTGCGGACCGAACACGTAGTCAGTCGGTTCTATCTGGCAGTGAATGAATTACCGTTACAACAGTTTCCTAAAAGGGAACAGGGTGATGAACCCAACCCCACACCGCAAGGGGAATGGAACACGCTATAAAGATAACACCACAACGGGTCAGCAGGACACAGGCAACAAGCCTAAAAGGGACCACGAGAGAGGTAGAAACGAGGGCAATAGTGCTGCTAAAAGTTGCGTTGATGATGTTGATGAGGATAATAATTACAAGCTAAAGGCTCGTAAGGCCCAGACGAGCCAGGAGGCTCATGGACCGCAACTGTGCTAGCTTAATCAAAGCATGTACGGATACGAAGCGAAGCACATATGGCAATCCGTCACTTAAATGTATCACCTATACAACGTGACTGTTAGTAAGGAATTCTGTCTTTAGCTCGCTCCAAGGCAGGAACTGTACGATAGTAGGCCGGGCCGGGACCACCAGCACATTTTTGTCGACTGGGCACGAGCCCACGTGAACTAGCTGTTGCCCAGGAACGTGCGGTAACAAGCTAGTGTGCCTCGCAACACCTGTGCGCGACGACGTCTGTGCTGCGCTTTGACCCGTCGACCCCCAACTGATGCACGAGGAGGGGGTTATTATCGGACGCGTCTGTGATCGTTGCTGGTGAAGGGCTGAAGTTGGCGCCGTCAGGCCTCGGGTGCTGCCGCCGCTGACACGCTACGGCTGCTGGTTAACTGATGGCACAGAACTGTAGCCGTACGTAGCCGTTGCAGATGCAGCTGTTGCGGTTGCTCCGCTGAGCTTGCAGTATTTGACTGGGTCCCAGGGAGGCGACCCCGCTAGGATAGCCCGCACAGCAGTTACGCTTGGACTGTTACAGACGTGACGGAGCTTGTCGGCCCTTGCAGTTGGACCACAAGCAGCACGACCACAAGTCATGTCTCACATAAATGCTGGTGACATGACAGAGTAAAAGGTGTCAGGGCTTCGCCTTAAACGTAGGACGAGCCTGTGCACGATGTAACGGACATTAGAAGCAACCAGCTTCTTGTATGTATAGCGATGCCGGCGAAAGCGCAGTACAGCAAGGACGCCATAAGTAGTGTCCTCTGTGACTCAGCAACCTGAGTCATTGCTATGACTCAATGGCCAAACAGCACATCCACCCTGGCTAACGCCATGTCAACCCGCGTCCGCAACCGTGCCACGGACCGCCACTGTACCCACGACCGCAACCGGGGCAGCTATCTAATGCGGTACATGTGCCTACAGCAGGACTGCTGGGATTGACCGTAGCCAAGGGAGATCAGGACGCACCTCATGCCTGTTGCATCTTGCATGTCTACCGATTCAATGCAGACATCATGATGCTCCAGGTGCTGATGCGCCAGTGCCGGCAAAGCATGTCTGGTATTCCTTCCCGACGGCGGAGGCAATGGTACATGCATGTGAAGTCGTAAGGTGCGGTTCACACCAACTGCTTTAGGCAAGGGGTGTTAGCTTGGTGTTGATGTGGTGCTCATTAGTCAGAGCAAGTTTGGCGGTGTCCACAGCCCCACTCAAACGCAGCCTGGATGTCATTAACGATGCGGTAGGAATGGGACGGTCACCGGCTGCTGATACTCAGGTGAGGGTCATGCACCAGGAAAGGTTGTCCTGGGCTGTTGCATGTGTAAGCGATCAGGAGACAGGTTAAGACTGCACGGGAGACGCAAAGGTGGGGCGATTAGCATGCAACATAAAGCATGGAGTTCAGCGCCGCCATCTTGAATGACCGCTTACAAGCCGCATGCATGCTTTACCCATACCCTCCTCCGTAACCGTAGCGGCAGCAGGGAAGGCCCTTCCACAGTCGTGTATGCGGAATACCACTCAGTTTAAATCCTGGTAGATAAACAATTCAAACATGCGCCAAGCGCAGGGGTGTCCTGGGCACACACCGCGCCCAAGACGCGGCCCGGGTCGTCTCTTGCGATCCTGCAAACCTCATGCTCGTCCTGCATGCCTGCTTGCTTGCATGTCGTACTGCCTGGCAACCAACAAAAAGGGTTGCCGTACTACCTCCATACCCGCAGTCCCCATGCCCCAAGAACTCATGCGCTCAGTCTTAGCCAACATTATCTCCTTGAGTTGGTGTACAGTAATCCACGTACGCATAAGAATCCAATAATCCGCCAACTGCAAAGTATGTTACCGTACCATTGCTCTCTTCAAGCGCAGCACCAGTGCCATTTCTTCACTGCGACTCCTGCAGCCATTTCAATTTTATGCAGCCACTTCAACTTTATGCAGCTACTTCAGTCCGAATGGGCGACATCGCCGACATGGGCCTTCATTGTGTGCCTCTGTGCCTCTGCTCTGTCCTACACCTGGTGTCGGTAAGTTGATGCATCTTACCCCGAGCGTTTGCCACCAGGGGCCTGCCAGTCTGCCTGTCTTCCGGTATGTCTTTTTGCCTTCCTCTCTGTCTTCCTGTCTGGACACTCTAGGGCACGGGTGCAGGTAGATGACTACCTGTCTACCTCACTTCCTCCGACATCTCCCCATACCTGTACACATGCCTTATGTCCCCCTCAGGTCCCTTCCCCTGTCGCCTACACCCCTGTCAACGTCCATGCCAATGCAGCTGTCATGACACGTCAGCACTCGTACATGACACATCGTAACATTCGTAAGATAGCCATGATCATGCGCAACCAAATGACGTGCAGAAACACACGGTTCCGCACCCCTGACCTGACGGGTATAGAACCTCCCTCAACTGCTGCTGCCCCCGCCTCTGCAGCCGCCACCCCCACCCCGCATGTCTTCCTGCGTCCCCCCTGCCACCCCGCACTTCCACCTCCTCCTTCCCAACTACCACCAGTGTATGGCCGTCATCACTCTTCCTCCTGCTCCTCTTCTTGGTGCCGCTGCTGCTGCTGCTGGGGTTGCAGCAGCTGGTTGCGGTGCTGCGGGTGATGTCGGCGGTTGTGCGGCTGGGAGGAGCGGGGGTGTGCGTGCCGAGGCCGGCTGCTCACCTCGTCCCCGCCCTCCGAGTCCTCCCCGCCCCCAACCGCACCCGCGCACACGCCGCCTGGGGAAAAAAAAAAAAAGAAATTCCAAAGTGTGGTATGATAATGATACAAGTTGCTGACAATCCCTGGTGGAATCAACCGTGAGTCGAGCCGAAATGGTGGTTAAAGCAATGCGAGCTAAACTTACCGAACTTACCAATTATGGAGCAACCTTACCATAGTCTTGGGCATGTGTGGAGGCTGCTGAAGGTGAGCTGGAGACCCACCGCGCCGTTGGGCAAAGGCAAACAACAGGAACAGCACAACACGAGCACGCATGAAAAACAACACAGACTGACACACGATAAAACACGTACCTGCGTGCACAGGATATGTGCACCATGAGACATGTCCATGGCAAGCCGCCAGGACCATGGAGTAAGTTAGGTCGAGGCGAGTGGATAGCGATGTCCAGCGGAGAGCCAGATATGCGGAATGAGGCAAGGAAAGCGAAAGGGGAAGTTAAGTATAAGTTAAAGAGGACGATGGTGAAGATGCGAACAAAGAAGTACTAAGGTAAGCCTAAGACACGAGACGACACGACTAGGACGGCGCGGTGGGGTGTATGGGGATGGAATAATGGCGGAAGGTACAAATAGGGACGGAATTGGTGAAAAGTACGGCATATCGGGAACAAGGCATGATGTGCAGTGATAAAGGGGCACAACGTGATACTGTGACGTAGGGTGCGGTCTGCGAACAGATCCCCATCCCCCTACGATACACCGGGAAGGCCACCGCAGTGTAGCCAACCCAGTAATGCATTCGTAGGGCGGGTTGGTCCTAGTTGGGTGTGCACGGGTAAGTGGACAGTTGAGGAGGCGGAGGGGACGGAGACAACCCATAATACTCCGGATACGTCCGGCGTGAAGGGCCTTGTGCAACCGATGGACGGCCCCGCGAACGCCCGAACGGCGCTGGCCGTATATCAGGAGCGCCAGCCGGACGGTTGGAGTCCACGAGAAGCATAATCTGTCACCTGTGACTGGTGGGAGGCTGCCGCGGGAGAAGGTATAAGACAGAACTACAGGGAGAACAGGACTACAGGCCTAACCCGCCCACCGTTCCCGCGCATAAATGTGTACTACCAGGCCTTTTGAACAGCCATCCTAGATCCTAACAACCTAACATGGCAAGTGGAGGCGGGTCGCGACCGACATCCTGCATTTCTGCAGTCTATGCGGAACACAACCCTCGAAGATATTGGGGGGAAAAAAAAGAAATTCCAAAGTGTGGTATGATAATGATACAAGTTGCTGACAATCCCTGGTGGAATCAACCGTGAGTCGAGCCGAAATGGTGGTTAAAGCAATGCGAGCTAAACTTACCGAACTTACCAATTATGGAGCAACCTTACCATAGTCTTGGGCATGTGTGGAGGCTGCTGAAGGTGAGCTGGAGACCCACCGCGCCGTTGGGCAAAGGCAAACAACAGGAACAGCACAACACGAGCACGCATGAAAAACAACACAGACTGACACACGATAAAACACGTACCTGCGTGCACAGGATATGTGCACCATGAGACATGTCCATGGCAAGCCGCCAGGACCATGGAGTAAGTTAGGTCGAGGCGAGTGGATAGCGATGTCCAGCGGAGAGCCAGATATGCGGAATGAGGCAAGGAAAGCGAAAGGGGAAGTTAAGTATAAGTTAAAGAGGACGATGGTGAAGATGCGAACAAAGAAGTACTAAGGTAAGCCTAAGACACGAGACGACACGACTAGGACGGCGCGGTGGGGTGTATGGGGATGGAATAATGGCGGAAGGTACAAATAGGGACGGAATTGGTGAAAAGTACGGCATATCGGGAACAAGGCATGATGTGCAGTGATAAAGGGGCACAACGCCGCCTGGGGAGGGAGGGGGTGGGTGGGTGGGTAGGCGGGTTGGGGTGGTGATGCGGATCAGAGGAGCAGGGGTTGAGGAGGGACGTGAAGAGTCACAGGCTCTGGGCGTAACAAGGGAGGAGGTGTGGCTCACGCTGTATGGACTCATCCCTCCATCCCCAACATTTCAGCCCGTTGCGATCAACCTCAAACATGCTCCCCCACCTCACTCTACCCGCACTCTGGATTCCTCCTCCCCCCTCCTCCCCACCCCCCACCTGCCCCCCATGAGGACCGCAGAGAGGTGCTCAGTGTACGACCCAGCCGCCGTACCGCCGCTGCCGCCCCTCGTGGCAACACGTCACCGCTAAAGGTGGGAACCTCGGCAGCGGCAGGGGGCAGCGGAGGCAGCAGGCCCCGCTGCCCCCGGGGGCCCCGTAACGAAGGGTCACCACTCCGCTGCTGCCGCCCCTGCCGACTCCTCCTGCCTCCGTACATCCCGCCCTCCTCGCCCTCATCCTCAGCAGCTGCCTGCCAGGCAGCCGAAGAAGGCCCGGGTGCACCAGCTGCGGCAGCTGCTGCGGTTCCTCTGTGATAGTGGGGGTCGAAGTGACCCATGGGTCGGTGCCCCGGTCCACCTGAGGAGCAACCCCAGAGCCGCGCCGCGCTTCTTCCCCTCCTCCCATGCCGCATCTCATCCTCCTCCTCCTGTACACCTGCTGCTGCTGCTCCTTCCCTCCTCCGCTGCTGCTGCACCGCCGCCGCCGCTCCCTCGCGACTCCGGCTGTCGTGGGAAGCCCCTCCGCCGCCGCGGCCGCCGTCATCCCCCTCCCCGCCGTCATCACTCACGTCACCATCACCGTCCTTATCGCCGTACCAATCCCCGTCATCACTGTCGTCCTCAAAGCAGTCACTGCTCGGGTAGCCTTCCTCCCGCGCCTCCTGCCACCTATTGGCCACCCCCAACGTGTCGCCGCCGCCGCCGCCGCCGCTGCGACCAGCCGACTGCCCAGTGCCACGACGGATGAGGCGAGTGGCGGCGCCGCTAGCCCCGGGATTAATGGGCGGGTGCGGCGCGCGGGGCGGCGGCAGGGGTCCCGGCGACTCTCCAAACCCCTCCAGGCTGGTTGCCGCTGCATGCGGGTGTGCGTGTGGGTGTGGGTGGCGGCGGGGTTGCTGCTGCTGCTGGTGCGGTCGGGGTGGTGCGGGGCGGCCGGTGGGGGCGAGACCCACAACTCGGTCCAGGATGCTGCGGGGAGGGCGGGGGGAGGGGAAGGGCGGGGCGGGGGGAGCGGGTTAGTGATGGGACAATGCTACAAAGGGTTTATCCGGGAAGAGGAGGCGGGCGGCAAGCGGGGGCAGGTGGGCATTGCAAGGAGGAGTAAGGGCGGGACCAGCGGCAAAGCGGCTAGGACTCCATCATACACCACAGGCATCATACACATGGCAGCCCCCCCCCCATGGCTACCGTAACTTCCCCTCTCTCCTCCCTCCCCTCTCCCCAGCCCTCCCTCTCCCTCTTCCCCCCATCCCGCCCCCCCCCCACTCACAGCACCAGCAGGCTCAGCAGCAGTGGCTCCAACGCCACCACCACCCGCACGTACGCCCGCTCAACCAGCCCGCCCAGCCACCACCGCCAACCTGCCAGCAACCCCCCGCCTCCTCCTCCTCTACCACCACGCCGCCTCAGCCGCGCCCCTCCGCCGCCCTCTGCTCCCTCCTCCTCCTCCTGCCCCTCCCCTTGCTGCTGCTGCTGTTGCACCAGCAGCGGTGTACGGCAATTGGGGCATGTGAAGCTCTCGCTTCCCGCCTGCTGCAACCAGGCGCGCAGGCAGGCCAGGTGGAAGATGTGTCCGCAGGGCAGCTGCTTGCCCACCGACCCGATCTCCTCCATGCAAATGGTGCAGTCGAAGGAGGAAGAATGGGCAGCGGTGGCGGCTGCTGCGGCTGCAGCATCGGTGCCGCCACCGGTGGCTGCCAGCTGTTGGTGTTGTTGGTGCGGGTATACGTCTTTGAAGCAGGTGTCCAGGCGGTGTGTGGCGGCTCGGTAGGCTAGGTGGGTGCGCAGGCGGCGCAGCAGCGAGGACAGCACGGAGCGCATGTCCAGGAAGAGCATGGCGTCGATGAGCTGTCCTCGTCGTGGCAGGGTGTCAGAGGGAGAGGGAGGAAATAATATTGATAGTGCAGCAAGGAGAGAGGGACAGGGGAGCTTGCGGGGTTAGCAACGTACTTAGCAACATTCATAGCTGGACAGTTCACAGCTATGGGAATCAGGGGAATACGATGTCACATGAGCCTCTGGAAAAGACAAAGCCACGCTCCAACACCCGCACTCCCCTCCACCCTCCCCCTCCCACGCACCCCCCACCCCCTCCCCGCCTCACATGGAAGCTCAGCCCGTGCAGCACCCACACGTGCAGGTAGTGCGCCAGTGTGAGCAGGTGCACCGCCACGTCAGCCACCAGCTCCACGTGGTACAGCAGGCTGCCGGGCGGGGGCAGCAGCCGGAGCAGCAGGCGGAAGCAGCCGACACCAGGGGGGAGTAGCAGGCGGCGGAGCAGGCCGCCGGCACCTGTGCCGTCGTACATGTTGCCGCTGCCACCGGCGCCACCTGGGGTGTTGTTGGTGTTGTAGGCGGGGGGTGTCCAGCCCAGTCGGTCGCCCATGTGGACGACTGCGTGCATGGGGTGCATGGGGGTTTGGTTGAGTCCGTGGAACTGGAAGGAGGACACAGGAGGGTGAACCGAGCGTGCAGCCATGCAGCCGAGCCCAGCAATGTGTAAGGCGCCCCACCCCCACCCTGCCCCCCGCACCGTATCGCAGCAGTGTCTTGCCCGCCTCCACCGCCACCACCGCGCAGTCGAACACACACAGCAGCACGCGGGAGGAGCCGCCGGGGGGGGAGGGGGGTGAGGGGGAGGCGGGGAGGGAGGGGGAGGAGGCAGCCGGGGGCGGCCACAGCAGCCGGAGAGCCTACGGTGGGGGAGTGGGGAGTGGGGGTGTGAAGATTAAGAAGTGAAGCACTAGGAGAGGAGGGAGGGTTGCGGAAGGGTGAGGTGGATGTGCTGCCATGCAGCAGCTGGGGCGACCTGAGGAGGGAAGGGGCCAGCAGTGCCGCCCCCGCTCCGCCAACCCCTCGCTACCCCCCTTCCACATTTCCTATTTCCCATCTCGCATCTCCCTCCCCGCCTCCCCCCCCTCACCACCATCAGCGCCAGTCCGTCCTGCAGCCCCAGCAGCAGCAGCAGCCCCACCGCCCGCACGTGCCGGCCCACACGAGCACCTGCAGGGGGGGGGATAATGCGGTGGTGGGGGGGGGGCGGGGAGAAACGAGGAGTGAAGCAGGGGGGGCGGGCAAGGCGGGACGGAGGAGGCGGAGTGGGGCAGGGCATGCGGTAAGAACAGCAACCCGGTCATGTGATTGCGGTTACCGGAAGAGAAGGGCGTGGAGTATCGTACCGCATTGCCCCCACATGTGCGCATGTCCCCTCCCCTCCCATGCGCCCCTTCCTTCCCCTCCCCGCCCCCTCCCTCCTTCCCCTCCCCCCCACCCGGCGCCGTGAGCAGCCCCTCCAGTCGGTCCTTCGCCGCCCCCAGGAACACCCGCAGGTATCCCACCAGGGCGAACCTGGGGGGGGGGAGGAGGTAGGGGAGGAGGGAGGGGGGGAGGGAGGGAGGGGGGGGGGGGGGGGGGGAGGGGGGGAGGGAGGGGAGACAGGGTGGAAAGAGCAAGGGAGAAGGAGGAGGAGGTTAGGTGGGGATGAGAGGATGAGAAAGGTGTTGCACGAGGTTGATGCATACGTGTGCAAATGCAGGTCTTCCATCCGCCCGATTCAAACTGTCGAGTTCCGGACAGGTGTGCACCCCAGTGCATGTCAGGCTTTGCTCCCCCTTGGCTCCCCACCCCGGGTCAAGACACACCCATCCACCCACCAAGCCAGCCACAGCGCTACGTCCCGCGGGTCGTTTGTGATGACGCATCCCAGAAAGACCGTCTTGAAGACCGTGTACTTGACCAGGCGGTGGGACATGCGCTGAGATTCAGCTGCGGATAGGCGACCCAAGAAGAGCGCCTGGGGCGGTCGGGGGGCAGGACAGCACGAGGGCAGCAGGAGGTGCAGGTGCCATGGCTCGAGACAGGGAGATGGAGGTGACAGTTGGCAGCACCGCCTCGGTAACGGCTGCGATGCTAGCTGCGCGGGATCTTGGAGGACTTAGAGTAAGCTTACCGCAGTTGCTAGCGCCACCATAGCGAGCGAGCTAAGGTAGAAGTTGAGGAACGCAAAGAGCGCAACCTCGCCGGGCAGGACGTTCTCCCAGAAGTTGGCAGCAAACTGGACGTAGGTGTGAAAACCCCTGCGAGTATATGCCGCCCACTCTTTAGATATGGCTCCAAGAGCGTGTGTGCCTGCTCATGCAAATGTTACAATGGAGCCCTAAGGCGAGCACGGAGGCATCATCTAGTAAGGTGTAAGCTTTCCTTGAGGTTCTGTAATCCGTATTACGTCTATGGATGCAAGCAACGTAGGGTGCTGGCCCATACCGACCGTTGTTCCCAGCCTGCGGGCACCGCCTTGTGCAGAACCCATGCCAGCGACGCTGTTGAGCTCAGAAAATAGGCCAAAACAGCCAAGGACACGCGGCTAGCCCGCTGTCGCATGGCAGAAGAGCTAGTCTAACTAGCAAACTGTATCCCAACTGTCTAGAACCTGGTGTGCGCTAATTCACAGCATTTGATGCGTTTATAAAAGCGTATACGCATCTGGCTTGTTAAAGATACAGTGGAGAGCTGCCAACTGGAAAGCAACGTGCAGTCGTGCACCCAAGCGACGAGTCCTAGGACTTTGCACAGAACATCTTCGGAATTGCACTTGATCAGGTCTCGATTATCTAGACCATTAGCAGTTAAGCCAGCGGAAAACCTGTTTGACAATCCAGCTGTCGTACTGATGCCCGTCCGTCCGTCCGTCGCAGACTCGCGGTCGTGCTATGACGCGCAGCTTTTGTGGCCAAGCGCCTCTTTCAGGGCATCAACTTTGCGCAACGGACACATGCCACTTCAGCACCGCTCGTTGTCCAGAAAGCTACTGGCTCCGCAGCACAACCGAGCAGCAGGCCGAACCCGACATGCCGACATGCCCAGCACCTGCGCGGTCTCTCTTCCAACGATACCTGCTGTAGCAGGCGTCATGAATCCGCTCCCAGCTGTCATAAGGGCGTGCCATGGTCGTTGCTTGTCTGGGGTAGTCAGGGTGCCAGGGGGTCGTTGTGCACGCCGGCGAGCATGGGAGCGACAGCACATGTGCATTAACGGAATATTGTTTCCTTTCCATGAAATCGGCTCATTAATGGGAAATTCTAATCCTGGTAGCATGTAACAGCTATGCGGGCCGCGTGCTTGCGGCTGCAGTTATGGGGTTGCGTTGACAGTTGGGCGGGGCCCTTCTAAACCCTTTGGACCTGCTGCTAAGAAAATCAGCGCAACCACCGTCAGAGGGAGAGGTGGCATGTTCATGTAAGGTGCAAGCTGTGTGCAGGTAGTGGCAGGCATAGCTACCGTACTGCGCAGATGCGCACAACCATGGATAGCTGTCTAGGGCCTAACCAAAAGGCAATTTCTGAATGATTAAACTTGTCTGGTGATGTAAACGAGTGTAGGTGCCAAACAGTTCCCAGTATGCCCTTCATCGTGGCTCCTAATTTGACTCGACCGTTGGGTAGGAAACCATCATACCAGCATAGTGTATAATGCAAAGTAGTGTCCCTTTTTCTTTCGCACAAAAGACTTTTGCTGCTGAACATGCTTGATGAATACTTAGAATGTTAGGAGCCGTAAGTTAGGAGGTACGGAACTCCGTACTCGTCGATGATCGTCTGACTGCATTCACACGCAGCAGTAGATACCTTAATAAAGTATACGGCTGCGAGATTGTTTGAAAAAAGGTTGTTTTAGGAAAGCGCCGAGGAGTCCGTCGCAAGGTGCATTTTACTCGTCTCGCTCCTCGAGCCGCGGGGGTCCTTACTGGCCACCAAACGAGAATGACGCAAACGCGTCTTCAAAGCTCCATGAAGGCAGCCGCTTTAACTGTTCTCATCATAGCTTCGTTGGCATGCGCCATGCCTTCCCGCAATCCCGGCGTGGCCCAGAAGCAGCACCCGACGGGCGGTGCCGATGGAATCCTTGGATTAGGCCGCCAACGAAGGCTGCTTGCCACTTCTAAGGCACCAGCCGTCTCCGACGTCTACGACCTTATCATCATTGGTTCCGGAATCTCAGGTCTCGCGGCTGCAAGCCGCGCTAAAGCCAGGAACGTCAGCCGCATTCTCATCCTGGAGGCTCGCAATCGCACGGGTGGCCGCACCTATACGGTGCCCCTCAAGATTTCCCTGCCCGCGAACGCTCCCGTTCCCGCTGCCATTGACCTTGGTGCGGCCTGGATTCACGGATACGGCACCAAGGCCAACGGATTAAACCCCATGGTGCGCTATATGGCCGTTCTGGGATAACAATAAAGGATAATAACACACACAAATTCACCCAGCTGCTTTTGAAACGGGCCGCTGTTATTGCATATGGTCATCGCCCATGTCCACTTCAAATCCTCGCACCCCCCTTGCCTTTTGCCCCCCTGCTTTCCTACGGTTTGATCCTTCTTGACCCCCTTACCTTGCGCCTCCCCACCCCCAGGTCGCCCTGGCTGCGAAGGCCAACATGCCTGTGTACAATGTGACCGAGGCCGGCCTGAGCTTCAATCCCCTGGTGCGTGGCCCCTGCCTTGCCCAACTTGCCTTGCCTTGTCGTACCGCCTCCTGCCGGGGCCTTGCTTTCTTGCCGTATCTATATTTTGCTGCGTACTGCAAACATGCAGCTGTACAACCCATGTGCACATGACGTAAAAAGTGTAACAGCGTAAAAAAGCTGGGGCTTTCCTTCTTATCTACTGCTGTCGTACCCTCGGGCGCATCATCGTACTTCCTTACGTACGGATGTACGGATGTTACAAGCACACACCAATGTTTTTCTTCGCGGCCAGTAACATCTGAACACACTAACTTCTGAACACAGCGTACCGATATCTGGCACCGCCGCCTCCGCCCCCGCAGGGCAAGGAGGACCCCGCCAGCTGGGATACCATGTCCTCCAACATGTACGGCAGCTTCGAGGTTAGTGGATGTACGACATACGATATACGACATAAGATACTGCGCAATCAAGCTACAGACCCGCTTGCCCCATGTCAAGGGACGCATGGCTCGATGTATGCCCCCAACCTTGCGGTTTCGGTGCACGACCCGCCGACCCCCAGCGCTTTGGTCTTCCGAACTCCCCCGCCCCTCCTTCCCTTCCCTTCTCGTTCTTCCCTCCTTCATTTTGCCCTAACCTGTGGTCTCCTATGGTTTGGTATGGTCTTTGACCCCCCCCAGGACTACCTGGCCTCCTACCAGGACGGCGACCTGCGCGAGCTGCCGCCCGCCGACTCACTCAGCCTGGAGGCGGTGGTCAACAAGTGAGGGGGGGGCAGGGGAATGGGTGAACGGGGGAAGGAGGGAAGGGAAGCGGGCTGGGATGAGATGCGGGCGGTTAGTAAAGGGGAAGCGGCTAGTAACGTGATGCTGTGTTGAGTTTAGAGAAAAGGTGTTAGACAACACCCGATCACCGCCACCGCCGCCCCCCCGCAGGTTCATCCAGGTCAAGAAGCTCAGTTCGCAGCAGCAGCTGGCTCTCAAACAGGTGGGACGGCCGCTTTGCCCTAACCTGGGGTTTTGGCATATCTCTGACCCCCCCCCTTCCGCCCGCCCGCAGGCCCTCTCCACCGAAGTTGTGCTAGACTACGCGGGCGACCTGCCGGACCTCTCCGCCACCCACTTCAACGAGGACCTGGACTGGGGCGGCCCCGACGCGCTGCCGGGCAGGGGTTACGGAGCCCTCGCCAACTACCTGCTAACCGCCACACCCGGCCTCAACCCCAGCTCAGACGTCAAGTTGGGGCATGCGGTGACGAGTATTGATTACAGCGGTGTGAATGCGAGCAGCAGCAGCAGCCCTCCGGTGGTGGTGAATGGCACGGTGCTGAGCGCGACGGGGGGGTTCACGGGGGGTGTGCCGTTCTCATTCAAGGCCAAGTATGTCATCGTGACGATGCCGCTGGGGTACTTGCAGGTGAGTGAAGGCGGGTGGGGGGTTTGGTTGGTTGGGGAGGGGGGAGAGAGTGGAGGAGGAGTGTGGGAGGGGGTGGATGGAAATCAAGGGAGTGGTTATGAAGCCGGTGGAAGGCGTGAGAGAGGAGGCGGATGGGGTTTAGGGAGTCCTTACCCGGTGGTTACCTTACCACCTGTTGTGCGGCTGCCCATCTGTCGGTGCGCATGTGACTGCTATTCCCGCTACCCCGCTCTTGCTGCCGCTGCCGCTGCTGCCACCTCCCTCCCTGCCTCCCTGCCGCCCCCCCCCCCTCAGGCCCAGTTGCTTTGCCCTAACTTGTGGTCTCCTATGGTTTGGTATGGTCTTTGACCCCCCTCCCTGCCTGCCTGCCTCCCTGCCGCCCCCTCCTCAGGCCCAGTTGAAGCCCACTCCGCCCCCCACGGGTGCGCTCTTCAAGCCGCCCCTGCCCGCCGCCCAGACCGCCGCCATCAACGCACTGGGAATGGGGCTGCTGAACAAGGTGGGCAGGAGGGGCGGGGGAGGAAGAAGGCTGAATGGGGAGGGAAAAAAGAAATGCCAGTGTGTGGTGTGGTAATGATACAAGTTGCTGACAATCCCTGGGGAGGGGGGAAGGAGGAAGAAAGACAGGAGACAGCGGGCAGGAGGGGGCAGGAGGGGGCAGGAGGGAACAGCCGCCCATGTAGCCCCGTTGGGTGTCGTATTTCCTGGCTCCAATCCCAGCCCCGGTCCCACAGCAGTGTAAACACCTCATGCATCGCCACCCTCCCACCCCCCTTTCCTGGTTCCTCCCCCCGCCCTTTATGCCAACACATCACTTGGCGACATCCGCATCCCCCCGCCCCCTCCGTTCCCACATAGGTCATCCTGGTGTGGAACGACAACAGCTGGTGGAGGAGCCTCATCACCACCCCCTGGCTCACCATGCGCAACGAAACACTGCTGGGGGCCTTCTCAGAGTACTACAACCTGGCAGCCACACCGGTGAGGGCCAGGGAGGGGGGAGGGCGGGGGGGCCGCATGACCCGGGGGTCATCACCTGCGGGGCTGCGGGGCTTAGGAGTACTGGAAGCGTTCCTTATGGGACCTGTAGCAGCACACCACGCTCAATGCTTCCACCGCTTTTGTGTTTGTGGGCCGATACAGCTGTACATACGGTACGAAACAAATGCCCGGAAAGAACCGATTACCATCCTCCGAACCATGAGAACTGGCTGCCGGTGACTACATGACCTCCTGTCCGCCTCCTACGGTATTGTCCACACTACTCTTGCCAACATCAACCCACTCCCCTCCTCCCCCCCCGCCTTCTCCTCCAGGCCAAACTCCCCGTCATTATCTGCTTCAACGGCGCCTCCTTTGCACGCTCCATCGAGCCCCTCAGCGACTCCGAAACCGTCAAACGCGCCCTCGCGCCCCTCCAACGCCTGCTTCCCGCCGGCAAGACCATCCCCACTCCCGTACAAACCCTAGTCACTCGCTGGCAAAGTGACCCCTGGACTCTGGGGGCGTACTCGTACGGCAAGGTGGGCATGACGGCGAGCACGCGGGGAAAGGCGTTTGCGGCGGTGGGTGCGGGGGGGCGTGTGGGTTTTGCGGGGGAGCACACGCATGTGTCGTACCCGGCCACGGTGCATGGCGCGTACCTGAGCGGTGTGCGGGAGGCTGACCGGGTGGCTTCTGCACTGGGTCTGAAGTGAGGGGGTGGGGTGAGGGGTTGGGAGGGAGGGGAGGAAGCAGGAAGCTTGGGTTGAAGGAGTGGGGGAGTTGGTGGAGGGAGGGAGGGAAGGAGCGGAGTTATGGTGGTGGTGCTGATGGTGTGTTGAAAGGTGATCATCGGAGAAGAAATGCAAGTTGCAGCGCAAACATCGTTTGTTCCTTGCCAGTTGGCGTTCGCCTCGAAAGCTCACGGAAGTGCGTTTCCGCGGAAGAGGTTCTTAATATTAGACCCTGTCGTATTGCTGTCGTTTTTGTTTGCATGTGCAGCTGCCAGTGTGCATGCATGCATGTAGCCGCATGTCGCCGCGCATTGCTACACCTGAGTAGCCTACCGCATTAAAGGTGTCAGTTGCACCCCATCCGGGCTCGAATGCGTGCACAAGCATGCATGCAGTGCATACCCCTGCCTGCATGTGACTCAGAGGCGTACGAATGTCACCCCGGCGTGCGAAGGCGGTGACAGAAAGTCGGAGTGGGCTTGCTCCTAGAGAAGTGCCGTTGATGGGTTTGTGGTCATCCGTCTCGTTATGTACCGGTATCATACCGGTATCATCCCATCTACCTGCGCATTACTCATCACCGTTTGGCATTCCAGTCATGTAAGCCAAGGCCTCGCCGTGATTATGATGCGTTCATTTAACGGGGTCACTTGCGGGCTCCGGGCTCTACGTTGGTGGTATATGATTGTAATGAAGTTGTTGAGCACGGCTCGGGACAAACTGCGTCAAACTCTTGTGGGTGCTGCAAGTGTTGGGAACCAGCAGTGCCGTACGGTTCATTCACAGTAGTGCATTCGCAGGGGGGGATGTGTACGCCCTGGGAAGAGCGCTTGCGCTGGTGTGTTTAGCGTGTGTGTGTTGTTCGTCAAATGCATGCGTGTGTTGCTTCTTGACCGGGTATGCATGACCGTGGCAGTGATCCCCAACCGAAAGGCAAGGCAAAGCGGACTGTCGACTGGCATTCACTGTCGTACCCCGCTCGGCCTGTCATGCTGTGATCAAGATGGCGACAGGTAGTCTATGTTGATTCAGTGGACAGTGGCAACAGTATTGTAGTGCAGCGAAGCGGTACCCTCCCATGTATTGTTCCTGGTTGTTCAGGGCGTATCTCCCTATCCGCGCCCCCGTACGTGCCCTTGTGTAACAGCTTGCCGTTACCTAGCAACCACCGGCCGCATGCGACTACTGAGCTGTGCCACTCTCGACCCGGCGAAAGGAGGTGAAAGCAGTCCCGGTGCTTGCTTCCCACTCGAGTTCCCAAGCCAACAGCCTTACAGAGCCTTGCAGAGGGCTTACAAAGCCTTACAGAAGCAAGTCAGCGACCCCGTCAACACGCCGCCAGCCGCCACAGCCGCACACAGGGACGCAGGGCGTTCATCATTCCACACATCAACCTAGCTAGCTAGCTAGCTAGCGGGCCTACAGTGGCAGCGCCTGGGCAATTCTGCCTGGCCGCAACTCCTCAGCATGAACCGGAATGAAAACCCCAGTCGGAACCCAAAGTCCGCAACCAGCTACACGGTAACCCCGGCAGGGTCCAACATGCGGCCGTTCCACTGCTCTTTCCTCTCGCGGCCGCACATGCACACACCCTCCAACCCCCACACACACCGGGTTCCCTCCATACGCCGCATACCCAGCCCAGCCCAGCAGAGACAACCCAGCTAGCCGGGCAGCACCCTACCTCCCTTCCCCTTGCGCTTATTATATAACTTTCCCCTTATATAACTTTCCCCTTACATAACTTTCCCCTTCCCCTCGCCCTCCCCTCGCCCTCCCCTCCCCGCCGCTTCCCCCGCCCCCTCCTCACTCTGCTCCACCTCCTCCACCATCTCGGTACCTCCTGGCACTACCTGGCTCGACTCTTGGCCGCTGCTGCTGTCGCCCCCTCCCGCGGAAACAACGCCTCCGCAAAGGCCTGCAGGTTGTGGTGGGGTGGTGGGGTAAAGAAGAATACCCAATGTCGGCAACGTGTTGAATTACCGCAGACGGGAGGCGTGCCAGTGGCACCCCCCACTGTTCTTGTCACCAGGGTGTTTCGGTAGCCCGGGGTGTTGCCCTGCCCTACCCCAGCCCCCAGCCCCCGCCCCCACGGTCAGCCAATACCGCGGCTCAGTACATCCAACCCTTCCACCTCCCCTCCTCCCCCCCCACCTCCGGGTCGAAAGGCTGCAGGTCCTCCGCCGCCTCACCCACTCCGATGAACCGCACCGGCAACCCCAACTGGTCCACCACACTCACAACAGCACCTGGGGGGGGAGGGGGGGGTGCGGGAGGGAGGGGTTGTGTGTTAAGAAAACTGGCCGCGAGTAGGAACGTACTGGGATGTCGGAAGATGAAGTGTGTATGGGGCGGTTAAAATGGGCAGGAGCAGGGGGAGGAGACAGGAGAGCAGACGTAACAGGAGGGCGAAGCCCGCCTTCCCTTCCCCTCTCCCCCCCTCCCCCTCCCTCTCCCCCCTCCCCTCACCTCCCCGTGCCGTGCCATCCAGCTTGGTGAGGATGAGTCCGCTCAGTCGCACCGCCTCGTTGAACTCGCGCGCCTGGGGGAGCATGTTGAGACCCGTGGTGCCATCGAGGACCAGCAGCGTCTCGTCGGGCTGGGGGGGGGAGGGGTGGAGGGTGACGGGAGGGGGGGAGGGAGGTTTTGGGGTAGGACTTATGAGAGGTGCAGAGGGAGAGGAGCGAAGCACGAGGTCACCACCCACCTACTAGTCCCCCTCGCCTTCACCCTCATGCCAACCCGACCTGCCACTGCATGGTGCTTCCCTCCTAACCCCCCCCCCCACCTGCCCCTGCATGATGTTCTCCCCCCCCCACACACACACACCCCGCTCCCCCCCACCTGTCCCTGGAACGCATTCGCCACCGCGCTCTTGCACAGCGCCAGCTCCTCCATTAGCTTGTACGCGGTGTGCAGCCGGCCCGCCGTGTCGATCAGAACCAGGTCGGGAAGCGAGTCAGCAGGGGGGGAGGAGGGGGAGGGGGAGGCGCGGGCTTGCTGCCGGAGCTTGTCTAGGTTCTGAGGAGGGGGAGGGAGGGGAGTGAGGAGGGGAGGGAGGGGTCACGGGAGCATGGGAATGATGAGGCGCACGAGTGTGGAGCGAGCTTGCTTACGGACGTGCGGGCGAGCGGGGAGGCGGGCCGAATGCCACCACGCAGCGGCAACCCGCAGTTGGGTCAGCTGCCCTTCCCTTTACCCCTCCCTTCCTTTCCCCCCTCCCTCCCTTCCCCTCCCCACCCCAACCCCCACCTCCGCAATGACCGCCTGCGGCCGTGCGCCCTCCCTGAACGCCCCCATGCTCGCCCCCGCCCGCCGACCCCACTCCGCCAGCTGCTCCGCGGCGGCTGCACGGAAGGTGTCACCGGGGATGAGGAACACCTGGGGGGGTGCGGGAGGGGGGTAAAATTAGGAGGGAAGAGGTGAGGTGGGATGAACGGGAGGAGGGGCGACAAGGTGGGGAAGAGGCGCGAGGAGCGGGAGGGTGTGTGTGGAGACGGCAGTGCAGAGCAATTAATTATCGCCCGTGTGTGCCGTACACCGGCATACGCGTACGACACACATGCATAATACACCGCCCCGTACGACACCGCCGCACCTTGGCTCCCTCCTTGCCGTACTTGTAGGCCAGCTTCCCCACCGTGGTGGTCTTGCCCGCCCCGTTCACCCCCACCACCAGCACGCATGCAGGCCGGCCGGACAGGCGCAGCAGCTGCTGCTGCTCGGAGGAGCTCCCCTGGCTGTTGCCGCCGCGACTTGTGAGCAGCTGCACGATACTGGCCTGGGGGGGAGGGAGGGAGGAAGGGGGGTTGGGGAGGTTGGGGTTGGGAAGGGGGGGATGGGTATTGGTTCCGTAGCCCCTTTAAGGAAGAGAGAAGTCACCCTCAACTCCACGACAGCAGCACCCCCAGCGGCTTGGCAGTCCTATCTACACCTTGGTCACCATTGTCGCCCCCTCCCTTGCCTCCTCCCCATCCCCCATGCCGTATCACACGGTCAGTTACTTGTTTCCTCTTTATTCCTCCCAACCCCCTCCCTCCCCCTCCCCCCACTCCCCCACCTTGAGCTCCCCCCGGATGTCGTCGGCGCTCTTCACGCGCCCCGCCTTGACGCCCTCACGGATGCGGTCCACGATCTTGAGCGCAGTGCGGGGGCCGAAGTCGGCACTCTAGGGGGGGGGGGGTGCCGGGGGTGTGTGTGTGTGTATGGGGGGGGGTGTTAGTCAGGGAGGGAGGGAAGAGCAGAGCCAGGTAGTTCAGCCGAGAGCCGCGAAGGGGAAGATCCACCTTCCCCGCCCCTCCTCCCCTGCCTCCCGCCCCTCCGGTTAGTCCGTTCCCCCCCGCCCCCCGCCCCCCCTCCTCACCAGCAGCACCTCCTCCAGCTCCTCCAGACTGGCCTCGTAGTCCTCCAGGCTCCAGAACGCGAGCAGCTCGTCAACAAGCTGGGGGGGAGGGGGTCCAAGGGAGGGGGAGGAGGGAGGGGAGAGGGGGAGGGGAGCAAAGACCATACCGAATCACAGGTTGGGGCAAGACAATGGGGATAGAAGCGGCGGGGTGCCACAAAACAAGTGTTGGTTAGCGTTCCCTACTCCTGCGCCGCTCCCCAACTCCCCACCCCCCCACCATCCCCATTTGCTCCTCACCCCCAGTCGCTCGCGCGTCTTGCTTGTGCCCTTAAAGAAGCGGTCAAAGTCGCCCGCCGCCTTCTCCTTGATAACCCGACCCAGCCGCTGCAGCAGGCTGGGGCCGCCGCCGCTGCTGCCGCCGTTGTCACCGCCGGGGGCAGCGCTGGCGGAGACCTGGTGGCAGGGTGCGGGGGGGGGAGGGAGAGGGTGCATGGAGGGTGAGGGTGTGGGTGTGGGTGTGGGAGGGGTGGCTGCACTGGCTGGCCGGTGTGCGAGGGGTGAGGTGTAGGGTTTGGACGGGCGATAAGGAAGGGTGGGAGTGGTGAGGGGGGTTTGGGTGAGGTCGGGTGGGATTTTCGGTGCTGGAAGAAGCCTGTGCAGCGTTGGGTGAATCAGTGTGGGTGCCTTGTTCGTTAAAGGATGGAGGGTAGGGCAATGGCAGCGACGCGACCGGTAAAGGACGGATTGAAGAGATAATGACAGGGTCGTGCGCAAATTATTAGAAGGACTTCGCGTGCCATATTGTGGTCAGACGCAGCGTCGAACGTGGCTATGTGGACGCTGACGAACGAGAGCATGTGGAGCCGACACACCTTCACAGGTCCCCTATAACTGCATCGTTGGAATGCTTTTATGCAGGTTTGCCCATTTCGCTGCCCGACGGCCCTGCTCTTGCAGCCTTGCCGCCCGGAACTTTGCTGCAGCATTCTAGGTGCGAAAGTAAAGTTATCGAGGATCTTGCAAGCCCTAAATGAATTCTGGTACAAACCAATGTATTGTAAAGCAGAGGAAGACAATTAGGACTGATGCTGGTATGTCGGCTTCGGCAGTCGAAATGGGTGACCAGCCTAGAGCGTCAACTCCAGTTGATAGAAATTCAACCAGGAACCATTAATCAAGCTATTTGGCACTACTAACAACTGCGATAGTTAGGGCGCTAAGGTGAAGCATGGATCTGCCCTGAAACGGTTAACCGAATCTAGTCAGTTTCCATGGGTGGCCACTGTAAGCCAATTGAGGGTTACCGAAGCACGTTTGAAATCCGTTTCGCCAGGGGCCTCATGCTCATTGCGATGAGCAGGTCAACCCGCGCTGCCTATGCTTTTGGTGAGACATTGTGGACAGGGGCAATGACCTCTAAGCCGGCGGCAGGCCAATGCTATGCGGTGCTCTCGCGAGCAAGGAGTCCGCGAGCTGACGGAAACGAGGGTTTGTAAGTGAAGGGTTTGTTACGCACGTGGCATGGTCATGCAAGTAAAGTCCCCATGAGCACGCCACACAGGCTGTGGGAGCTAGAAAGGATTAGACATATATTAATCATGTCTTCAGTTCAACACGGATGGCATGGCAATCTGTGGGGCGGCAGGACCCGAGAGTGCGGCCTTGGGCACTTGGGTGGTGAGCTGCTGCGTTGAGCAGAAAAGTCAAACAGTACTGTCGCTGTACAGGCCTGTACTTCCCGGCAACGAAGATGCCGAACATTTGGTTGAGGTATGTAGCACCTGAGCGTTAGTTATACGATACTTATTGAAAACTTCTGCTCGGCACACGCTCGGCACGCGCCCAGCGTCCGAACTTGGGAGCAAAATGAGCCAAGGCAAATTATGGTTGCGAATATCTAGACGGCGGAATACTGTACAGAATCAAGCATATAGACACGATTCTGCTGAAGTTTTGGAGCAGACCTTCCTTCGAGACGTCGATGACCTGAAGCCCATTGACAAACACAGGTGTCGGAAATATCTAGCAGCACAAAACCTTTTCTACGGCAGCAACCTGAGCTGTAATACCTGCTGTTTGTATATGGCTATGGGGAAGCTTAAGTGGCTGGCCACTGGTGCCATCTGCTTGGCGGGTGTTGCGATGTCATTTGCCGTGTGGTCATCAAACGATTCGGCGTTACTTGGATTGTCATGGCCATGGGGAAAGTCCTTTCCAGCACCAGCAGCGGCCAACCTCATCCTTTTATTGCTCGTCGGCGTCATGCTGGCATGCTTTGCACCGGCAATGCGGGAAAGCGCCGGCAGGCCTGTCCTACCGCTGCGTGCAAGGACCATAATCTTCTACACCTGGCTGCTACTGAACCTATACTGGTTTGTGGAAGGGTAAGCAGTCACACATTTCTGCTTGCATCCGGCTCTGTCCTCTTAGCCTCCATGACTTGACCCTTCTCCTCCTCCTTTCCAAGTTGCCCTCACACGTAATCCATTACACATTTTCACCACGCAGAATCCGGTACCGGGACTTCCAAAAGAAGCCCAAGTGGCTGAAGCACCGCAGCGCGCAGCCCCTTTCCGAAAGTACGGCACACCTGCTACGGCTGTCGTACGGCGTGGGCATGGCTGCCTGCTGGCCGTTGCTGGCCAACCTCTTTGTCGTACTGCTGCCCGTGGATCGCACCCTGCTGCTGCTGAGCTGTCTGGGGGTGGGGCACGAGGACGGCGTGCTGTCTCACGCGCTGTGCGGTACGGCAGTGTGGTGCTGGGCGACCGCGCATGGTGAGTCATAGCGGTACGGCTAGCACTCGGGAGGTGTATGGACCTATGGAGGGGGGATGCGAGTGGCCCCGTCACGTCGTACCGTACCATACCACCGCCAGCATGTGCCACCCCTAACAGCACAAAACACACGTGGCTCTCTTCCCAGCCTCCACCCCTCTCCCTTTCCCCCCCTCCCCGCAGCCCTGCTCACCCAGGGTCCTATGCTCGCTGCCGGGTTGTGGCGGGTGATCATGTTACCGCCGCGGGACGGGTCCGAGGGCAAGGGGATCTCCAACTTTATGGGCCTTATGGTGGGTGGGGGTGGGGGGGAAAGAGGAATTCCCAATGAGGAGGAAGGGGCGCGGGGGCAGGGAGGCATGTGGCACATGTGGCCGAATGACAGGGAAGCGGCAGCTATGTTGTTATGGGCTTATGACTTTGAGCGAACCAGCCCGCCAAGTAATCAAGCGCCTTTATGTAACGGTGCTTCTCTTCGAGAGTAAGTATCTCCTCTTCCCCACCCGACCAAGCCGACCCAACATGCCTACCTCATTCCCTGCTCCCCTCCGCTTCCCTCTCACCCTCAGGCCTGGCTGCTGCTGTGCGGTCTGGGCGCCTCCTCCCTGGCCCCGGTGCGGCGAGCCGCCTTCAACACCTTCCTGCGACTGCACCTGCTGCTGGCGCCGGCGGTGAGGGGGGCGGAAGGGAGGGAGGGAGGGAGGGAGCGGGGAAAGAGGGAGCGGGAAACCTTGCTGAGCGAGGGAACGGGGTGGGGGCGGTTGTCAGCGTGGTTGCCCGCGTGCATTCGTTGTCTCGTTGAGAGCTGATGCGCTCGACGCGCCCACATCCGCAAGCCACTCCACCGCCTCTCCGTTCGCTCCAACCCCTCTACCCCCCCCCCCCAACCCCAACCCCCCAAAACAGATCTTACTAATGGCCTGCCTGCACGACAGCAAGGTTTTTTGGTACGGCATGTTGGGTGCTGTGTTGTACGGAGCAGATCTCGTACAACGGATCGTACTGCGCCGCCGCGCCGCCGTCGCCACCGCCACCGTTTACCCGCTAGCGCTGCAGCCGCTGTCGCCGTCCCTGTCGGCCGGAAGAAAGGCCGCCGTCGCCACTGCGGTGAATGCGGTCGCGGCGGCGGCGGCGAGGAGCGCGCTTGAGGACCTCGGGGCGGCGGCGGCGGCGGCGATCGACTCGCCGCAGTCGGCTGTGGCGACGGCGGCAGCCACTGCGGCGGCAGCGGCGGCAGCGAGGTCCCTGACGGGCTGCGACGACGGAGGCGGTGAAGAAGGAGGTGGCAGCAGTAGCAGCGGTGGCGGCGGTGTGTCGTTTGTGGTGTTGCGAGTGCCTACTGGGGGGCCGCCGGGGTGCTGTGCGGGACAGCATATCTACCTCAAGGTGAGGTGCGGGAGGGTGGAGTTGTTGAGGTGTTAAACATGAGTGCTGTCAGTGTGTGGGATAGGTGCGTGCCTAGGCACGCTGGTAATACAGCGTTTATAGGCAGCATGCGGGGTTGAGAAGTAGAACTACTAAAAAGGTTGGGATACAGGACGTACGACTCCTGGCTTCAGCAGGCTTCCGTGTCTCCAACCCGTCTCCTTTTCACCTGCCCCCCTTCCTCGCGACTCTGCCTTCCCCCTCCCCCCGCAGGTGCCCAGTGTGTCCCGCTGGGAGTGGCACCCCTATTCGGTGGCGGCGCACGACGACAGCGGCTTTGCGGTGGTGGTGAAAGCGGGCGGGGACTGGGAGCGCCGGCTGTGTGGGGAGCTGCGCAGGAGGGCGGCGAAGCAGCAGGAGCAGCAGGGGCGGGGGCGGCGGGGGATGCGGCCGGAGGGAGCAGCAGCGGCAGCAGGGAGCGGTCATAGCGCGTGAGTGCACGGGAGGAAGGGTGGGGATGGGCGTGTGCGGTCCTGGGGCTGACTAGCAAAGCAGTTCGCGGCGGTAAGGCCGTTGGGCAGTACGGTACTGCATGTACCGGCGATGCCGTACTGCTGGGAGATGCCTGAAGGTGTTTGGACCTGCCATCAACTGATGGTCTTGATGACCACCACCTGCATACCTAACTCCATCCCTCCCACACTCCCCCCATCTCCCCCCTCAGGCACATTGAGGTGCAGTACGAGGGGCTGTACGGCACTCCCGACCTGCAGGCCGCAGCAGCCGCAGCAGACCGAGTGTTGCTGTTTGCGGGTGGCGCGGGCATCACCCCCATTGCCTCGGTGCTGCAATCCCTGCTGCTGCAGACGCAGATGCACACACCGCAGGGCCCACACCCACATCGGGACCCGCCCTCACACCGCGGTGTAACGACGCGGCAGCCACAGCAGCAGCAGCAGCAGCTGCTGCCGCCGGCGGGTGGCAGGAGGGTGGGTGTTGCTGCGGCCTCAGCTGACCATGACAGCAAGCATGGCAACCGCTTTAACGGTTACGCCAACGGACATACTGCTGATGTTGCTGCTGGTACAACTCCTGGCTTCCACGGCCTGCATCTTGATGCGGTTAAGAGCGGGTTTGGGGAGCAAGTCCCAACCGCGGTCGCTGTCATTCCTGCGGTGTCATCATCGCCTCTAACGACTGACGCAGCAGCAGCAACAGCAGGTGCTGCTGTTTCATGCGTGGCTGCATCTGCGATGGCGGCGGCGGTGCGTCGCGGTGCTAGGGTGCACCTGGTCTGGTCCGTGACTCAGCAGGTGAGGTATACAAGGAAGAGAGGCACAGAGAGAAGAAGGAAGCACGAGGCTAAGTTGGATTTGTCATAAAGGCGGGGCGGAATCCCTGTGTACTAGTAGGAGGGATGTGCCCCTTGAGCTTGCTGCAATTTTTTTGTACTCGTCCTCATGCCAGTATCTCCCTTCCTTCCTGGACTAACCCCAATCCCCGCACCGCCTCGCCGCGCACTCCACCTCCCATGTCGTACAGTCCGACGCCCAGCCGCTGCTGCCGCTCCTCCGAGCCGCCTCAGCCGCCGGCTGGTCCGCGGACCTTCACTGTACTCGGCAGCTGCCGCCGGCCCCGCTAGCTGCCTTCGTCTGCTCGGACGGCGGCACCGCAGTCCCGCTGCTGCAGCCGCCGCTGACGGCGGCAGCCAACGGGACGGCGACAGCCACAGCAGACCAGCCACCGTTGCCGCCGGCGGAGGCAACGGCGGCGGCAGCGCCGGTCAACCGCTTTCCCAAGCCGCCGCTGTCGAATCGCGTCCAAGTTTCAGCAGGGAAGGGTGCTGTGGAGGCGGCGACGGAGGCGACGGCGCCGCCGCCGTGGCATCTGAACGGTGCCGCGTGTTGGGCTGTGGCCGCCTTTGCTGCGGTGCTGGGCGGGTTGGGTCGCGCCCTGGGAGGTGGCGTCATGGGCACGCAGCACTGCGATGTGGCTGCGGACACCGCCACCCTGGCTGCCGTCAGCGCCGCCTCTGCTGCTGCTGGCGGCGGCGGCAGCGGCGCCAGCACCTCCACCGTCAGCGCCGCCGTGAAGGCCTGGGTGGCGTCCGTACGTCAAGCGTTCACCGCCGTCGCCTCCTTGGGCAGCAGCTCCGGCGGCGACGGCAGCACTCTAGGCATGGATGAGGCCTTGGAGACCAGCGGAAGCGGTCCCCTGAGGCGCCTCGTCAGCAGCCTCATTCACCTGACCCGCGACGGCTGCCCGGCGACCCTGGACCCCTCCTCCCAGCACTACATGCATGCGCATGCTCAGCAGTTGGGGGACCTGCATGGCTCGGGAGTCGCCAAGGCGGCGGGCGTCGTGAGCCTTCGCGTGTGTCGGGTGTACGGCATGCCGGATCCGGAGCTCTGTGTCAAGTGCGACCCCTTCAAGACTCGCTCCCCGCTAGAGCAGATGTGGCCCTGCTGCTCTGCGCCGGTGTGCTATTACGGCACGCGACTGGCGCCGTTGCTGGGGTGGGTGCTGGGCGTGGCGTTGGGGGCGCTGATGGCTTGCCTGGTGTGGCGGCTGTGGCGGCAACGGCGGGCGGTGAAGCTAGGGTGCGGCGTCGGGGGGGCAGCGGCGGGTCGGAGGCGGGGGGTGGTGCGAGCACCTCGTGGGGTAGGACGGGGCTTTGGCGTCGGGGAGTGGATTCGGGGGTTGCGCGGCAAGTGGGGCAGAAGGGGTGGTAAGAAGAGCGGGGAGGGGCATGGTTCGGCGGCGGAGGAAGAGTCGTTACTGTGGTCCGCCGGTAGTGCCGGGTGCGAGGACGATGAAGCAGCCTTAGCGGCGGCTGCGGCTGAGGAGGGAGGCTGCGGGTTTGATTGCTGGGGAGGTGGGCCGGGGCTGGAGGGCATGCTAGCGGGGTTGGGCTCGACCTGCAGCTCAAGCAGCGGGGCAGCGGGGTCGGGTGTTTGCAGCGATGGCAGCGCGAAGGGGCTGGAGGGCGAGGATGGAGTGCGAGTGCACATGGGGCGTCCGGATGTGGAGGCTTATGTGAGGTTGGCGGCTGCGGGGGGCGGCGGGAGCACGTTGGGTGGGGGCAAGCCGGTGTACGGCGTGGTCGTGTGTGGGCCGGAGTCGTTGCAAGGAGCCGTACAGGAGTCCTTTGGGCGCCACCTGGAGGGGGCGTTTCCGGGGTCGTGGTTCCGGGGTTTCAGCTTTACGACCTAGGGGTTCGGGAGCGAGGGGTGGCGATATCGTTGACGTCTTGAAACAGCCTTTGTTTGAGCGTACCGGTACATTACCGGTTTAGTTTATGTTGTCTTGGGAAGAGGTAGAGCAGAAGATGTAGCGTACGGTCGGCACACATGCACCCCTGCCATGCAAGGTACGGTTATTGTGGCCAGCATCATGAGAGAGGACCTTGACCGGACACGTTGGCGAGTGGTTACATAAATCGATTATGGTAATACATTTCTGGGCGTGCCACGCAAGACACATCTCCTACGCGTTCATGATACAAGTCGCATGCATGCTTTTTTACCAAAATGCCGTACGGTCACCAGATGCATGTATACGCCGCGGAGACCCCATCAATGGTCGACACCCCACAGTTAAGAGGGTCCAAAGTGACCCTAGGGACGCACGCCTGCCCTTATCTATAAGACCATTTCACCGCTGCGGTCGTTGACTGAATATCTTTCAACTCGCATCTCCAGGGGTAGGCCATCCCACGGTAATCCTAGTCGAAGACCCAACCTGCCAGGGGCGAACAAAGCTGCGCGGGACATCCTACACGTTACACACACCCGCGCGCAGTTCCTTGGTGCAAAACGCCTCCTGCAGCCCCTTGTGTCCTAATTGCATACACAGCGTGTCAAGGGGTCACCAAAGGGTAGCATGCATGACGACGGAGCAGCCCCGTCACCCCCGTGTCACCATGCAAAAGGACGCCCTTCAGACCCATTGTCCTGCTAACCGTCGTAAAACAAATGCAATGAAGCGCGGACCGAACCCCACAAGGCGGGGGATCGTACTAGCCCGCAGAAAAACATGGGACAGGAACAGGTAACAGGCACCACGGGACCATGTCTTGTCTTGGTCTTCAGCTTTGTGAAGCGTTGCCGTAAGAAGGTGCCTTCCAGCACCGTACCCCGCCGCGAGCAGCCATGTCGCCGGCTGCGTCTACCCGTCAAAGACCAGGTCCCTGACGTCCGTGCTTGTCAGCGTCTGCAATGTACGCGGATGCGTGGAAGGTCAGGTATGGGTACGGAAGCACCGCAGAGAAACACTGCACCCACGTCATACCCAACAATTGCTGCAATGCTCCCCAGTCCAGACCCCTCGTGCCGCTGTGGCAACCATGCTAAATGCCCCCAATGGTGCTAGGCGCCCTGCATGAGTGCATGACACTCCCCCCTACCTTTCCACTGTGCTTGTCGAACACGTAGCGGTAGAAGGCGCGCTGCTCGGCGGAGCGACCGCCCTTCTTGGTGGGCAGCACCTTGCACTGAGAAACGCCCAGGCCGCCTCGCACACACGTAAGCCTGCGTGTCCATGAAGAGATACCAGTAAGGACATGCAGCACACACACAAGAGCTTGGAAGGCCAAGTGGAAGCACAGCGAACATTCCTGACTGCTGTTGCCGTACATACCCATCCACACCACAAGTACCATGACTAGCCGTCCCTCACAGCTCCGCCGCCTCCTAGCACGCGACACCCACCCACCCTTACCTGCAGTGCGACGGGTCGGTGTCCTTCAGCAGCTCCCGGCGCCGCATGAAGTCCGAGGGAACGCATATCTCGAGGCCGGTGGCGTTGGCCATAGCGCCCAGGTCGCTCTCGGAGAAGAACCGGTAGTACTCGAGCCACCACTCGCCTGGGGTGCGTGATCAGGTACAATGCATGACCGAATCAACAGGATTATATTGATAATGAGGCAACGGGAGTGCATGCATGCATGTCAACCTGGCCCGTTTGCCGTGCTCCCTTGAAGCCCCTTACCCGATGGCAGGCGGTAGAAGTTGACCGGCTCGGCCAGGAAGATTTCGGAGGGCCTCCCGTCGCTCGAACCGCCGCCTCCGGTGCTGCCGAGGGCAATGATAGGGCACTGGTCAAGCTTGTTCCGGTCGCGGCACTTGAGCTCCAGCTTGAGCGGCTCCACCTGTGGGGGCACAGAAACGTGGGTATCCAGCCATGTCAAGCACAAACTTGGCTGCGTAGCGCCAAGCGCAGGTCCCCACGTGGGGCCCTGCCACTAAGGCATGCCTCTTCTCGACAAGCGGCTACACGATGGGGCTGCTATACGCAAGGTAAAAGCCGACGGCTCACAGAACACAGACTTTCCAGGCAACTCCAGGTACTGATGGCCTTGAAGAGGCCACTCCCGTCACACAACATGACCTTGTTAGTTGTTACCCATAACCAGGCACTTACACAGATCCGCGCCGCAAACTCCACCGTCTTCAGCACCACGTCCGGGTGCTGCGTCCGCACGGAATGGTTCTTGGGTCGGCCGAGCGGCTTCACCACACGCACGTCGCTGTCGTACAGCGCACCACCCCCACCTCCCCGCCGCAGCCCTAGCAGGTACCCCTGCGTCATGCGGACGGACTGGCGCAGGAACTTGCTGACGCTGCGGTCCTCAGTAAGCTCAGGCTGCAGCCATGACCCCTCGCTGGAAGCTGCTCGCTGCTGTGAGACGACCAGGGAGGAAGCCTGCGACATGGTCGGGACCCTTGTCGCGGTTACAGGCTCGAGTCGGCGAGCTCGGCCGGTGCTGGCAGAGACGGGGTCATCGTCGTCTCCAGAGTCGTCGTCATCAGCGTCGGTAGCGGTCTCACTGCCACTGTCGGCGGCGTGCGGGCGGGCTGGTCGCGATCGCTGCCTGGCAGAAGTGACTCCTCGGCGCAGGACGTGGGCGGCAGGGGTAACGCCGTCTGTCTCACTGTCAGACTCATACCTGTAGAGCAAATCCGCGAGGGGTGTACAGGAGACAAGGTAATGTGAGTTTGGGATGTTTCCATAGTGACGTGAACTGCATTGGGTGATTTGGGTCACAGCAGCCAATGGAAAGGCAAGGTCGCCGGACGGTGTGATGATATGAAACCCGAAGCTGCAGCATGCTATGATACCGATACCGTACTTTGCACGGTGGCTGCATCCATGCCCACCACTCACATGTTACCAGGCCTGATAATCCGGGCCTTTGAGGAGGCCAGCGGCGTCCTGCCCGCCATCTGGTTCTGCAGGATCCGCTTGATGGTAGCCGGTCCCGCCTGCGGGCCCACGTGGCCCCGCCCCCCGCTGGGTCCCCCCTCCCCCTCCTGCTGCTGCTGTTGGTTTGCCCCATTGGAGCCGTCTGGAGTGACCTGCTCCTCCGGCGTCAGCTGGGGATCCGGCAGCGAGTCGTCACGGCCGTGGCGGACATCCGTGTCGGTGTTGGGCGTCAGGGCGTCCACAAAGTCAATGACGGACTGGGTGTTTCCTGCAGACGTGGAGCTCTCGTAGCCAGACGCATCCACCTCGTCCACGTTGGCCCAGTCAGGAGCTGCCTCAGCCACGGGCGCCAACCGGCGGCCACGATTGGAAACCGAGCCATCCGGCAAGGAGGCCATAGGGTCCGGCTCGTAAACCAGAGACGTAGTCGCCAGGGCCGCGGCACTGCGTCTTGCGGAAGGCCGTTTGCTGCTGTCCGCAGAGCCTGCGAGCAAGCCCGGCTCTTGCTTGACAACAACACCAGCCAAGGGGGCCAGCGCCGGCGGTGGGACGCTTGCTGCGGGAGCGGCAGCTGCCGCACCAACGTGATGGATGGGAGCCGCTCGGCTGCTCATCTGGGACCGACCCGCAGCCCGAGGCTGGGCCTGTACGTCACTGCCAGCCTGGCGCTGGTGCTGACCACTAGCCGGGGGAGCCGCTGCCGCGGCGGCATGGGCGCCCTGGTAGCCTTCGCTGCCTGGTTCGGACTTCACACGCACGGGCGCTGCTGTTGCTGCTTGCGGCTGATTTGGGTTGCGGACCTCCTGCGTTTGCGGAATGTTCGGTTGTGACCTGTCAGGCACCTGCGCCGCGGGCCGGCCAGGCCTGCTGCAGCTTTCAGACGCTGCCGCGCTTGCGACTGCGATGCGCGCAACTGGAGCGCGCGCTCCCGCAGCCCTGGCTGCCGTTGGTCTTGCAACTTGCTCGTGACTTGGGGCAGCCGCAGCTGCAGCTCCTGCACCCTCATGCGCCTGTTGTTGCTGTTGCCGCTGCTGCCAAATGCTGCGCAGGTTTTCCACAGACACCGAGCTGTTTGCCAGTGATGGGCGGGGAGGGGGCGCTGCTGCGGCTGCCAGCAGTGGGACTCCGTCACACCGGCTTGCGGCGGCTCCTGCACGCGAAGGACCCGCACATGAAGGACCTGCTATTTCCCTGGCCTGAGCAGAACCGCCAGCTGCCGCTGCAGGAGCCTCGTCATCCTCCAAATCGTCCTCAAGGTCATCCTCTAGGGACTGATCCGCCTCGGCGCTTGCGGGTGCAGGCAGCTGATCTGCGTTGGTGGCCTTCATGCGGTCATTCCGGACCAACCGGCGGCCCTTGCTGGCGGTTGCTATGTCAGCCAGCTCCGTGTCAAAGGCGCTGTACAGCAAGGCTGGTGGTCGGGGCGGCGGTCGCCCTTGCGCTGCCGCAGCGCTTTGGGGGTGGAGGTCGGCAGGAGCAGCGGGCGCCACCACATCGCCTGGTGTCAGCAGGTCGATGCAGTCGATGGACGGATCGCCGGTTTGCGGCTCCCCGGGTGCCGTACTTAGAGGAGTGGAAACCTCGTCTGAGACCTCGCCAGTTGCTTCTCCGTAGCAGTTGTCGATTCGAGGCGAACCTGCGGCACCGCGCTCCAGGTCCAGGGGCAAGGGCTGTACAGCAGCGGTACGGTGGGTCACATTTGGGTCGTCAGCGCTGACGCCGGAGGTGGGAGTGCGGTTGTCATCCTCAATGCCATCGCCGGCTGTGACAACCGTATCGGCGGAAACGGTTATGGTGTCGGAGTGGCCCAACTTGGAGAAGCTGATCTCGACAGAGGCCTCTGGAACCGCCTTGGCCTGCATTTGTTCTGGGTCCTGCACGAGTTCCTCCTGCGGTTGCCCCTCAGCCGCAGCGGAATCATTGTCTGCTGCGTTACCGGTAGCCTCCTGCACACAAGGGTGTATCGAGAAAGCTCAAGGTCCGCAAGGGCCCGGCGAGCCAAAGCAGAGGACTATCGGCCAAGCGGTAGGCGCAAGCTGCCTTCCCGGCGTAAGCCTACCTGGCAAGCTGCATCCTGCCGTGGCTGCCCTCCCAGACGTAGCGAATCGTTAGGCTCAGCGGCGCCGCATATGCGCGGGCTGGGCATGCTTTTCGCTGTTCCTAGCGGAATGTCAAACGTAAAGTCGCCGCGGGGTGACGCCTGGTGGGGCTTCTGCTGTGCCGGCAGCTTCTTGCTCGCGCTGCTGGTAGCTGCGCAGCTTACGTCCAACGGCGGCGGCTTGCCAGAAGCGGCTGCCTCTTGCGCTGCGGAAGCCTCTCCCTGCCCCCCAAGCCTGCCGTTAGGGCTCAGCTCCTTGAGGGGGGCCCGCCCTTGCTGCTGTCGAGCGGCCAGCTGCGACTGTTCCGAGTCAGCCGCTTGCAATTGCTCATTGGCCGTATGCCCAGCGGCACCGAGTTGCCGGGCAGCGGACAAGGCCTCAGCAATGGCCAACTGCTCTAAGAGGTACTGCCGCCGCCGAGCCACGCCGTCACGAAGCGCGGCGTAAGCAGGGCCCTGTTCATCAGACTTGTAGTTCTCGGTGGATACAAGTCTACCCGCTTGCAGCGAATCGTAGACCCAGCGGAAAGACACAATGTGAATGCCCCACTGGATCGCCCTGTAGTATTTGACGCTCCCGCACTGCGTTAAGATGTCCTTAACAGCCAGGTGGGTGGTTTTCTTGCAAACAAGGTCGCCGCTGTATTGACCACCAAGCTCCAGGACCCACTCCTTTAGGACTTCACGCTCATCGGTTGAGAAGCCTGCATATGCAGCATATCACAGTTTCTGTATGTAAGAACGCTAACGCTTGCCGTAGAAGCTTTTTATTATATACGCGATAAAAGCGGTAATATAAGGAGACCGAAACGTGCACTTAGGACCCCTGGTGACAGTATGCGCGATGTTCAGCAACCTACCAGTTCCAGTAACAACAATTCTCCAGCCTGGCAGCTTGCGGACATTCGACGCAGCGGTGGGCAGCTGTGACATGATGCCTGCGGCCAGGCTAGCTGGTGACCTGTGGCCTGGCTTCCCTGGCCACCTGTACTAGTAAGAGTAGTCACAGCGCCTACACGTCCCAAAGTGTTGTACCGTCGGGTAATGGTGCCATCGCAAGCTCATAACTAAAGCGACAGCTGTCTCGAAACGCAGACATTAGGGTGTATGTTAAACATGAGGTTGCCTTTGCTTTTTGTAAAACGTGATATTCTGTATTAGGAATGTGTGACAACTTTGTGCTTCTGTTCCACCCATTTCGTTCCAGAGGCTGGATCCAAGTCGTTGGCCCCTATCAACAGCTGAAAATTCCAGCGCCGGCAGGACAACTTCTGGCCTTAGCTGTAGCCGAGCACCTAACATGAAGAAAATGGTTTGCTCACCCCTTCACGTCGGCCCTTAATTCTTAGCCCTAATGACAACAGCTTTTGGCCGTGTAAAAAGCCCTGAACACCACATGCTCCTTCTTGTCGCTAACACGTGAATATGCATACCTTTCTGTCCGGTTATGGTTAACATACGGAATCACAAGTCGGGTTCTGCTGTGGCTGAGCAGACCCGGAATGTGGCTGATCACACCCACGCCAAGACGCCAGTGCCATATTCATGTGTTACCAAGTATTGCAGCAAGCCATTGTGGAGCGTGGAAAGGATCCCTCTCAAGCGTCCTAACGAGCAACCATCCACTAGGGCCATCGTCTGTAACGGTCTGCAGGCATTCACCTGCTTGTGTTAGCTCAGGACCGCATGTCGTAAGGATTCGCATGACCGGAGGAGGTGGAGAAAGTACGCGTGCAAAAGTTGTCGGGACCCTCCTCTGTACGGTGCTCCGTCGGCAGCAACAGGGCTTGGGAGCATGCCATGCGGCTGTAAGGGAGCGGCTGGCAGCGACACCCATGCTGGCTGGTTCGCAATGAGGATCTGCAACAGCTCACGTTACAGCTACAGCACCATTATGGACGACGGAACCACGGCGCCGGCGCTGGTCCCAGGATGGCCTGTCATCCAGCCAGTTGTGGTGCTGGCACTACAATGTATGCAGACCGCAGCGGGCAGCTGCCCTTGGTAGGACAAACACGGTACAAACCAGGAACAATCCTCGCACGCGTATCCTGTTGCTGTTGCTTCTCGGGCAATAAACAAACCAGCGGGCTTACGCCTTGCAGGTTGCGACGTGCTGTCAGGTCAGCTACGCCGCCTTATCAGGGGCATTCTCGTCGTACGCACGTGTCCTATTGCTCACAGTGTATCGGTAACTCAGCCACTGGTCTCAGCAGTCTAGCTGCGCCACAGTCCTTTGGTCAAAGCGATCAGCCCCTAAACAAGACGTTCAACATGTCACAAAGTCCTACTATCATAGTCGCCCCAGCGCGCTCGCTGCATACCGTAATCTTCAGTAAATCGCATTTGGGCTCTATGGTATCAACCCCTTGGCCTTGATCTCAATGAAACCGGCCTGCCTGCACCGCTTAAGCCGCGCGCCTACCTTGTAACCCACCTAACCCGCAGCACACATCGCACGCCCGACCAGAAGTCACGGCACCTACCTGCCCCCACAATCCCCGTACCCTTCTTCCCACCTCCCGCACATGCTCCATGTCACCCGAATCCCAACACAATTCGTCACTCTGTCACCACACCGCCACCACCCACATCACACCACCACTACCAACCGGCTACATCACCCGCTGCCGCTGTGCACGCTGGGTATCCGCGAGTACAGCCACTGCATGAGCGTGTCGAAGGCGTCGTCCTGCGCGTGGATGGAGTACTCGGCCCCCGGGTGCCGCGGTGCGGAGCCCCCCGCGCGCTCCTGGTGCGCCTCCAGCAGCTTGCGAGCCTCGGCTCGGGCCATGCGGAGACCCAGGAAGCGGAACCTGGTGGGTGGGAGCGGGGGCGGAGCAGGGAACAGGGGCGGCGGAGGGTGGGATGGGGTTGAGGAAGGAAAGGGGCCTCCCCCATCCCGCACGTCTCTTCCTGCTCACCTGTGCCAGACCTTGTGCAGCTTCTCCTGCATGGTCTTCACGGTGGTGGGCGGGATGCGTTTGAGGATGTCCACCACATTGGGGATGTCGCGCTGCAGGATGCGCACCGAGAACTGCTCCACGTCGATGATGGACTCGAACACAACCTGGGTGGTGGTGGGGGGGGAGAAAGGGGCAGGGGGGAATAAAAAGATAAAGTGCAGCAACGAGTCCCAACCTCATATCCCGACCCCTGCAGGGGGGGCCAGGGAGACGCAGCAGGCAGGGAGGAGGAACACAGGCGCGGGGTGATTGTGCTGGCTAAGGGAGATTGTGATAGTGCTTGGACCCGGATCGATAGTAGAGCGACTTGGGCTGGTAGACGGCGAGGTGAGGGGCTGCAAGGGAGGTGATTCTGATGGCGGGATGCAGGTCCCCACCTTCTACTCACACATACTCCCACCCGGGGCCCCCAGTTCCCCGCCCCTTCCCCCGCGCACCTGCACATCGTCCATGATGATGACGGGGATGCAACCATGCAGCACCGCATCCTCCAGCCGAGGAGACCAACCGTCACCTGCACAGCGAGTAGAGCAGAAGGAGGTCAGGGGCCCGGCGCAAATTAGTGAAGATGGTTGGGGCCAGGTGACCAAGCGGGGATGCTATGCGCCGGGGGTCGCATGCAAAGGCAGATACCCCTCCTCCCCAAGCCGCCCCCGACCATGCAAGACGTACTCCCATCCGTCCCATGCACGCTCCACCCAAATTAGCAACATCATGCCGCAGCGCAAACCTCATTCCTTATCTGTACTAATTCGTAAAAAACAACCCCATTACTCAATACCACGCGCCATTCCACCATGTACCACCCCTTCGCCATCCAACCCGCACGGCCACCCAGCCCGCCCGCCCCCCTTACCCGGCAGCACGAAGCAGAACGTGGACCGGGCCAGCAGCTCGCTGTAGTCCTCGCCACTGCCCGCCACGTCCTTCCGCTCGCCGTACCAGATCGCGTGCGCCTCCTTCCAGTGGTTGGAGATGCTCAGGTTGTACAGCGTCTGGCGGATGCACCTGGCGTACAGGTTGGGAGCGAGGGGGGCTGAACATGAGAGATGAGAAGGTGGGGGGCATGCAGGTCGGAGAAGAGCCGCGAAGAGGCTGGCCATACCCAAGAGCCGGAGGTTCACCAAGCACCAGCCCTTCTACCCGCCAGCAGTGCTGCCCTTCTCCCCGCTCTCATTCACCCACCGGGACCCCCACGCGCCCACCGCCTCCTCCACCCTTGCCCATTCGTGGTTTCCTATGGTTTGGTCTATTTTGACCCCCCGCTTCCCCCACCTGCTGTAGATGCAGTCCGGGTCGCGGCCCGGCTGCATGCGCAGGTCGCCCATGAAGAACGCAAAGATGTCCCGACCGGCGGCGGGCGGCGGGGCACCCAGGTAGGGCGACTTGTGGTAGTGGCGGGGCGGCTTGAAGGCGGGGATAACCAGGTCCTGGAGGGGGGGAAAGGAGGGGAGGTTAGGAAGACTATAAGCAGGTGACAAGGCTCCGCTATGAGGGGGAAGGAGGCGGGAGGCAGCGGGCGGGTGAGAGGCAGCGGAGGAGGAGAGGGGCATGCGCTACTCGTACGGCACCCATACCGGCACAACCCAACTTGCACTCTGAGTACCATACCACCCACGCACCCCCCCCCCCCCCGCCCGCATGTCCCCCAGGCCAACCCCACCCCCTACCTTCTTGGGGTCGAAGCAGGGGTGTGTTCGCGAGGTGTGGTCCAGCCAGTCCCCGGGGTGCTCGGGGTGCTGCAGCGACATGCTGTAGTTGTCCTGGGGGGCGGGGGAGTGGGGGGGAGGAGGAGGGAGGAGTGTGGAGGGGGGGAGAGGAGGAGGGAGGAGGAGGAGGGGTAAGGGGTGAGGGGCACAGAGGAGGAAACTAACAGACTGTTGTGGCATGTAGGCTCCGGGCCCAGCCATGGGTCGCGGGTGGAGTGAGGGGCTGGGGGCGGGGAGGAGGATGGCTGGTGTGAGGTGCGCTAGGCTGGGCGGTGGCAGGGGCGAAAGGATGCCGTGAAACAGCTACCTGTGAACCGCAAATCCCACAACCCCACCGTCCGTCTCCCACCCTCTCTCTTTCTCAGAGCTCTCATCTCCTTTCCTTACCTCCCCACCTAACCCCACCCCCTCCCTCACCTGTCCATACGCGGTGTGTGAGAGGTGTGGGAAGTCGGTGCGGCCCCAGTGCGACAGCATCACACCCGGCCACACGTCCTTCCACACGTAGCAGGCGCCCTCGTCGTGCGGGTTGAACCAGATGTGGTCCCGACCGCCCCGCCGCGCGAACCAGGGGAAGGTGGCGTTCAGCCAGCGCTGGGCCTCCCGCTGCATGAGCGACAAGCCGTGGGAGCGGGGACCTGGGGGGGGGGAGGGCGGGAGGGGAAAGAGGAACACCCAATGGGTTGTTGTATGATATTGGCAAACAAGAAGACAAGCTCTGTGGGGACTTCATCTTCCGGCAATCACAGTACGTTCCTACTCGCGGCCAGTTTTCTTAACACTTCAAACCCACACCCACCATGCACGTCCTTGGGCCAGCGCGGCACCTCGTTCCAGCCGTACACGTCCAGCATGCAGCCCACATTGACCGGAACGAAGAAGAAGTCCGCCTCCTCGGGACTGTGCAGGTGGGAGCGGGCGAGGGAGCGGGCGGCGGACGGCGTCGGTCCACTCACCCTCATCCCTCCCTCCCATGCGCTAAGTTTGCATGCAAGCACTCCATCCTTGCAAGCATATAAAGACAGAAGCATATGCATACACGCTACGCATGCGACCAAGCATGTCGTTAGGCCACCCCCCCTCCCTGCCCCCCCACCAGTACCCACTCCAGAGTGCGGTGCTCCGAAGCCAGGAACAGCTCATGCAGCACGGGCTCCGTGGAGTAGGCGTTGTAGCCAACCCAGTCAGGGGTATTGTCGGTCTTGAACGTCCTGCGGGGGGCGGGAAGGGGGTCGGCGACTCAAGAGTTATACCAAAACCACAAAAGTTAGGGCCAAGCAAAGGGGAAAAGGGGAGGGGGGAGCAGCCTCATGGACATGTGCCGTAGGGTCAGCGTAATGAAGGTGTGGCGGGATTTGCAATTAAGGTTGAGAAAGCGGAGCGCTAACCGGTATAGCGTGTGACAAAAGGCCTCGTGCCTCACGGCTCTTTCATAAGGCACCATCCAAATACTCCAACACGACACCTCAACCACACGCCTCACGGCCATCCGGCACGCTTCCCTTTCACCATACTCCCTCCCTCACCATGTCACACCCACCCTCCCCCCCACCTGTACACGCAGTGCGAGCCCTCAATGCGGTACTGCAGCAAGTCACTGCCGTACTCGGGTTTCATGTCGTACACGTAGACGTACGGCCGGCGCCGTACGGGGGTGAGCGGCGGGTCCTCCGTGGCCACGATGTGGGTGCGTACGGCAGGCAGCCAGGGCTGCTTGGTGAGCAACTCCAGGCCTGGGGGGGAGGAGGGGAAGAAGAATACCCAGTGTGTTGAATGAGAATGGCAAACAAGACGGGGGGGGGGGTAAAGATGCCGGAGCAGCGAAAAGAGAGCCGTATGGCGGCAAACAAGAAGTGCAACAAACATGGCCTGGTGCGCGGAGTTAAAGTCCCACAGAATCCAGTTGGGCGGTAAGCTGGTAACCTCCTGCTGTCCACCGCACATGCCATTGCTACTCTCCTCCCCCATGCACCCTTCCCCTCCGCCTGCCCGCCTTCCCCTTCCCTCCCGCCCGCCTCACCCTGCTCCTCCGCCGCCACCCCCTCCCGCCTCAGCGCGCAGTCCACCCCGTACCAGCCCTGCTGGCAGGCGCAGAAGCCCTGGTTGCAGCGCCCGCGCCCCGAGCACTGGTTGGGACACACCTGCTCCGACACCACATCGCACAGCGGCCCGTGCAGACCGTCAAGCCTGGGGGTGCAGGGTGGTTGGGTGGGAGGCAGGGTGGGAGCGTTGGTGGGAGCTAGGAGCGGCGAGTTGAACACTGTTTTCCTTCAGCAGGTGCTTTTCCTTAAGCCGGTGAGGGTGGGTGGGAGAACAGGGAGCAGCGGTTTGCGGCTTGGGATATTACCGGTGGGCAGGAAGCGGGTGTGTCGAGAATGCAGACAGGAGAGGTGAGGGGGACGGCGACTGCAAACAACCAAACCACTATAAGCCCCCATTCCGTTCCGTTTCGCCCGCAATGCCCCGCTTCCCCCGTTTCCGCACCTGCATGGGCACGTGAAGTTGGGCTTGTCTGCGTTGCACCAGCCCGCCGGTCCGAACATGTCCGGGAAGGGGGTGCCGCCCCACTCCACCTTGCGACCCTCGCTGTCCTGGGGGCGGGGTGGGGGAGGAGGGGGAGGAGGGGGGCGGGGACGGGGTGGGGGAGGGGTCAGGCAGCGTGGGGGCAGGCGGGGGAAGGGCAGGGCGCGTAACGGGGGTCGAGAGCTTAAGAGGAGGGAGCTGGGAGGGAGTGGTACCGACCGCGGAGTGAAGAGCTGAGCGGGTCGGCCGGAATGGTGGCATGTTGGCCTCCCGGTCAATACTCCCCTCTTATTCTGAACCGAACCTCTGTTCCTGCCGTCACACACCCCATCCTCAACCCCCTCCTCCGCCTTTCCCTACACCCACTCCCCCGTCGTCAGTTTCCTTATCTTAACCCCTCATTCTTCCCCTCCTCCGCCCTCACCGTGCCGGGTGTGCACATGAACAGCGGCCGCCCCGCCTGCAGCGGCGGGCTGCCCAGCGGCGACCCGGGCGGCGCCTCCTTGCGACCGTACTTGGTGTCAGGAGGGCAGTAGCACATGGCGATGTCGTCGTCACAGACGCCTGTGAGGAGGGGGAGTGAGGCGGGGATTGGGAGGTGGGCAAACCGCACACGACAGGAGGGGTTGGCGCGTGCCGAACGCTTTTACCCATGCAAAACCCCCTAACAGCAAACTTTTAAAGATGACCTGCCACAACACGATGGGATGCCCCGTGTGGGAGTTTGTCCCCAATACGCCCCGCCCCACCCTCACCACTGTCCATGCCCTGTACCCCCTCTGCCCATGCAGTACCGTTTAACCGGCTTAACCGGCATTACCGTATCCTACCCCCAACGGTCAGTAAGTTAATTCCTCTTTACCCTACCTCACCCCCCTCTCATTATCTATTTTTTACCTCCCACCCCACCCCCACCCACCCGCGCATCTGGTATGCGACCAGGTGGTCAGGTTGTGCCACCCCGCGTCCCGCTTGTCCGTCCCCATGTGCGCGCAGGGCCGCTTGCGGGGCGCGGCGCAGTCCGGCCCTCCGTACCCGGCCGGGCAGAAACACATGCCGTACTCCGCATGGCACACCCCCACGCCGCTGCAGTTGTTGGGGCAGGGCTTGTTGTAGTATTTGGGAAGGTAGCGCGGAGCGGGTGTCTGGGCGGGGGGGCGGAAGGAACGCAAGGGGGGGAAGGATGGGGCATGCGGGTTGGTTTGTGGGAGCGGCAGGGTGGTCCAGAGAGCGGTTTTGACATGCAGGTAAGAAAGGAGCGGTGAGGGCTTACGGGGGTAGCAGCAGCAGCGTGTATTGCGGCAATGGCCCAGGATGAGCGGGGGTATGGAGACCAACGCTCCGACACCCCTACTAGCCCTTGCATGTGGCCCCGTCCTGCTGAGCATCTTGAGGACTTTTATAAGGCCCCCCAAACACCAGGAAAGCAGGCCAGCTCACATCCTACCCCAACCATGAGCGCGCCCCCGCAACGGCCCCGTACACACACCGCCACCACCACCACACCACCCTGCTCTCTTTTCTCCCATCTGGCAAAGTGTTAACGCACCCACAACACCGCACCCGTGTTACGGTACCCGGACAGGCATACCTACGCATAGCGGATCAGCCCTCTATAACCCTACCCAGGACTTCCATCCAGGACCATACCCCGCGTTGCAACCCTCCACGTCCCTCTCTTCCTGCCCTTAACCCTGTGCAAATCAGTGATGTTCACTAAACGTTTCCCCTTCCGTTTTCGCCTTTTCCATCGCCACCATCCCCAGCACTACCACCCCTAAATCCCCGTTTTTTTGCCCGGCCGTGGTCTCCAACCCAGTGCCCTTCCAAAGAAGCAAGTCGTTGAATAGTGTCTCCCCATCGCATCCCCCCATCCCTCCTCCACACCTGCCCATGAAACTGCGCGCACCAGACCCCCTTGGTGGGGGCACACCGCTGCTCCGACAGCACCGGTAGCGGCAGCAGGCTGGAGCGATTGAGCTTCATCACCAGCAGGGCCACCTCGTCCTCGCTGTGCTTATCGTTCTCATCATCCTGTGTAGTGAAGATGCAGGGAGGTAAACAGAGGTTAGCAATAGGAAGGAGGGGTGGGCAGCCCGTAAGAGGCCACACGTCGCCATGCCAGTCCGGGTTACTACAATTGGCAACAGCTCAGAGCTCTTGTGAAGCAGTGATCACTCGCGCAGCGTATCACTTATACAAGCCCGGGTGTCAAAACGTTCAACGTTGGCTCAAAGGTTGGTTCAAAGGATATGATGGCGTTGCATAATTGCATATGAACGCTTGCCGCATGTACAACAAACGCCCAGCTCAGCTATTTGCAATTGAACAACGCGTAAATTAAATAGCAAGCAGTCAACGAGTACAAGCAGAAATTGTTCACCGAAATGCACTTACTTGCAGCAAACTCCTGCCGACTCCTGAAACCCCAACCATTTGCCCAAAATGACTCGTCTCCTGTAGTCCATGGTGACTGACTGCTGGGCTGACGGATGATCGCAGGCGCTGCACACATGGCGCGAGCCAAGGGGCCGCAAGAAAGTTTAAGCAACGCTATTAATGTAATGCCAAGGCTAGTGAGACTACCCACCAGGGCTAATCCAAGCAATGCGACCAGCGGCAGGAGCCGAAAGAGTATTCTTTCAGCTACCATGCTGTGCAGAAAGAGGATAGCCGGTACCCTAGGTTAGGACATAATATCAATCGTTGTTTGCAGCTACGCTAATAAGAACTATGTGACAGCTATGGACCTGCCCGAGGATGTTGACGCTGTGCAACATTCGGTTGGTTTCGGCGTCGACAACTCCAGCCAAAATTGCGACGCTTTAGGAGTAACTGCTTTCACATTACTTCGTATGTCACAGTGCATTACTTAGCCAACATAGCAGTTTGATCCTTGGTCTGCCTCGGCGAGTCGCTAACACGGAAATGGGCAATGCGCTTTCGCTGGTAAGCTCCCAAACCCCAACAACACGAGGGGTGCACATGAACTTGAACATCCTACTCACAATAGTCATATCTTAGTGAATTCGAGGCACGCCAAGCCTCAACCGTTCAGTACCCGGAGCTGGCACAGCTGCCAATCCATTCCCTTGCCGCGCGTGTTTCAACAAAGCTTTCCTGGCTCCGTTCCTTGCCCTCAGGCTGTTTCGAATGGCGTGCCGCTGGTCGGCGGTATGGTGGGAGGCTTCGTGACCCAAAAGGATGTCCTAACCTGGTAAGGACTTGCTGGCGCGTTTCCTCGGATCCTGTCGGGCGCAGCCTGAAAGAACAGCTTTGAATAACGCATGCTCCGAGGCATTTACATGTTACCCTCCGGCTTTCTACAGTAGGTCTCGGCACTCTTTTGCTTTTGTCCCGAGCGCCGCGAGGCTCGTAAGGCACCACATCCTTTGCCCTTCCTTACCGCTTTGCACATAGAAGACGCGAGCAGAGTGTTACAGCCTAGCATGACCTACTGTTAGGGTTTTGTCGTAACGCCCGTTGGATGCCAGCTCTCAACACCACATACCGTCATATTCGCGCCAGGCGCCACAACTCTCCCTGTCCGGCAGGCTGCCGGGTAATACACGGTCGAACCCCGATGTGTTGTTGCCCCCTCCACATGGGTTGGGCTCCCGGGTAACGGGCTTAGGGCACCAGGCCGGCCCTCAGGACTGTGTACGGCAGGACACCTCCAGGAGCCTCCGCCGTCAGCTACCTCCCATGCGCTTGCTTGCCCGCCCTTGCTTGCTTGCCCTTCCTTCCCCCTTCCTGCCTGGAAGCTCCTTCGCATTAATGCTCGAATCGCACACGACTGACCCATGGGTCACCCACCCCGCCTTGCTGGCGCCCACCACCTGTCCGTGGCTCTGCAGGTACGCCAAGATCAACAAACCCAGATGGACCCCCCCGGTGAGCGGGTTGGGGTCGGCCTGGGGCGGAGACCGGAGAGAGACGCTTCTTAAGCACCAGGACACCCACCGGTACACCCTACCGGCGCCGTCCTTCCATCCCTCCTACTCAACCCACTACCCAACCCACTACCCGCACCAACCGCCCGCCAACTCCCGGCACGCATCACCGTTCACCCCATGTTTCCTTCCCGCTACCTGGACTCCCACCGAACCCCACCCTCTTACCGCCCATCCTGACTCCTTTGGCCTTCCCCTGTCACTCTTCATCCTTTCGCGACCCCGCTTCGAACCCTCCTTCCGCCGCTCCCCTACCCCGGCCCATTGGAACCGTAGGTTTCTTCCTCTCCCTCCTCATCCTTCCCTCCCTCCTCACCCTCCTCATCCCACCCCGCTCCCCCCTCCCCCGCTCCCCCCCGCTCGCCTTATCCCTCAGTCAGTTAGTTGTTTCCTCTTTACCCCCCCCCCGCTCCCCTCCCTCCCCCTCCAGAACTTCCTGTTCGCGCCCGTGTGGTCGGCGCTGTACGTCATGATGGGCACCGCATCCTGGCTGGTGTGGCGCAAGAAGGGTGCGACACGGGGGGGGGAGTGGGGGCAAATGTGGGTTGACAAGGTTGGCAGCAAGAGCATTCGTAGAGTTGAGGGAGGGAGGGAGGGAGGGAGGGAGAGTGCTATGTGCGGCAATGGAAGCCGTACCGGTGGCATCCCTTACTGACAACCCTTACCGGTATCAAGTCCCATCCAGTTTCCCTTCCTTCGCCTTCACACCCAGTCTTCCCTCTCCGCCCCCCACCCGCCCGCAAGGAACGGTTAGTTCCTTGGCATGCGGTTAGTTCGTTTCTTCCTCCTTAACCCCCCCGCCCCCGCCCCCCCCAGGCAAGAACCACAAGGTGGCACTGGGGCTGTACGGCGCCCAGCTGCTGCTCAACCTCATCTGGTGGGGGCCGTCGTACTTGACTTGCCTGGCTTGCCGTACTTGCCTTGCTTGCATGGTTCGTTGTCTTTTGTTCCTCGCTGGAGTCATGGGCTGCTGGCTGCTGCCTGATGGCTGCCAATGTTAAACGCTTGATACGGCTACCTACCTACCTGCGTTCGTTAACGGCAGCCTCCGCCGCGGCGTCACGCCGACCTGCGTGCTCACTGTTATCTTGCATGCGTGCAGTTTCCTGTGCCACCGGTGTTAGCTATTGTCCTGTTCTGCATACCGTGTCTGGTCACGCAAACTTTCCTGCATGGAGATTTGCACCGCCATATGCCGCTCCCGGCCGCCATGACCCGGTGTGAGTCACCCCCCCTGCCGGTGACCCACGGGTCGCAGGAACCCGCTGTTCTTCAAGACGCACAAGACGGATGTGGCGCTCGTGGACATCACAGGTGGGCGGGATTGCCTGTCACGCCACCCACATGCACCTGCACACGCACCCACATATCTCACCCCCGGCATACATGCACCCTCCACCCTCAGCGCTGTTGGGCCTTGCCACCGCCGCCACCGTCTTCATGTCGCGCGCCTCCAGCCCCGCCGTACAGCTGCCCCTCATGGTGCCGTACCTGGTGTGGGTGTCGTACGCCACCGCCCTCAACGCCAACATCTGGGCCACCAACCCCTCGGAGCGGCTCATCAAGGTGCGGAGGAGGAGGGGAGTGGAGGGCAGCGGGAGGAGCAGAGGGAGGAACGGTGGCGTGTGGGAAGGGAGTTCGTCGGCCCTTGCTATCTGCGCTTTATGATTGAGGAATGGACGGAGCGTTCTGGGCGTTCATGATCTTCCCTAATTGACATATCCTTAACCCTCCACCCGTAACCCTTCACGAACCCCTCCCCCCCGCCTCCACACCGACACCTTCCCATGAACCCCCTTCCTCCACCCCGCCTCACCCCAGCCCCGCAAGCAGAAGGCCGCTCAGGCCAAGCCGCAGCCGGCCGGTGTGGTGCGCGAGGCGGCGCGGGCGGCGGCCACGGGGGTGGAGGCGGTCAAGGCGGCGTCGGAGGCGGTGACGGCGGGTGGGTGGGGGAGGTAAAACTAAGGAAAAGGGGTGGTGAGGGAGAAAAGAGGGCGGGGAGAGGGGTCGTTTCGTAGGGGAGGAGCGGAGGGAAGGTGGAGGGGGAGTTGGCTTCGTTGACTGAGCAGGGTCTTCGCTTAGCAAGGAGCGAGAGTGTGTATTTGGGAGACAAACTGCGGATTCCGGAGCCGTATTCCGGAGCCAACGGCAAATCATGTCCTCAACGTGACTTATCACCCGTCCTACTGCTGCTGCGTCTCATTCCAAACACACTCCCTCGCTACGTGCCTTCTCGGTACTCCACACCGGCCGCGCCGCCGCATGCCGCCCCACCCTAACCGCACCCCCCCGGACCCGTCATCTTCGCCACTGCTGCCACTGCCGCTGCCGCTACACCGCTGTGCTGTTGCCACTCGCTTCACGACCGGTGTGTCGTACTGGGTACGGCAACAGTCCGTGAGGGGCAGTACGGCAAGGCTATCCTGGCAGCCGACCAGGTGCCCACCACGGGTGCGTGCTGCGTGGGCGTTGCGTGTGAGCGTGCGTGGACGTGCATGCGAGCGTTTGTGCGCGTGCGTGCGAGCGCTGCGTGCGTGCGGAGAAGACAAACGCGAGCGCGAGAGGGAGGGTGGAGCGGGACACGAGAGAGAGTGGGGGAGAGAGGGAGAGGGAGGGAAGAGGGAGGGAGGGGGCAGAGAGTGAGAGGGAGCGGGAAGGGCGACAGGGGGTGTCGTTCGAGGTTCGCTCGTACGTCATCAACTTGTTGCCGTACCGGTATCATGATCGGCTCCTTGGCATGCTCCATGGCAGCTCGTTTACCTCCAATCTCTCCAGCACCTAGCCATTAGGCAACCTGTGGAATGTGCATTACCGGCTTCTTGGCTCCGTCCTGTACCTTCACGAACTTCCCACTCTTCACACTTTTCTCAAATAGCATATTCATTGCCTCCTCGCCAATCACCTAGTTGCCGTACTTGTCGTACCGCGTGCAGGCAGTGCTGCCGTACAGCATGCCGCCGCCGCCGCCCAGCCGGTGATGAAGGCCGCGGGCGCCGTCAAACACACCACGGAGGAAGTCAAACACGTCGTGAAGGACGCGGTACGACAACACCACCAGCGTCGTTCTTGCTGTTGTCGTACCTCGTACAATACCTTCTCATGTTGCACATGCACGCATGATGAACAGAGATGTGCGGCTGTCAGGGCTGGGCTGGGTAATAGCGCGTCAAGCTGATATCATACTGGAACTAGCCCTGTGCCCGGAACTTGGTGCCGGGAAGCTGCAATCCCCTTCTCTCCTCGACCCGCAACACACCCGGTCATCAGCCCTATCCCCCGCCTCTCTTCTCCCTCTTTCCACCCCTCCTACACTTCACCCCACTCGCCGCAGGGCGCAGCACTGGGCGTGTCTGCTCCCTCCGCCCCCCCGCCGCCCTCCCCCTCCGCCGGCAGCACCCCTGCCTCCATGGCCCCCGCCAGCAAGGCGATGGCGAAGGAGGTGGAGCGAGCTACCAAAGCCGCCAAGGCAGCAGCGAAGGGGGCCACCGCAACCTCCGCTCCGGGTGCTGCTGAAGCAGGGGAGACGCGCGGCGCTGCGGCGGCTATTGAGCAGGAGCTGAAAGAGGCTGGGGCTCTGTGAAGGGTGATGGGGAGGGAGGAGGAGGGAGTGGGAGGAATGTTGGGGGTGGTGGTATGTGCGGTGAGGAGGTGATGGGGTGGGAGGAGTGTTGGGGGTGGTGGTGGCTGTGTTAGGTTGCTCGGATCGGAAGTGGGAAGGCAGTGCATGGTGGGTCGGGGTCGGTGGTAAAGAGGAAACAACTAACTGACTGGTGGTGGCGGGTGGTGGCGGTGGTAGCTTCCTTTGCATGCATGCATGCCTGCCCTTGAGAGCGCATGTGCACAGAGGTGGTGATAGTAAGCACGTGCTTTGTATCGCCTGAGGATGATTGGCAGGTGAAGACGGCCTGAAGCGTTGAAACACGTACGTTGATGTTGAGAGAGTCCCATGGGTCGGCCGTTATGCGCAAATCATCATGTGAGAGCTTGATGAGGGGTATACAGGACGCTGTATCCATCAGTAACCCCTCTTGTAGGTTTTTTCAAGTTGTATACAAGCTTAGCTGTTTGCATGCCTGTCAGGATACCCCGCGGTCTTGTCTTTGCTCATTCTTTTCATTGCGCTTCATGCACCTTAGTCATGGGGCTGGTGTGTGGTGCTGTCGTTGAAATGCAGTACAGTATGTTGCTAGTACAGTTGCCGCCGCTTCCACAATACCGGTAGAAGCCCCCAGTCCTAGTTCTGCGGGTATACCAGGACTCCATTCTCAAGTGCACATTTGCAGGATGTGTAACATGCAGCCTCCATGCATAGAGGTGCAGCTCACTCCCTGCCGTACCAAACGAGTGCCCTAACCCTTCATTGCGCGCTCTTTACACACTACGTAGCGTTCCGCTTGCCGGCCGGCCCAGTATGCGATGCGGACCAACGCCATCCCTTGACCCATGGGTCTCGACTGGACACCCTTGGGGGACAACAAACAAACAATGCACCAGCGCGACCCTGATCCTGGCAACATCGGACCCAGCTCTTATATAACCAACCCCAAACACCACCCTCTTAGGACGCGCAAAACGTTGAGAGCCACGGAAAGCCATGGGCGTCTCAGCCTCACATCCTAACCCCACCACTACGCCACTCTAGGATGCTCCTAAAGACCTAAACGCGGTCCTACAACAGGACCAACAGTAGTTGGATGACGCCGTCATGCATTTCCCAGGCTGTGTCGTGCGTCCAGCACCTACACCTTAGCAGCAGCAGGTGCTACCCACCCCGACCCGACATACGCCCGACAACTAGCCACCCTCATGCCACCACGACAGAGGGTGTTGCGGCTGTGTAAGCGCTACCAGGGCGACGTACCACAAAAGCGTACGGCTAGTACTCGTGCACAGCTCCGTCTTACGTGGTTGCTGCTACATGCGACACACTGCTGCCGCAGCTGCTGTCCGCCGTCCTCAGCACCCAAGTGCATGCATGCAAGCAAGCGCGCATGCATGCATGCAGGCAGCCCTGCAGCCCTGCAGGCCAGCAGCCCAGCCGCCTTGTAAAGGAATGTCTACCGGATGTACCGCTGCAGGAAGCGCTTGTGGAAGTCGTTGCGGATGGTGTCGTTGATGAAGCGCTTCTGCGCCTTGGGCTCTCCGCGAGCCTGGTTCTTGAACACCACGTCGTCGTCCCACCTGCGGCGCGGCGGCGGGCGAGGGGACGGGGAGAGGGGAAGGGGGCGGCCAGAGTTAAGCAAGCGGAGGAGGGGGATTCCGGCATGCAAAGGAGCAGCGGTAGGTGCGGTAACCGTGCGGGAAGAGGCCAAGTGCGGTGGCGCGATCCACAGAGATCCACACGCCCCTCAGCTCCGCAACGGCTCCCGCAGCACTCCCCCCGAGCTCCCAACGAAACCGGAAACACCAAACCCTGGCTCCTACTGCTGTGGCACCCTGCCCAGCCCTCCGCCTCCTCTGCTGCATGCGGCCTTACGGAAAGCTGCCCCCAAGGGCACCGTCATACCCCACCTCTCGGTTTCTCGCGGCTCAGTTTATCTAATACCCCACCTCTGCCGGGCCCTCGAGCCCCACCCTCCCTCACCCCCTCTCTCCCGCTCCCAGCGCCCCCGTCCCCAACCCAGCAGCGCCCCCCGGGCCCCACCTGCGCTTGATGTTGAAGCTGACGTCCCCCGCGATGGCCAGCAGCGGGTTGCCGCTCCGGAGCTCCTCCTCCTTGGCCTTGGCCGCCACCTCCGCCTCCTCGCGGGCCTGAAGGGGTGCGGGGTTGGGCGGACAAGGTGGGAAGGGAAGCGACACATGCGGACTAATGAGTTGCACCACCACACGGCGCCGCCACACAGCTGTGTTGGGTTGTGTAGCTCAACTCACTAAGCCAGGTCCCGACTGCAAACTGAAAAGCTGGAATCCGTGACGACCTCCCCTCCCTTGCCCCCACAGGTTTAAGATGGTAACATGGTGTGTGTGGCTCACTACGCCAACAGCAGCCTCACCCACGCCCGGCAGCACGCGCACGGCCCCATGTCATGACGTCCCCTTCCTCCTCCTCGCCGTACCATTGGCTACCATCCAACCCCCCACCCATCTTTACCCGCTCCCCCACCTCCCGGTCCCTCTCTCACCTTCTTGGCCGCCTCCTCCGCGCGCTCCTTCTTTATGCGCTCCAGCTCCGCCAGCAGCAGCGCCTCCTCGTCCTGTGGGGGGGGGGCGGCAACACGCAACAAGGGCAACAACGAACAGGGGAAGGGGGAAGACAGGAAGGGGGAGGCCGGGGGCACGGGGGACAGGAGTGGGGAGGGGGTCAGTAGCAGCAGCAGGATCAGAGGAGTGCGCAAGGGCTAAGAGGACGGTGGCAGCGGCAAGGAGTAACGGCCCTACCAACAGCGCACATAGTGCTAGCTATACATAGTGCACAGTACTGCTGTCCGCAAGGGCCACAACGTCTGGGGCACGCCGCCGCCAGGCCGTAGCAATCCCTAGTACAAGGCTCCACATCCATCAACCCTTTAAGCAGCTTTCAAAGCAGGACACCCGCCATGTACGGATACCCAGCGTGGATCACCAGGAGGCAGACGCCTCCCCCCCTGCAGACACCCCACACGTCTCCCGACGGAGCCCCTTGGCCTGCCCTGCCCTGCCCCGCATAGCACCCGCCGGGTACTCACGTCATCGTCATCATCGTCGCTGCTGCTTTCTGAGGACTCTGGGTCCTCGTCGTCCGCGTCTATTGCTTTAGGCACGAGCTGCCTGGTTTGCCCGTCCGGAGGAGCCGCTTCCAGGAGTTTCAGGTCTCTTTGTCGCTCCTCTGTGCGCACAAGTCGGGTCAAGCTGTTGATGGCATCTAAACACCTAGTATGGTTGTAACCGGTCGCCAGACAGCCATAACTGTTGTTGGCTACACGACTAGGGCACAAGGGGACGCCATACCTTCAAATGCTGATGTGGAGCCCTTCTTCTCTGCAAAGTGCTTCCGCTCCTTCTCCTCCAGCTCCGCTCGCAGGTCCCGAGCCCTAACCTCGTCGGCGCTGGACTGCCCATCTTGCCTAAACTTCAGCTTCGTGTGACCTGGGAGGTTCTTCGCAGAGAGTGCTACGCTGGGCTTGAAAATGCGCATGCCACCCTGCTCCTCGCCACCGATAGCGGGGGCCCATGTTGGCCTATGCGCCGTCGTCATCTTGACTTTGCAAAGCTAGCAGATATGTTTCCTTTTCTTTACCAGCTCAGGGTACTATAGTGGAATACTAGGCTCTGCCGGGGTCTGCCCTTGTTCTGTTACAGCGTCTCACTTCTTGGTTGCTCTGCTTGTAAATGACTTGAGGGCATGCGGACAGAGGTAACGGCAATAGCAGCCCTTTTTACTATGGTCTCGGAGGCGGAATGAACACAATCGTTAGTTTTCGTCTTTTCTCTAGCCTACATGGCTACTTCGAACTGATCAGAAGCTTTAATTGTTCGGCGCATTGACCTACGCCATGGAACGTTTAGGGCAGGGCTGGAGGGCTCCATGTTGACATAGCAAAGCTTTGAGCCTTTGCGTACCACAGATCCACAGTATTTGTATTAACATAGCTCGATGCGTGCTACGGAAAAAGAATTGCTTTGCATTATGAACTCTCGGGCCACTATGGGGCGTCACAAAGCTGCTTTGTTGCTCCCCGTCCTCGTAAGCGCTGCTGTAATAGCAGTTACATGATCTCCCTTAAGCTCACGTTATCTACCTCGTTAATACTCGCAGTTGGCAGTTGCGATGTTGCCGCTCGGTTCCGCGGTGTTTACGGAGGAGGAGATACTGTCTTTCACAATGACGGATGCAAGCCTGGAGGGGCATAGCAGAAGCCTGCTACAGGTGTGTATACTCTAGCTGCCGACGCGCGCTCTTCGGCTCCTGTATATCTTGCGCCTACACAACTTCTCCCCTACCGGTCTTACCTCCATCAGATCAAAGCCCCCTAGTTGTACGGAATGCTTGCCTTCTCCCCTTGACTGAACTAGCGGCTGAAAGGTCCAAATAAAGTGTCCAGCACTCGCCAGGTACCCGTCTGGGCCACTGGCTGGGCCGCCAAATCCTACAACGTTTGGCTGCGCCCGCCTTCCTAGTTATTTGAATTCCACAGCCAACCCCGGTTACAGCAGCCCGGCAGCAACCCCGGTTGCAGCCCACGTACAGCCTGCACCCTGCCAGCTATGCTAACACCTTTGGGACCGATGTGGGGCCAGTGCCAACATGCGTCCAGTCAGGTCCAGCTGCCCTCCCTCCATAAGAGCGCCACCCTAACTACGGTACCCGACGCCTGATGCTCTTGGGTGCTGAACTTGAGCATCCCTGTATGCAGCCACCCACTCACCGGCAGGGTGTGCGCCGTACCAAAGCGGCAAGTATCGTACCCATGCCGTATTCGGCAGCTTCCGGACTTAAGCCCCAGACCGACAATTTGGGCTCAAACAAACCCCCATGAACACCAAAAGATCCACAACCCAAGTCGACACGTGCCTTCCCTCCTCCCACGCCTGCGCCCCCTCCCGCCTCCTCCCCTCAGGCCACCACCACCGCTACCACCGGCAGCAGCAGCACCTCCGCAGCCTCCGCCCTGCCCCAGCTGCCCAGCACCCCCGAGGAGCACTGCCCCCTGGCGCGAGGCACCTGGTGCGGGCCCTACTACCAGCAGGTGAGCAGGGCTGCGGAGGGAGTGAAAAGAAGGAAACTGACGAGGCAACTGACGAGCTGTGTGAAAAGGCTACACCATGGGGGGTGGGGGCAAAGTGGAAGGATACGTAAGCGTTACGAGGGTTGCTTTGGGGCTACCAGCACAGCGGCTGCCGGTTTAATGGAGGGCGGTGGGATGGGGGCGGTTGTGGCGGCTGTGTGGGGCGGTTGCAGGGGACTTGGGAGAGGGGCGTTGGCCACACGGCTTGCTGTTCTGATGTAGATCAGCCTACTAGCGGGCTTACCGCGGGCTAATTGAACCCCAGGGTCACGTCCATTTTGTTTGGGGTACGAATTCGATGATGGGGGCCGCAGCTACCGTTGGCTTCTTCAAAACAGCCGCGGTCAGCGCTTGAACCGTTCACTCCTTGCCTCTGCCACTGCCACTGCCACTGCCATGCACCTGCGGCCCACCCCGCGCTTCCATGCCCCTCCCGGACCCCTCCCTCCCTCCCTCCCTCCCTCCCTCCCTCCCTGCCTCCCCCCCAGACGCCCACCCCGCGCCCGCCCCCCAAGCGCGGCAACAAGTCCTGTCCCAACAACTGCAGCGGTGTGGGGCAGTGCCACTACGACCACGGCATCTGCTACTGCCCCATCGGGTTCGGCGGGCCGGACTGCAGCACCCCCCGCAAGCGGCCCTGCTGGCGCATGGGTCCGGACAAGCGGGACGAGGGGTGGCACAACCACACGGACTGGTCGCACTCCAGATGCGCGGGTGGGTGCGGGTGTTGGGGGGCCGGGGTGAGTCGCGTTGGGTTGGGTTGGGGAGCCGGGTTGGTGGGGCCGGGGTCGGGTTGGTGGCTGGAGGAGGAGGAGGAGAAGAAGAAGAAGGAGAGGGGGTGCGTGTGATGAATGTACGCGCGGGTGCGGGTCGGTGGCGGGGCCGGAGTTGACGGCGGGAGAATGGTAAATGCCTTGCTGTTAGCGGTGGTGTGGGAGAAGGAGGAGGGAAGGGGGTGCGTGGGGTGTTGGATTGGTGGAGTGGAGCGAAGGCTGGGGCCCTCCTTCCCTTGGGGTCATGGCTTAGACACAGGGGCTGGGGTGCCTCCAGGGGATAATGGGATGGTGGGATGTTTATGGAAGCCGCGCAGATTTGGGTTAGTGACATTGGTAAGCCGGAAAGGGCGTTAACAGTGTTGGGCAGGGGTTAGGACTTGCCTCCCACCCCCCTCACGCCTCACCTCCCCTCCCCACCTCAACCAGGCATCTGCGATGACTCCAACTCCATGTGCTACTGCCCCCCCGAAACCAAGTACGGTCGCAAGGAGGCGCCACCCGGCTCCCCGCCCGGCACCCCGCCGGTGCAGGTGGGGCGGCCCATGTACTGGTGCCAGCCATCCACGGTGCGTGTACGGGTGCAGGGGGGGGCGGGGGTAGGGGGTGGGTTGGGGTGGAGGAGAGCGACCAAAACATAGGGCAATGGGGGGAAAAGGGTTGGGGTGGGGGAAAGTATAAGGAAGTTGACGAGGCAACTAACGAGCTGTGTGGCGCATAGGCTTCACCAGGGGCGGGGGGCGGAAGAGCGACCAAACCATAGGGCAATCCATAGGTTAGGGCAAGGCAAATTGGGGCTTGAAGGCGACAGGGTGCGGGGGCGGGGAGTGGGGCTGGGAGGTAAGGAGGAAGAGAGTAACTGAGGTTCGTATTCCACCCTTCATACCTCTTTCCCCCCCCCCTACCCGCCCAAACAGGACAAGGACGGCACCCCGGTCAAGTGGGGTGCGGTCAAGTACGAGGACCTGTTCGGGCCCGGCGGCTGGTGCAATGCGGATGTGCCCAAGTTCCTGTGCCCCTGCAGGTGGGGAGTGGTGGGAGCGGGGTGGGAGAGGGGTGAAAATTATATAAGAAATGCAAACACGGGGTGGGAGAGGGGTGGGGTGGGAGGAATGCGGGGTAGGAGGGGAGGCGGGTTCGACAAGGAAACCAGGACGTGGCACGGATGTGGGCTCGTGGTGTTTCCCTCTTCGTTTCCCCTCCCTTTGTCACCTGGTTTGCCATTCTCATACAACACAATGGGTCTTCCTTCCTTTCTTGCCCTCCGCCTCCCACCTCCGCCTCCCCCTTCCCTGGTGCTCACAACCCCCCCCCATTGCTTTGCCCTAACTTGTGGTCTCCTATGGTTTGGCATGGTCTTTGACCCCCCCCCCCAGGATCGACGGCCGCATCGGCGCGCTGTGCAACATCCCGGTCGAGCAGTTCTGCCCCAACCAGTGCTCGGGGCGGGGCGAGTGCGACCAGGGCTTCTGCAGGTGCCATGCGGGCTGGTACGGGTCCGACTGCAGCCGCAGGCGGGCGGGCGCCAGCATGGAGGAGACGCTGCGTGAGTGGGCGGGTGGATGGGGCGCGGAGTACTGCAGAATATGTGTCCCTATTTAACTCCTCCCCCTTCACCCTCCTCCCCCCTTCCCCCCCTCTCCCCCCCTCTCTCCCCCCCGAGCAGCCGACTACCTGGGTCCCAAGCCCTGGCTGGCAGCCGCCGTGACCCCCCCCGTGGCCGCCGAGGACCCGCCCCGCACCGCCCCGCAGCGCAAGCGCCCCTACGTCTACGTGTACGACGTGAAGCCCGAGTACAGCAGCGACATCCTGCAGTACCGCATTGAGCGGGTGAACTGCAAGTACAGGTGGGGGCAGGTTGGGTTGGGGCAGGGGCAGGTGGGGGCAGGTTGCATGCATGCGTGGGTGGGGGTGCGGGTGTGCGTGTGTGCGGGTGTGAGGGTGGGTTACCCGTGTCTCCGACTTGCCGTGCAACCACCCATACCACCACCTTTAGTAAACGCTCCCCGCTCTCATCCTGCCCTGCTCCTCTGCTCCCTGCCCTCTCCCCTGCACCCTGCACCCTGGCCCCCCTCCTAATGTATCCCTGCCCCCCCCCCCCTTCCCAGGCAGTGGGAGCTGGGCAACAACAGCGTGTGGATCACCTACAACGCCTACGCGGTGGAGCCGCTGCTGCAGGAGCTCTTCCTGACCTCGGAGCACCGCACATTCGAGTGAGCTGCGTGACTGCTGAACTGCTTGGGGGGGTGGGGGCAAAAGAAGACCCAATGTGTTGAATGAGAATGGCAAACAAGAAGACAAGCTCCTGGTGAGCGTGGGGGCTGGGGGGCCTGCCTCCTTTACCCCCTTGTCTTGCCCTAGTAATCTGTGGCCTGGTTTCTCTCTGACCCGCCCCCACCCCCCAACCTCCAACCTCCCCACCTGCACAGTCCCGAGGAGGCGGACTACTTCTTCGTTCCCATCATGTGGGCCTGCCTGTTCGACGTGTACGGCTGGAACCCCATTCCGCGCTGGCCGGCGGACGTACACGGTGGGGAGGTGGGGGTGGGGGGGGGCTTGGGAAGGCTGGTGGAGGGGAGTGTGAGGAGGGAGGAGGAGGGACTACTGCGCCTCCCTCCTTTTCTCCTTCTTTTCCTCAACCTCCTCACCCTTCCTTCCGCTCGTTTCCACTTCTCTCGGCACACCCATTATACGACTTGCATCGTTGCATGGGTCGTCACCCGCTCGACCTGTCCCACCATCTGGTGTGTTTTTCTACCCACCCCCGCACCATACACATCACGCCGCACCCATTCCATTCCGCCCAGTACCTTCTCCCCATCCCCACCATACTCCCCCACACACCCCGCCCACACCGCCAGTCTTCTTACCACACCGCTCCCCCCTGGTATCCTTCTTTCCCCTGCCCCCGATAACCCGTAACCCTGTACGACACCATCTCCTTCCTCTCCCTCCGCAACACGCAGGACCCCGGCCGTACGGCGCCTCCGTCATGCAGCTCCGAACCGCCCAGTGGCTGAACGCCACCTTCCCCTGGTTCTCCCGGCGGGGCGGCCGCGACCACATCTGGCTTACCGCCACAGATGAGGGCGCATGCAGCGTGTTCAAGGACGTGTGGCCGGGCATCTTCCTGACGCACTGGGGCCGCACGGATTTCCCGCACCTGCCCAACAGCCAGTATCATGCGGACTACTACGCGGCGCCCATCAAGCATGTGGAGCATGACGGGGAGTGGCTGGACCAGACCTCTCGGGCGCACCCCTGCTTCGATCCCAAAAAGGTAGGCGGGTGGGGTGGGGTGGGGTGGGGTGGGGTGGGGTAGGACAGGTGGTCGCATCGTAATGAGCCCGGGACTCACCGGTTCATGGGTCACCGACCTCTCACCTCCCGCCCCGCACTCCCTTCCCCTCCCCTGGAGCTTTTTGTCTGGTTTGCATTGTCATTGAACACATTGGGAATCTTTCTCCCCCCCCTGCTGCCCCCTCCCCTCCCAGGACCTGGTTATCCCCGCCTTCAAGCGCCCCGAGCACTACAAGCGCTCCCCCTACATGGGCGCCCCGCAGTACGAGCGATCCATCTTCCTCTTCTTCCGGGGAGACCTGCGGATAGCGCCGGGGCAAGACCCGGAGTGCAAGTACAGCAGGTGGGGGGGAAATAGGGGGGGCGGGGGGGGGGGAGAAGAATACCCAATGTGGGTGGGTGGGTGGGTGGGTGGGGGTAAGAGATGTACCGGTATTGAGAGAGGAATCAAACAATACAGTGAATACCATACCGTAAAAGTTAGGGGGCAAGGGGGGGGGCCAAGGTGCAACAGGGCTCGCATGCGGGGTGTCTGCGCGCACCTGGCAGGCGGGGTTCCGTGCACCTGTGGCTTGTGGCGCGCCTCTTTCCCCCGTCCCCGTCCGACCACCTACGCACCTAGCCGCGGTACCCACCGTACCTACCTAAACCCGCCTTTCCTGCTGCTGCTGCTGCTGCTGCTGCCCCCCCACATCCCGTCCCTCCACCTGCCTGAGCTCCCCTGCAACACACTCCCCCGCAACCCCCCCTCGCTCATATATGTACTTTCCATTAATTGTTCCCCCCCCGCTCCTCTCCCCCCTGTGCCCCCAGGTGCATCCGCCAGACGCTGTACAACATGTCTCGTGAGGGCAACTGGCGTGAGAAGTACAACGTGTGGTTCGGCGACACGCGCAACGTGCCCGGGGACTACAGCGAGCTGCTGGCCAAGTCGGTTTTCTGCCTGGTGCTGCCGGGTAGGGTGTGTGTGGGGGTTTTGAGGGAGAGGGTGTGTGTGGGAGGGAGGGAGAGGGTGTGTGTGGGAGGGAGGGAGAGGGCGTGTGGGGGAGGGAGGGAGAGGGCGGGGGGTGAGGGAGAGGGTGTGTGTGGGAGGGAGGGAGAGGGTGTGTGGGGGAGGGAGGGAGAGTGTGTGTTCAAAACACTGGCCGCGAGTTCGAACGTGCGTGGTTGGAAGGGAGAGAATGTGTGTGTGGGGAGGGAGCGAGAGGATATGTTTGGGGCGGAGTGGTAGGATGCGCTATGCGGAGGGAGACGGCGTGCCCAGCGCCACAACGTCGCAAGGACCTGCTCCCTCCCTCCTATTCGGACCTCCTCCTCCTCATGGCCCCAACCACCACCACCATTACCAATGGTTGTGCGCCCGGCCCCGGACCTCTTCCTCATCCCTCCCTTGCACCTCAGGTGACGGTTGGTCTCCTCGGCTGGAGGATGCGGTGCTGCACGGTTGCATCCCCGTCATCATCATGGACGATGTGCAGGTGCGCGGGGAAAGGAGGCGGCCGGGAAGGGGGGAAGGAAGGAGAAAATACACCATGCTTTAGAGATTGGAGGCGGGGGCCGGGGGCGCTGGGAAGGGGAAGTGGTGTGCCGAGATATCCACCCACGCCTTCCCTGACGCAACTCAAAATCCCCAACCTAATCCTCAACCCTCCTTCACCCTCCTCCCACACCACCCGCCCTGTATCCTAGCCCAAGTGAGGAATCACTAGATGTCCCATACCGGTACTAATCCCCACCCACCCACCCCTCCCCTCCCCGCAGGTGGTGTTCGAATCCATCCTGGACGTCACCGCCTTCTCCATCCGCATCGCGCAGAAGGACCTGGCCAAGGTGGTGGACATTGTACAGGTGGGGGTGAGGGTGGGGGGACATGCGGGTTGGGTTACCGAGGCGAGGGATATGGGGATGTGGGTACACGCCCGTTCTGCTCAACAAATCCTCACCTTTTTCTCTTGGCTTCTTTCCCCTCGTCTCCCCTTCCTGCCCACACCCGCCCCCGCCCCCGCCCCCGCCCCCGCCCCCTGCCAGGCTGTTCCTGAGGGTCAGATCCGGATCATGCAGAACAACCTGGCCAAAGTGTGGTACAGGTGGGTCATGTGGCGGGCTGCATGGGCCATGTGGCGGGGGTTTGTGTTCATGTCTGTGCAGAATAGTAACAGGAATACAGGATGCCAACTGCATGGCGCATTAAGATGATGGCTTCATGGCTACCCCGACTCTGTACCCGCCGTGTTCTGCGGTCCCCTTCCGATGCTGTGCTGTGCTTTCTTCCGCCCCCCCCTGCCGCTCACTGCATGAGTCGGGATATGGGATTGGGACTCGTTGTTTCACTTCTATAATTTTCCCCCCTGCCGCCTCCTATCCCCATTGGCTTGCCCTATAACCCGCGGTTTCCTATGATTCGGCATGTTCTTTGACCCCCCCCCCAACCCGCTCCCCCCCCCAGGTTCCGCTACCTGGGTCTCAAGATGGCTGACGCGGACGCCGCTGCGGTGGTGTCTGAGCACCGGGCAACCAACGGCGGCCTGTTGCGCCCCAACCCCGGGGCGCAGTACGCGGCTAGCCGGGTGGATGACGCGTTCAGTACCCTCATGCAGTGGCTCTACGCGCGCATCCCGGACATACAGGGCAAGTTGTGAGGCCCTCAGGTGTGTCTTGGGTGCACGCGTGCGAGGGTGCGTGCGTGAGTGCGTGCGAGGGTGCGTGCGAGGGTGCGTGCATGCGTGCGTGCGGCGTGCATGGGGGTTGCATAGGGGGGAGGAGAAGGCTGGCTGTTGTGGAGGAGTAGAGGAGGAGGGAAATGATAGGTCGGTATGTCGGTAAGAGGTGGGATATATGTGCGTGCCAGGAGGCGGGCGGGGGCACAGGAGCCAGGAGGCAAGGAAAGGAACTGACGAGCTGTATGCCGAGGCGTTACCATGAACAAGTTCGGAGGCGGGCGGGCGGGGCGACGTTAGGCGTGCGGAGCAAACCTGTGTGCGCACGTAACGAATCGTGGGTGGCATGTGTGGGTATATTTGGAATGGTTGGGAGGTTGGGAGGAAATCCGGTCAGCTCTCGAAGCACAGTGCTCATGCACGCCTGATCAGTAGCAGGCAGAACAGTGCCGATGGATGTGTACCGGTAGATGTAGGCGTTAGCAGGAGCGCTGCCGTACACTCCTTGTTTATATGTACGGATGCCGCTCAAGTGGACTTGACGGTATTTGTGCGCGCTCGAAGCAATTGCAGTGTTCAGGGCCTTTAGCGAGGTGTGATAGGTGGCGATTAAAGCGGGGGGTGTTGTCGCGGATTTCAACACAGGTGAAACAGCCAGCCAACCAGGCACAGGTTGCTATAGGCTCATGCACGTCTCCTGGTTTACAATGTATCGCACTTGCCACGACCGTCAACGGACGCACACTAGAGACCAGCGAAGCCGCCGTACATTCCTAAAGAATTGTACAATTAGCATGTCGTACAAGGCATTCACCCTCCTATACTGAGTGAAATGCAACTGGTGTACAAATAAAGCAACACCCGCATCGTGCAACCTCCGCAATCGCAACCGCTGGTATGCCGACTGCCACCCTCCCTCCTTGTGTTCAAATAGATCATGTCGTACACACCGCTAAAGTACAACGACAACCCCTTACTGCAGATGCTATCCGACATCCTGAGCAGCTTCAATTCGTAAGCTGCTAGGGCTATAATACAAATAACCACGTAACCAAGGTAACCAAGAAGTCATGCGGGTTTGTGTATGCCATGCAATCTGCTTCCACATGACATGTATGCCGGTTGAAATCAATAACTCTGCGTGACCCCTGACGAACGTGAGTGCAACCAAAAGACATAAACTAGTGCATAACCACGGACTACTCACAATACCTATCCTACTGTGCACAATACCCAAGAGTACATGCTAATCCTAGCAGGCCTGTTATTGGGGTTAGCGCAGCTGAGTACAACCCCAATCATGATGAAGTACGGCAGCTACTATTGCGGCAAACCTGTCCGCGCCATTCAACTTATTCGTTCCTATCCTTGCATGCAGCAACCTACAATCCTCCAACAACCAACGGTGATATGCTCACTACGCTACCCGCTATACTAGCTTGCGGCGTTTATTTCACGCCACCTGAACTGAAGTACCGGAAGCATTCCGGTAGCTTCGCCACCCCAAGGCTAGCTCACCCAACGAATCCCCGGTCTTATTGCCGCATCAGGTCTCCTACAGGTTGCCCTTTCGGTCCTGTTACACCTACATACAACCGCACCAATCCTGCGCGTATCTACCATCCTGCATGTCTAGGGCGGGCTCCCTCCCTCCGGGCAGCCCCTCAGGACCCCTCTCAGGTGCTCCCCCACAGCTGCTGACCCAACGCAATCACCAGCAACGCGCTACCCAGCATCATGCAGCGCGCATGCAGAAAGCTCGGCTTCCTGCCCCGCACCGCCTTCGTCCCCGCTACCAACCCCTCCCCCTTCCTTCCCACCTTCCCTCCAGCCTCCACCACAACCCAATGTGCACTGCCGCCTCCGTCTCCCTCTCCGCCTCCTCCGCCTCCCACAGCTTCTGCCGCCACTGCTTCCTTCTTCTCCCGCCGCTGCCACCACGCCTTGGGCGGCCAGTCGCCATCCGGCGCAAGCCAAACCGCCAGGCTGATCGCACAAGCCGTCCCAACCGCCGCCGCACTTCCACACTGCACGGCAGAAAGCAACGCCAGGAACAGCACCACCGGGCCGCCGCCGATGCGCAGCGCGCTTGCGCTGTCACTACCCAGCATGCGATCCGTTGCGAAGACGCGGCGGGCGAGTTGCGGAGCGCACATGAGCACTGCCGTGAGCAGCGTGGCCAGGGGGGAGTTGGCGGCGACGGCGCAGGCGGCTGCGAGGGTGACGTAGACCATGCGGGTGCGGATGGGCATTTTTGGACGGTCGGCGCCGGCAGGTGAGGCCTGCAGGACTGCCAGGGAGAGGGCGCTGGCTGCCGCGGCCTGGGCGAGGATGCTTTGCCGGTCGGGGTGAAAGGCGAGGAGCAGGGAGAGGAAGGCCAGCATGAGGAGGGTGAGGCTTAGCTCTAGTTGGAGAGCTGGGTGAAGGAGCGGCCGCTGGGTGCTGTGAAGCAGCCAGTGAGGCGAGAGGAGGCGAAGCGGCGTTTCGGCCGAGTCCTGCTTTTGAACGGGATCTTCCGAGCCGAGCGTTGCAGTTGGCTGTTGCTGTTTATGGGTTCTACTCACGGTTAGAATCACGGTTGAAAGCGCGAGAGAGGCGGAAAGCGCCTGCGCTGAGGCTATTCCTATTTGAAAGGGTGTTGCGCGCATGATGTGTTGCGCACGGATCTGCCGCAAGTGGGGCAGCCGCGCTGGTTGTCGAGGCGAGGCATTTAGCTGCATTGAGGAGAGATGTTTATGTTTATAGCTGCGTTCGGAAGTCGTGCGATGTGACAAGCTCACGGGTCCTTCTACGGGTCGGCATCGACAGCACAGGTCAGCCGAAATGGCGCTTGGATTTTGGAAAAAAAGCGTTTAGCGTTACGAGGTATAAAGGGTCACTGTCACAACGGATTGCACTGAGCAAAAACGTGAATTTCGCGGCGATCTCTGCGGCCGTGATAAGTAGCCCCAACCTAGGCTGGTTTTAACTGTATGAACCTTTTACGATTTAATTACGATTGTTCTGCCAAGCTACCAGCCGAGAGTGCCGGGGACAACCAAAGTTACAGGTCGTCACGGGTCAACAGCAACCGTCGCGTCGTTAAAGCCGCTGCCTCACCGTTGCCTATGAAACTTCTACCTTTTCTTCTTCGCGCTCAGTTAGCGACCCGACCGGCATCCCGGTAGAGATCCGTGTTCCTAGAAGTATACTAGAAGTATATCGGCATCCTGCGAGGAGCACGCTCCGTACCGAATTCCCACCTTCCAAAGGCCTCAAATGAAATGGTAGTCTTTGTAGTATTGATACACCATGTAAGGTTGAATCGCTAATCAGCTGCAGTTTCCTGCCGGGTGCATGGGCACACCAGGTTCCGTAAGGCAAGAAGCCGTGTTCCGATGAAGTATAAAGTAACTGGAAATGCTCCTGTTGTCGACTTTCCGTCCATTACAAAATAATTCTTGGATGGCACAGGCGCCTATACCGTCGGGACACGCCCCGTATAGGTTGCTGGGAACAGACTGGCAATTACCATGTTCCCGCCGTGTTCCCTACCCCGCACACACTGCATTCCCGCCAAACGGGCTGGAAGCAAGTGGTCGCATGTCTACGAAACGTCCTACACCATCGCTGCCGATGCCCCACGCTGCATACACGCCCCAACCCCCGGAACACGCTGTGCATGTCACTCAGGAACATGCACGCCGCAAGCACCCGTATCCCCGCTGTGCTCCATACCTCGCAAGCTCTGACCTGGCGTCAATCAGGCGGCACGACAAGGGCCGCGGTTCTACTTTAGTGTTACACACAAGCCGTGCTGATGCCCCCCACTTCTCACACGCCCAAATCGGCCAGGGCTGACTGCTGTGCAGTCTAACTTCAACCCCTCTTGGCTGTGCAGGAGAGTACCACCGGCAGGCAGGCGTGTTGTGCAGGCGCAGATAGCCAGGTTGCCCGGCTCGCCAACCATCCATATATCAGGAGCATGCCGGGAGTAGTGAGCGGTGGCGAGTAGACTACACATACTATGATGCATGAAATTGCAGACGTCGTGCTGTACTTTCAACATCACCCATAGGTAATGTGAGATCATGTGTTGGTACACCATATCCGTTACATACGTCGCAGTTCTTACTTTCGCACACCACCAACCCAAATCAACAAAATCTTGAAAGAAGTATAAGGTTTTCCTCGACAAATCTGGATAAACGACAGCCAACAAACAAGTGCACGTGTCTACATCAACACACGTTTCAGAACAGTCCAACAACCTGATTTAGTTCCAAAGGTATCGAAACAACAATTGTACATACAGCGTACGAGCCTGACAGCAGACTGAAGGTGTAATCTAAACCTACACAACCACAACCAAATACCCACCACAAGAAACGCACCTTTGGTGCTCAGCCAACCGAGGGGATAATAACAGGGGATAATATGATACAGAGGGGGAGGGGGTAACTGTACAGGGCACGACCAAAGCACTATCTGCAAATCGACAACCAATCATCCAATTAAGATGGGCAGCAGACATGCATTTGCATTTGCTCGAGTGCAGCGTTTTGTCAACAGACAAGGCATCATACACATGCCACCGGCTGCGCACAATCAATAACCATGTTAATATAATATGGCTGTGCCGCAGAATCCGGAAGGCAGCAATAAGGGTTCGTCACCGCATCAAACAGTTTGTCAGGACCAGGTTAATGTTGAAATATAACCCACAGCCAAATGCGTGTGCCCGCCTGTCATGACCTACGCGTGGCATGACCTACGTCGGAACACATGTTGTTGCACGACGATAGAAAGCCAGCGTTGACCGAACCCAATCAGCGTCAAGGACACACCTCGTCGCCAACATATTGCAAAGCTTTCTTCAACACATATCTTCCTGCTTTCGTAATTTTCCAATGCCCAATTTGATTGCACCCCCATTCCTTAAATGTACACCAAATCATCAACCCTGACCAGGCACGGTAAATTGTAGGTGCCTTTCAGCAATACCCAAAGCCAAACTCGCTGCCGAACCAATCTCCAAACCCACACAAAGCGCAGATGTTGTACGGCGCCATATGCTCAGCCAAACGCACGAGCAATCTCATAAATGGCGATGCCTAGGCGCGTGCCGCCCGCTCGCAACACAGTCGAATGAAGCAATAATGAACCCATGCAGCTGTCCCGTGTCGACCCATCCCCACCGCTACCTGCCGTTTGCGCCCGCCAGGACTGCCTCAAAAGTGATAACCCTGCTCAAGCCAGGACACAATCGCTCGCACAGCCGCCGCCAAAGCGGCCGACGTCATGATGAGGTGAAGGCGCATGTACTGTCGCCCTCCGTTGATGACACGAGGTGTGCGTGTGTCAGAGAGCGCTTACATGTCGACACGCAGCGAGCCGGTGTGTCGCGCGTTGGCCTCCGGCTGCACCCCGTAGCCCATGTCCAGCCACTCCTGGCGCAGCTTGCGGAAGGCGATTTGCGGCTTGTCAGCCTCCAGGCTCACCTGCGGAGGCAGTAGGAGCAGCAGCAGCAGGAAGGGAGGCTGAGCGAGGACGACAGCTGGACAGCTGCAAGCCACAATACAGGCCAGGAAGACAGCCAAACTTCGCCAGAGGACTTTCACCATCAATTGAAAAGGATTTTCGTCATCCCCCCATGTCTCACCAACAACGCATCACCACCACCACCCCGCATGCTGTGCCCCCTCACCTCGTTCAGCAGCTGCTCGGGCTTCAACATCTCAATCATCACTTTGTCCTCAGTCAGGATCTTGTACATGTTCTGGAGGGGACAGGTGTGGGGGCGAGGTAGGGACAGCAGGCAGCGTGAAAAGGGGCGAGAAGCGAGGGATTGGGAAGCGAACGTCGCATACACACAGTGCCATGCAGGACAGGCGAAACCAACGCAGACCTTCGGGGCAATTGGCAAGTCCTCCTCACCTTGCGGGTGTAGGCGTCGAAGAGGGGCGAGGTGGCGAAGTTACGGATCAGGCAGAAGCGGTTGATGGTTCGGTGCTCGTCAATGGGCACCGTGTTGACGTACGTGATCATCTGGACGCCTGGGGTGACGTGTCGTACAGGAGACGAGGGGAGCAGCAAGGGGTCAGGGGTCAGAGGGAGGCTAGGACAAGACCAGGTGCTTCTCAAGCCAACAGCGAAGCTTCCTCCTTTCCAAACGCCCCGATTCCATCCCGGCTCGTGCATTGAAGCAAACCAGCAAGAGACGCATGGACATGCATCACTCACCGCCTCCCAGTGTGATCTTGACCGAGCTGGTGGAGGGCAGGAAGGCGCGCGCCTCCACGGGCACGGAGGGCACCTTGGTGAAGTTCCACAGCGGGTTAACCGGCTTGTTGTGGATGCTGGCGGGGACGGGGGGGGGGGAGGACGGCAAGGGACGGGTGGTACGTTAAGAGACACAGAACGAGAACGAGAATACACTCGACACATCAAGACCGCAGCACAGCAGCGCTACGAGTTATACCCATGCTGCAACGTAAGCACCACCAGGGCGCAGTTCACGCGCACAACCAGCTTCCTCCAAGCGACACAGCTCCCACCCGCCATCATCACCACCACCATCACCGCCACTACTGTCCTCCCACACACTGCCCCTGTCCTCCCGCACACACTGCTCCTCACTTGAAGTTGGCGCTGACGGACCAGGTGTCCCGGGTGACGGTCATGTCGTTGAGGGTGGGCTTGTCCTGGTTGCCGAAGGAGCCGTCGTGCACGTAATGGATGTGCGCAAAGTCCATGGCGTTCTCAAACACCGGCCAGTGCGGGCTCTCGAACTCCATCTCGCCTGCCCCAAGAGGGTACACGGCAGCATGCAGCGGCGAGGTTAGGGTAAGAACCTCATCCCAGGGCTGCCATCACAACCAACATGGCAGCCATCACGTCATGTCCGACACCGCCCGGCCGCTGCAGCGCTCCCCCTGCCCTCTACCCCGCTTTGCCCGAACCTGTTGTTTTGGTATCTCTTGACCCCCATTTCACCCACCCCCACTCTCACCGTACACCGCCCGCCAGTTGGGGTCCTCCAGCTCCGGCACCAGCGGCAGCGGCGGCCGCTCGTCCGCGGGCAGCCCCTTGGCGCCGAAGAACAGCCACACGAAGCCGCCGCGCTCCTCCACGGGGTAGGAGTCCACCAGCGGGCGGCGCGGGAAGGCGAGGTGCGTCTGCTGGCTGGGCACCTCCTCCAGGGCACCTGGGGGGGGGAGCGGGGGGGGGGGGGCGCGGGGAAGGCAGCGAGGGTGATTTTTTCCAGCATTGTCAAACTGTGCTGCAGCGCGGTAATAGAGACGCAGGCGATACGGCATAACAGCACACCGTACTCGTGCATGCATTACCTCGAACAAAACGTCGTGCGAGCGGGCACGGCTCCCTGATGCGGGGTAAACACGTAATCGCAGCGACCTACCCTCTCCGTTGAACGTCCAGCCATGGTAGGGGCAGACGACGCAGCTCTTGCCGTTCTTCTCCTTGGTCCAGCCGCTGCTGAGCGGGGCGCCGCGGTGGGGGCACACGTCGTCCAGGCAGTGCACCTGTTGTGTGGGGGAAGGGGGGGAGGGTGATGGGGGTGTGAGGGGGGGAGTAGGAAGGTGGTGAACACAGGTGGACGGTGCGCAGACGCCAGCTGCAGCGGTGGGGGCCCCATGCGGCATGAGGACCTCAGCGATGTCCGAGGAGCGGAAGGTGGCACGAGGTGTGCAGATAGCCTCTAGCCTCCTCGAGTGGAGACACCCTAAACAGGCACAGCCTAGCCAGGCAGGTGCGCCCCCTCACCTTGCCGTCCTCGCCACGCCAGATGGTCACGGTACGGGACAGGATGTCCACTCGCATGGGCTTCGAGGTCACCTTCTCTGACACGGCTGTGGACAGATAGGAAAAGGGGGAAGGGGAAGGCGAGGGAAGGAAGGGTCAGCTTGAACACGACTACCGATAAACCCGTTACAAGCAACACACACTCGCAAGCCGCTCCCTTTCAATCCGTCATTCACGTGAAATCCAAACGTGTAAGCGAAACATCCCCTCCACAGCCTACAAAGGTCTTACCTGCTGCATACCAGAAGTTCTGCAGGTAGGCCTTGCGGTCCCGCAGCTCCTTCTCGCGCTTGGCGGATGCAATGTCCTGAGGAGGGTTACCGCGAGGGGAAGGCAGCGTTGCGCAGGAAGCTTACAGTCTCAAAACGACACGGGGCAAATAACGTACATCACGCCAGCACATCAGCCCCATGGCCATTGAATACCCAAAACAGATCCCCGACCCCAACCCCAACACGTCCTCGGCCCGCACCTTAGGGTTGACGGGTGTCTTGCCGTCAAACAGCGGGCTGTCCGGGCTCAGCTGGCCGGGGCGCAGACCGGCGGCACGGCGGAACTCGGCAGACAGGGAACCGCCGCGCACCGCAGCAGCACGACCCTGGGTAGGCAGCAACATCAAAGAGGGAACCATCAAGGGAATCATTGTAATGACCGTTCGTCCAGACTGGAGGGAAGCAGCAGCAGCAGGTGCATTGCTTTTGAGTATGCTTGGCAGCGACCCTAGCGACCAATCCAGCCGAGTTCGAAACCATAGGATGTAGTTAACAATTTCATAACCCTACCGCTCATTACACCGACTTCTCGTCTCACCTTGCATGCGGGTCCCCCCTCCTGGGCAGTCTTGCCGCCCTCCGTCTTGCTCTCCTCCTCCTCCACCACCGTCACCTTGGGGGCGTTGAGCGGCCTGGGAGTGGGCACGGGCCGCGGCTTCTCCAGCACCGCCGCACCGCCCGAGGAGCCGCCGCGGTAGGCCATGGGGGCCGCACCCTGGCGAGCGAGCTGTGGAGTGAAGGGGATAAGAATAGGGGAAGGGAAAAATTAAATAAGTGAAACAACGGAGTCCCAATCCCGAATCCCGACTCATGCAGTGAGCGCATTCGGAGGCAACGTGGGGATTAGGTGTAGTGCTGCGCAAGGAATATTGACTTTGGCCAACATGCGGAGGCAACATGGAGAACAAGGAAGGCACCGGAGACGAGCCATCAAGTGCCATCAACATGGCAGGTACCAAGGTAAGCCATCGACATATGGCGGTAATTTGTGTACGGCATGGTGGCAGGCTTGCATGGAAAGAGGGCACAAGTGCATGCCGCAACCCCTCGGCCTCCTCCTACCCTCCCCTTAGCCATGCTTTCCTCCCCCTTACGGTATAACATCCTTTTGCAAGAGAGCCATGCTAATACCGCGCACAACGCACCTGAAGCGAGCGGCCGCTGACGAGGGTGTGCAGCGCCTTCTTGACGGAGGACAGCTTGAGCGGCATCAGGCGCTTTGGCAGCGTGATGGTGGAGCCAATCACCTTGGACTGCGGGTTATAGCGGTGAATTGCGTTAGGGAGCGTCTTCCAAAATATCCAAAAATATCCTACAATACGCGCGGGAGCATGACAAACCACCGCGCAGCCATGCCCGAAACAGTGTTACTGTGAAAAAGTGCACATGAAAACAACCGTAACAACTGGTATACGCGGAGAAAGCGCACTTACCGCCTGCTTGTCGTCAGGGTACTCGCGCAGGATGGCAAGGATGGCAGCGGCCTCGATAATGTAGAATACAAACCAGAAGGTGCTGTGGAAGGCAAGCAATGAAAAGGAGCAACGGTAGAGCGCTTACTATTGGGTTGACCGAGTCATACAACGTCTCTCAAATAACATTTCGGAAATGCCCCATATGCGTACATGTGGAATTACTGTAACTAATGGGAAAGGCTTGGCGACGGAACTCGACGGCCGTTGGCGTGGAACATCGACGGCATCGAGGACTTACATGGCCACAGCGTGGTCCCAGACGAAGAGTGGCGCTAGCTGCTCGTAGATTTGAGCACCACTTGGAAAGTGTGAGCCACCGTCGGTAGCAATGTTGGTGAACTGCGACACGTTGGTTTTTTGAGCGCGATTAATCAAGTCGGGTCCATGGGCCGGCCTACAGCTCACAATAACATTAAAACATCTCACCTTGAAAGCAACGTGAGCCATTTCGCACAGGACGCCAGCCCCAACACCCAGGACCAGGCCGCGTAGCAGCGGCTCGAAAAATGGGCTCTCAGCAGCTGACTCAGTAGGCGGGGGCGGATTGGTGCTAGGCTCAACCTACATATGGTAGGAGAGATACTATGAACAAGGCTGCAGGACCAGTGTGCTTACTCTACGCGCCATCACTGTTCATTTGTCCAGACAATCGGTACCCTAGAGGCCGCCTATTCACCTTGTGCTCATCCTTTTGGGAGAATACACGGAGTTGAGGACGGTGTTGTGACGACTTGGGACCCGCGAAGCCGCCCGCAGGGAGCTGGCGACGCGCAGGTCGCGCCAGGGCAACGGTCGGAACAGGAGAGCGGACGCTGGGGCAAGTGGAGACCGCCTGCACCTGGCGCATCATGGTGGTCGAAGTCATACTGGAGTTCACAGAGAGGCGGTGGTCACGAAGGGTCGACGGTCACGAGCGAAGAGTGCCGAAGGCCTTGCTTTTTCAGAAACTTTGGAGGTTAAGATTGCGTTAACTGATTGTGGTAGTTTCTCTGTGAGGTGCCCTAGTATGTAGGATTTGCACCGAATTAATTCTGACTTATGTGCAAGGCTGCATTTAATCATTCCGCCTGTTTTTCGTGCCGTACACTATGTCGCAAGAGTGACAAGCCATGCCCAGAGCATCAGCAAATACAATCCAACAGCACATTTTTCGCAGACATAAAGCAAACAATGTGTACAGAAGCCGCGCAAATTTGAAGGCGAGGGGTCGCGCGGCGTCTCGGGACCGCTTGGGGATCGGAGGTTGGCGCCGTTTGTGGCCAACACATCATCACATGGACGACAATGCGTTTACCGCATGACGTTGTCTGACGCTGTCGCCCAAATGAACGGTCAAGTATTGTACGTCCCCTGCCGGGGGCCAAAATAGGGAGCTACCGAACTACCCTGCGCGGATAGACCCTAATGCCTGTGCACCTGGCTTCGGTTGACGTTGGCGCAGTCCAAAGCCGCTTGTCACCGGAAAACGCATGTGTTGTCTTGCTGAACAGAACCATGGGCCCGTAAAGGCGGTGTGCTCTCGAGTTCCCTATTCGCTTTGCTGCTTTACAGACACCAGTTCCGTTGCCCCCCAGCCATTTCCGCAGGCTGACAGCCTGTACTCTTTTCGCAAATAAAAATACCCCGAATATATCGCGCCTGTGAGTGTTTACAGCAATGCGCATTACAGCAACAGCAAAGGCCTCGCGTGAAGCTAGGCCCGCCTGCACTAGCTTGCAGGCGACTCCATCCACCAGTCAGGAAGTCAGATAGGCAAGCACCCTTCCCTGGCCTCCGCCTCCCACAACCTTCACACAACAACAACAACATCGCACAACGCGCAGTGTTGTTAGGCAACCCCGCCACACGACATCGCATGCGAACGTTCAACAGAGACGGTCGTCTACTGTCTAGCCGTTGCTGCAACATCCTAGCCGCTGCCGGAGGCAAAACAAGGCGTGAACGTTGTTTACTTAGCGTGAACAACGTCTTGCCACCCCAACCCGCCCGCACATGACGCCTGGCCCCTGCTGCCCCTCACCCGCCCCCGGCTCGCAGCTGTTACCGCCAAAAGCAGCGCATGTTGTCAGCCTAGACCCTTAATAGCGCCCAGACCCCTGCGTCCATGGCTGCCGGCAGGGGCAGTAGCGGAATGGAAGGGCGGGCACCGGCTGCGAAGCTGCGTTGCATGCCGTACGCACCGGACTGTTGGCGCTGGTACGTGGCAGTAAAGGCGGTATGTTGCGTGTTTGGCCTAGTAGGGACGCGGGAAGAAGCCCTGCATACAGACATTCGGAAGCGGGGGAGCTTCGTCGTTACCGAGCGTGGGCAGAAAAAGGTGGAGGGAAATAACATGGAAGCCCCAACGGCCCCCAAACAATGGTTCAGTTAGGTCCCGGGAGCACGTTCTCCTGTGACTTGCGGGGACACAGGCCAGGCGACTGCCCTCGCCCACCCTGCCAGTACCCCCATGCATCTCCTCCATCCCATCCCACACCAGCATGATCCACGTCAACATGACATGCGTAGCTCCGCACCCACATGCCGTCTCCTTCGCGTCCTTCCCACCCCCTGCCTCTCTCCCATTTCGCACCCGCACCCACTAACCTTCCACCCCTGCCCCCGCCTCACCTGCCCCGCCATCGCCGCAAACAAGCCCGGATCAAACTGCCCCATGCCGCCTCCGCCTCCTCCGCCGTCACCCAGCCCTCCAGGGGGGCCAGGTGGGCCCCCGCCCCCGGGCATCCCCCCTTGGCCCTGAGGCATCATGATACCCGGCATGGGCGCTATCAACCCAGCCAGCGGGGGCAACGTGGCGGGGCCGGGGGCTGTCACAGGCGGCATGCCCGCAGGCGCCTGCTCGCGGCCATGCATCCCGCCACCGCCGCCACCATCCATGTCGTCCCCGCCACCGCCGCCGCCGCCGCGCCAGTTCCCTCGGCCCCCGCGATCCCGGTGCCCGCCGCGGAATCCCTCTGAGCCACGGCCTGCGGGCAAGGGTACGGTGGTGCGGGGGGGTGTACGAATGGCTGGGGGCAGGGCTGGGTTTACCTAGCTAGGTGCCGTACTCCATTGGGCTGGCGCCCACAAGAGCGCCGCCCTCCGCAGCACTCGACAGGGAGCTTGGTAGCCGGCATCAGACAGCAGCATCTGCTTCTCCCTGCCACCGGGGCCGCTGCCAGCAACACCCTACTCCTCCTGTATTCTTAACACACAACCCCAAGCCACCCTCACAACCCCGACCGCCGCACCCACCCTCTTCCACACCTCCCACTCACCCTCGAAGCGACCCCCACCGCCACGCTCCCGCTCCCGATCGCGCTCCCGCTCCTCCCCGCCAGCTGCTGCCGGAGGAGCCGGCAGCGCCAGCGGACGGTCCCGATCGCCGCCACGGCGGTCGCGGTCGCGGTCCCTGTCCCTGTCGCGATCTCGGAAGCCTTCTCGGCCACCGAATGGCCTGCAAGGCGGCGCGGGTGGATCGTGGTATGCGTGAGAGAGAGACATGACAGCGTTGACATTTGGAGTAGCATGCATGCATGTGGGTTGTTAACCCAAAAGCATGCCATGCATTGGCCCCGGTTGATCTGTGTTGCGCTGTGCCATATCCCATACGTTTGGCGAGCACAGGCAGCAACAGGAGCAAGGGGGACTGGCTGCTGGCCGCTCCCGGGGGCAGCGCAAAGAGATGCAGCAGGAGCGTACCTTGCTCGCTTGGCTGGCCGCTCCTCATCCTTGGCAACGCCGGGGTTGACCTGTCGGGTGCAGGCAGGGATCCGGCGTGTCAGTATGAGGGAGGGCATGACAACGTCAAGGTTTGGAAGCCATGGGTGGGTTAGACTTTGTGCATGTAGGGCCGCAGGGGTATAGCCGCAACACATGGGAGGGCATATCAACGTAGCCGTCCATTACGCTAACAGCTCCATGCACTCCCAGCAAAGCCTGCCAGGTACAGATGAAGCACACCGCTGCCTAACCGCCCACTGCACAGCCCACCGCCAGGTCTAGACCGCCCCAAGCCACCGCCCTAATTTTCCCAATTTTCCTGAGTTTCTGGTTAGAAAGCAGCTCGTTCCTTAATAGGAAGCTAGTCCTTCAGATGCACAGCGCCCACCTCCCCCACCTGGTTGACCACCACATTGATGTTGCGGTGCTCACGCGGCTTGGCGGCCTCCACCTCCTCGGGTTCCGGGGGCGGACCTGGCGGGGGGTGGAGGTGGCGGGGTCCGCACACAGGAGCGGGAAGAGGGATGGTGGGGTAGTGGCGAGGTGAGAGTTGTGGCGGCATACAGGTAGTAGAACATTGTTGTTGTTGTTTGACGTTCTGCAAGGCACACTTTGCCGACTTGCGAATTGCATGTTCATTCCTGAGCAATTCCTACTATTTACATGTGGTTGCCAACAACGTGACCAGCCTCGCAGTTTCCACCCCTGGCGTACCTGGGTTCTTGATGTGTTTGTAGCGGCATTGGGGCCCGTAGATGCAGAAGCCCAGCTTGTACATGTTGCACTCTTTGATCTCGTCCATCGAGTGCTTGTACGGACAGTCCTGGTGGGGAGGCGGCATAGCAGCGGGGTGGGCGAAGGAGGGGGGGCAGCGCATGTGCGCCACAGGTAAAGTTCACGACTTTACTTACTTACTTCGACTGAAGTGACAGCATGTGCGAGCTTCCTAGGAAAGGAGGGGGTGGGGGCGTTTCGGAACGCCTATCCTTTTGGTGGCAAACTTTTTCGAGTGTGTTGACTGTCCAATTGTTGGCAACAAACCACCCGGGTGACATCTCACATGCGAGGCATCATGCCATGCCAGCACTAGCGGGGTTGCGGCACAAACGGGGACAGCATGGATATCGTCAAGCCCCCAGCCCCAGGGGGCCCCCACCCACAGCCCCCAGACTCCCGCCACTGACAACAATGTGAGCAGCATCAGCGGCAGCAGCAGCAGCACCGTGCTGCCCACGCCTCGCACCTGTTCGTGGCACTCTCCGTACTTGAGCAGGTTGCGGCAGACCGGCATGCGGTCCGTCACGAACTGGTGCAGGAAGCCGCAGGCATCGCCCTTCATGCACAGCCCGCGCAGCCAGTAGGTGCATACCGTCTAACGGTGCAACAAGGACGGGGACGCAGGTCAAGAAGGGGGGGCGGGTAAGTATCCAGCTGCAACGGGTATGGAGATTAGGCATAACCCGCAGGTTATAAGGATGCCAAGAATACGCACGTGCCAAGCATACGCATACCTACTATCCCGTCGCTTGTTTTCCCCGCACCCTGTTACATACGCAGCTACCGGCAGTCAAGGCACAAACCGTACACAACTACTTCAGGCAACACCCTAAGGGTGTGAGCTGCGGCGTGGAAGCGGAAATCTCTGAGACCCCTATCGGGATTCGGCTTGAGCACATTCTGTCCCAGGGTAAGCCCTACCTTGCGGAAATTTTTTCGGTAGTTGGCTGGCTGCTGCCCGATGGCCTCCGCTGGGAGGTCAAGTGGCTCGACCTGTCAAACCCCGTGGGAGGTAGACGGGGTTACAACATAAACACGATGGGTTGTCCCAAGTTTGCAAGCAACGAAAGCTATTAGGCACGAAGAGCAGCCATCCAAGCACAGATGTTCGACGGGGGCCATCCCCAAAGCGCTGAAAAGTATTACCTGACGCTGTGCTTGTGTTAACAGATTAGACGACTCAATTTCCGCCTCGAAGTCGAAATTTAGGTTGTCCGCCATCCTGCCTTGTGCGTTCCAGCACAGACTCCACTACCGGTAAATCGCTCAATTTCTTGTATGTTCTGTTCAATGTTTGTTATATTTGGGCAAAGAGTCGACGAACTATGACAGCCCTAGCTAGCAATAGTGTGACGTTGCCCCTCCACGATACCAGTTAAGACTTGATGATGGTGTCCGTGTATATATACGAAAACGTTACAATAGGTTATGCGGATTCCGCGTGGGCTGTAAAAGAGGGCGCTGGGGTGTAGTGTAGGGGACTCGACCCGGCACCGACTAACGTAAGCCTCCACGCGAACAGCATATAATAACGCAATAATACATTGAACATACTAGGCTTTAAGGAAAACTACATGCCAACTGTGTCATGTCCCGTTCTGCCGTACGCAGCCCCATGGTTCATACCCTTGCCTCCAGTCAACGGTAATCGTGCTGGGGTAGGAAACGGGAAAAGAAGCATTGGTATGTTACAAGTAAGGGCAGGCCGTGAACTGAACAGAGCAAGGGATATGGCTGTGTGCCTCGCTAACCGATAGTTGGGGTGGCCACCGATGGGCACCTTATGTTCCTTATATGACGCTCTTGTTCACCAACAGTCATCCGGACATGAACGGAAAAGATGCTATTCCCGCCCTTGTCATCCACCATTTCTACCCCCTGTTCCAGCCCCGGACGGAGCTGCTACCCTGCAGGCCTTCATCGCAGGCCCGTGTACCTGACACCTCACGGCCCGCGCGCGCGGCCAAGTCCCCACTTCAGTCCAATTAGTGTCTCATGAATGAGCGCCCGGCAGGTTGGGCTGGGAAGCGAGCAACCGCGTCCACACGTTCGCGTTCGGGCCCGCTGACAGGCAAGCCGGCGGACTTCAGCACCCCGTCAGAAGAAGCTACCAATACCAATAACGCAATGTACGAACTACGCTTTGTCCACATTCGCTACCAGTGGCATCTGACAGAAACATTTAAACATAGCCAAGAAAGGCGTCAAGTATGCCTTGCCTTCGATCACCCAACATGAACAACGCGCGCCCTTAGTTACGACAAATTCTCTGTCGCATACCGGTCATATCACAAGGCACGGGTCGCGTGTTAAGTTGCTATATACTAAGTTAAAAGGGGACATGCACGACTATTTCACTAAGCCCCCAAACCCACGCAACACGTCCATAGGCTTTGGTCACCAGTTAGCTAGGTCATGTGCATCCGGGGACGGCGCATCAAGAGATTAAGCACAGAAGCGCAATACGAAAAGGCGATCAGGGTGATCGGTGAGATACCCAGGCAGGCACCGTAAACCATTATAACCATAAACAAGACCGAGCTCACGCGCGTGCACGCATGGCAAAACTGATGATAGGAGGGGTCGCGGTTGCAGATGCGCAGTTGTAGTTTGACGAGACACGCACGGCATGCAGGGTCGACGCAAGGAGGTCTAACGCAAAGTTCGTCTAAAGCGGCCATGTAAGGCAAGTAGGCAACGTGTTTTATTCACCCCCCAAACCGCAAGCACATACTTCAACAAGCCAACGCCCTTCTGCCGTACTTTTCATGCCCAGCGCTAGGCCACCTTGATGAAAATCAACAGTAGTCGACTCCAGAACGGGCCATCCATACTCGCTGGCACCAAGCGCCCTTACAAGTTGGACCCGTCCCCGAGCCCTCCAACACCAAAGCTGCCCTACTCACCACCCCCAGACACACAGCAAGACGCCAACATAATAAAAAGCAGCAATAGCACCCATATCGCCGCAATCAATGCCACTACCGGCCAGGCCAATGCAGCGCTTACAGCCCCCTAACCGCTGCCTGCCGCCGGGGCAGTGACGGAGGTTTTGGGCGGAAGCGTCACGTCCAGTCCCAAGCCCTTCAGGTGGTCGTACTCAGCGCGTGTTACCTTGACGCCGCCCGCAAGGATAATCTTGGACGGCCTGCAGAAGAAAGGGCCGAGTTGGTTGTCAGACCGGGCTTCATCCAGCACTACCATGAAAACGGGTAAATGTGGTGTACATATGGCCTATGGTTTGCTAACAATGCCGGCCTACCATTGCGGCAGATTGGAGCCAGCTGGCTTGCTCTCCATGCAGAGAGGATCGGGGCAGAAGACCCAGGTCTTGGGCTGTGGCGGAGGCGCAGCTCCGCCGTTGCCGCCCTCTGCCGGCGCGAACAGGCTGTGGCTGATGACCGCCGCCAGCGCCCCGGGTGGCAGCACCTCCTCGCACTGAAACACCTCCAGGCTGCCTGCATGCGTCAAGACGTGCAACGGCCCGTGAACCACCGTGTATATCCAGGGTATCCAGGGTAACCAACGGTCTACCCCCTGCCTGGGTGCATGCCGACTGCCCCACAGGGTGTCACCCTATCTGCCAAACCCGCCCAAACCTCACCGTCATGCGTTTCCTGCTCCACCGTGCCGTCACATGCGCAGCAGCGCATCTCCTTCTTCAGACGCACCACGCGCCACTCGCCAAAAGGCAACCCAGCAGCCGCACCGGATGGCGCAGTGCCAGGCGCCGCAGCGGCGGCTGCAGAAGGCGCCGGAGGTCCGGATGTCGCCTTGGAGGTGGCCTCCTTAGCTGCCGGCGCTGGCGCGCCGCTGGCGTCAGGGGCAGCGGCGGCATTCCGGGAAGCAGCGGGCGCGGGTGGGGGCTGCGGGGGTTTGGACGGGTTGGTCGCTGCTGCTGTAGCAGACGGATCTGACGTAGCCGAAGTCGGCGCTGTAGATGCGGCGGGCTTGCTGGCCGCCGCGGATGGTGCTGTTGTTATTGTCCCCGAAGATGCCGCCGGGGCTTTCGTGGCCACCGTTGAGGTAGTGGGCATAGACTTTGATGCTGATGGCTTCGTAGCTACGGCAGTTGTGCTGTCGGACGCGGCAGCGGCGGCTTTACCGTTGCCGTTGGCAGCCGCGCCAGCGTGACCTGTGCCACCAGCATGACCTGGCTTTGCGGCTGCCGGTGCCGGTGCATGGCCATGGCTAGCTGCTGGTTGGGTCCTGGCAGCCGCCGCCGCCGCCGTAGGCGCAGCAGAAGCCGCTGGGGGAGCCTTCGCCCCAGCAGCAGCAGCAGTAGGTGCTGCGGGCTTCGCAGCTGCGCTCGGCGCCGCCGTGACGTGCTGTGTAGTCCCCGGAGTTGACCTGGAAGGGGTGGTTCGACTGAGGGGCGGCGCCGGCTGCCTGGGCGTCACAGCCTTGCCTGCACCCGCCGCAGCGAGGTGACGTGCCGCATTGGGACCGCCGCTGCCCGTGGAAGAGTTGGAGGCTCCATGGAAGCCGTGGACGCTGTCCTCATCGCTGGAGCGCCGGTGGGCAGCAGCGGACCGAGTGGGAAGCATGAAGTGCGGGATGTTGGCCGGTGCGGACGCCACTCCGGACCGCTCTTTGTCAGCGGCCCCTGTCCCATGAGATATTGACACAGGCATCGCAGCTGCCGCGGCCGCCTTGGCAGGCTGCTGCGACGCTGAAGACCCCTTCAAGGAAGTCTGAGACGTGAGCCTTCCAGGGGTAGTCACGGGGCACGTTGCCCGTCCTGAATCCGCGGCCGTAGGAGTTGCAGGGGGGGCGCCTCCTGCGCTTGTGGCGGAAGCCCGCCGCGGCTGCAAGGGCGGCGTCTGCGCGCCGAAAGCGCCATCATGTTGATGCGCGCCGGTTGGCGTCGTGGCCGTAGGTGTCACAGCGGCAGACGAGGCTGCGGTTGCGGTTGTGACCTTGACAGGCGCGGCTTCCACAGTCTTGATGACGTCTCCCGGCGCGTCTACGAGTGCCAAGGCATCGCCCGCTTCGATCGCCACCTCTGTTGGCGTTACTTGCGCCAACGCGGTTGCCGACGCGGCCTTCCCGCGTGCCGAAAGCGGTGCGGGCGCTGTAGCTTCAGACGCGGCAGCCGTGTCGTCCGCTACGTCCACCGGTGCTACTACCTCCGCGAGCGATTCCCGCTTCGCAAGCGACGATCCCCGCTCGAGTGCAGGTATGCTGCCGGCGGAAGTCTCCGCAGGCAGCGTATCAGGGTCAGGCGTCGCAGCAGCAGTTGCTGAGGCGGCGGCAGCTGCTTGCGCCACGGTCGTGATGGCTGTGTGGGCTTCCGTGGTGCCATGGTGCGGACCAGCTGGCCCCTCGTACACACCTGGATGGGGTGCAGGGGGTGCCGCGATACGGGAGTTACGCTTGCTACGTTACCGATAGGTTGTTGCAGGACTCCGGGCCCATGAATAGACACAGCGCCACGCATGCAAAAGTCGTGCATCAAACAGTTCAGCAACATGGCATGCATACCGGTATCTATCACCGCTTATGTGCCACCCTCACCCGTCCATTTAATAGGTTCCTTGGTCTGCTGCAGCGGTGACGATTGCAGCTGCTCCTGCTCCTGCTGCTGTGAAGGACCCCAGGGCGCCGCATCGTCCCCGTCCGAATCGCCGTCCCCGTCGGAGTCCCAGCCTCCTGACGACCCGGAGCGCCCCGTCGCCCCATCTCCGCTACTCCCACTGCGCTCCGTGCTGCGTTTGCTGGGCCCTTCTTGCACTTCAACGGCGGTTGCAGCGGTCAAAGACCGAGGTTTCCATGCGGCCGCTGGTGCTGGCTGGGAGGCCTTTCGTTCGTCGTCGTCAGAGGAGGAGTCGCTGTCAAAGTCAGATCCCACGCTCCGCCCGCTGCTGCGCTTTTCGGACAGAGGCTGGGGCTGGTGAGGTTCTAGCGGCTTCGTTCGCGGCTGCAGTTGCAGCATTTTGTTGCGGGCATCCTGTGATTGCGGCAGCAGCAGCAGTTCAGGACAGCGGAGGCAGACAACAAGGACGAAGGCAAAGCATGACGCTTGACACGACGAGCGCCATCAAAGGAGATCAACATGGCCGCAGGGGTGCTCTCTACACTTCAATCGGCCCCAAACTAAACGCATTCGTGCAGCTAAGGTGGAGGCCCCTCCAGCTCCAAGCCCCGGCAACCGCGCTCACACGACCCACCTCAGGCGAGCTCTTCTCCTCCTCCTCAGCTGCGTCCCGCCACATGGGGTTCTCGTAACCCGCGGCGCGGGCGCCAGTCGCCGGCACCGAGACATCGTGCGTGGCGGGGCCCTTCAGGGGCGTGACACCCATCCCCGTGATGCTGCCGGCGCGCGCGGTGGCTCCTGGCGCCACCTGGCCCCCTGCCGCGGTGAGGGCCTGCATGCGCGCAATGAGAAGCAAAGACAGGGTTCCTTTAGGGGTGCATGGGTGCGCTTGATACCGGTAGAACATCATGTTCTGAGGACAGGACGGATAGTTACCGTGCAGGATCCACCCAACCAGTCATGTACATGCAGTGCTGTCCCCATGCTAGATACACTTGACAGGCAACACCGCTGCCTAGCTGGACTGTCGTGCGCGCGCACGCACCTGCTCATACTGCCGGTCTGCCGCTTCGTCGTCCTCGCTGCTTCCGCCACCGTATCGCTCGTATTCGCCCGGAAGCGAAAGGTCTGAGTCATCGGACATGAAGCTGTCCCGCCGGGCCTGCAGGGCCCCACAGAGAACCGCAAACAATGACAGGATGGTAAAGTGAGAGGACGCGTGGACAGAGCACACGAGGAGAATGCTGTTTGTCAACATGGAGGGTTCCTCTCACTTGAAAGGCGCAGTGCAAGCTGAAGGGATGGATTGCGACGTGCCGCTATAAATGCATGAATGGACATGCTGCGGCACCTACGTCGTCAATACATCATGGGGTCCTGGCTATGCGCCCGTCCCCCTTTACACCAGTTCAAACACATGCGCCTCTCCCAACAGTGCACGTGCATGCATGCGTGTACCGTAAGCCGACCCAGGAGCCCGGAAACGTACCGAGTGCCGGTCACTGCCGCTGGGTGCTCGCGGCGAGGGTCTGCCCATGGGCGAGGCCCGCTCAGCCGCACCAATCCTTGGCATCACGTGCTGCAATGCCGACTGTTGCGGGATGCTCCGCACCTCCTTCTCCTCCTCGTCGTCTGCTCGATGCTGTTCCTGTTGTTGCTGCTGCAGCAATGATGCACCGGCTTGAGGACCTGCTGGACGCGCAACGGCCTTGCTAGAAACCGCCACCGTCCTTGGGGTGACGCCCCTGCCACTGGCCGGACCAGGGCCTTCCGGCTCCATGACGCCCCTGTGATCCGCCTCGACGTGCTGTTGCTGCTGCTGCTTCTGCGGTTGCTGCTGAAAGCGACCTGAAGACGACCGAGATGACACTGGCTTTACGGATCCAGTTTGTGCATGGCTCCCGCTGCCGCTACTGCTGCCGCTGGCGCCACCTAGCCGCCCACGAGTTCTCGGCGTCACGTAGTCGTCGTCATCGTCGTGGTTTTGTGTAGACCGCCTGCTTGATTGCCGCTGCGATCGCTGCGTCAGCTGGCCTCCAGAAGCCGACCCATCGCCAGATGCTGCGCGACTGCTCCTGCTGCTCGTGTGGCTGCTGCCACTCCTAGACACTGGTCCCCCGCGCTGCTGAGGCGGCGGCCTCGGCTGCTGCTGCTGCGGTGGCAGCGGCGGCGCGGGATCCCGGGTGTTCGGCTTGCGACCGGGTGGTACCCTCTGGGCACCCGGCGTCGCCCCGTTTTCAACTGGCGCTGCCCCCCGCTGTGAGTACGCCTGAAGGAGGGAGGGGCGCCGTTGCAGAACATGAACCAAGTTCTAATGAGCCAACTGGTGTTGAGGTGGCTTTGAAGAGGTGTCATGTCATTGCATTAAGGTCCTTCCTCTAGACCAGCACCACTCCTCGGCCTCAGGGCCCACGTCCCAAAGTTCGGAAACCCTCCACCTCGTAGCTACACCACCTACCGTTGGCGACTTCCCAGGAGGACTGGGCGGAGCTCCCCTCCTCGCCGTTACGGATCCGCTGGGTTCGTCACCGCTGCTGCTACTGCTGCTAAGGGGCGGCGCCCGCACGGCTGGTCGGCTACGCCCAGGAGGAGGGGGATTGCGTTGGACACCGCTGCTGCGCCCATGCAGGTAGGGCCCTCCAGGACCGGTAGACTCACGGGCTGAAACGGGCTGCGAGGCTGGCGTGACAACCGAAGAGGGAACGGGGCTCAGCTCCTGCACCTCCTCCATGTCGACCTGCGGGAAGGTTGGTGAGCAGGGGGAACACGGCAACGCTGAATGCACGGGCCAGCCTTTTTGCTGCATGCGGAGTTGCCAAAGAGGGTTTTTCCAAAGACCCGCTTGAGTGATGCGTAAGGCATAGCTCGGCATGACGGAAGCCCGAGCTGAGTCGGGCAGGGTACGTACCACGATATCATCCGCATCGGCTTCCTCCACATGCTGCTGCTGTTGCACACTGCTCGTCTGGGCAGGATCAACGTCCCATTGAGCGGCCTGCAGCGCCGGGAAACAACGCCTCACAGTTAGGGTGCGGCCGGGAAAGCGAGCGCGGGAGATGCACAAGGGTTCCGGAATTGTGATATGGCCTTGTACACTCATCGTCCTTACCTTTGGAGGCGGCCGTGGTGGACTGGGTGGCGAGGGTGGAATTACGATGCTAGGCTTTGCGCGTGAGGAACCGTAGTCCCCTGAACCTCCAAGGCCCCCATTGCTGGCGGATGCCCCGGAGGGTCCAACCGCTGCTTGGGCTGGCGGGGCATCCCCAGTGCCAGCTGATTGGGGCCGCTGTGCGGCTCCTCCTCCAGATGACGAGCGGTTTGAGGACGCTGCCTCTCTGGGCTGAGCCGCTGCTGGCCCTGTCCGCTGCCCGCTGGCTGCCAAGGGATTGCCAGCTGCTAATGCTGGGGTGCCGTCCAACCCGCCGGTCGCAGGTGGTGCGGCAGTTGCACCCTGGCCAGGTGCAACGCCTGCTTGCGGGGCATTGGCTGCAATGCCAATAAGGAAAGGCTATGTAAGGGAAAGTCGTCTTTGTGCAAAAGAGGCCCAGTAACTTTGACGTTCTCCGCTAAGTTATAACCTAACGTGAAGGATGGCCGCTAGCATAATCCAATTCAATGGTCACCAAGTGCAAAGCTTGTGCCTAATGGAGGTTAATGGCAGGCTACCACCAGGCCTGCTAATTACGGGTCACCTACCTGCACCTGGCTTTGGGATTGCTGGGGCGAGCGGAGCCGAAAGGTCCTCAAGGTTCTCCTGGGAACCAAAGCATAAGCAGCCCATTCTGCAGTTAAGGGAGGGAGGGGGTCTACAGTGAGGGAGGAGGGACAAGTTGATCCTCTCAAGCCCAGTCCAAAGAGATAACAACGACGCTGACTGTGACGCAATGGTAAGCTTTCCACGCATGTATAAAACATGAATCCATCGTCTTGGACTATAAGCCACAGGCCTTCCTTGCAGGTAAGCCTCGGAGCAATGTGCAAGCCTGACCTTGACTTTAAAAAAAAACGCACCTTTAGAAGTTTCTAACAGCAATGGTAGTCGAGAAGAAATGTGAAACAGCAAACTTGTCGGAGAACACCAGCACCAAGCTGAGCACCAACGTTAACCTAACACTTGCCCTCTGGCAACTATTGTTCCGCTCTACTGTCCTCAGTCATGCAGGACAGCACTTAGAGCACTAGTTAGAGTACAAAAGAGCGATGTAAGGGGGGTTCACGGTGCATTTTCCATGTAGCGACAAGTCAAACATTGCGAGTAATGAGGATAACCGCCACAGCGTCTTCATAGTTCCCACTAATCATGGACAGCGTCTGGTTTGGCCTGGGCCATCGTCGCGCCTGGCCCCCTCGGCTCCGTACGAACCGTTGCTTGAGCCATCCGGGACAACGTAGTACGCTGGGAAGGGGATCGTTTTTTAAGCCTTAGAAACATGCTAGTAGTACTCATAACTATTGTCGCTGCGTATGTTGCTGGAGGTGCTGAGGCCGGGTTTTCGACAAGGGTGGTTTCCGCGCCAGCCTTGTCTCCTAACCGCACAGATGCAGCCAAGAAAGCACATGGGGCGTCACCAGAAAGAACCACGACGGGAGGGGCAGAGGCGGTCCCTGTTCCAACCTCACCCGAACTGGAACTTGTAGGATGGCTGCTAGGGATGGGAGCACAGGTAAGGACGATGACGCCACGTCTTCGCCCGGGTGTCATGCTCCATAATAAAGCGACTTAAGAATCTATGCCAAACTGCTAGCCCTTTTCAATGCGGTACAAAAGGGGCGGGTGGGCCCATGCGCGAATATCGGTGTGGGGGTTGCTGCACAGCTCTCTTGCCCACGGAGTAGCCCCACGGTTACCAGATGCAATGCAGCATGTTCCTGCGCGCCTAGCGCCTCAAAGTTCCCCCATGAGTGTGAAGGAACATCGTGCGGCAGCATGCATGCATGCATCACGTGCTAGGTCACAGCAGCGAGCAGCAGCCCGCATTCGACACGCCGTGTGCATACCCTGTACCTCCCGACCTGGGCCACCCATGCAACACCCTGTTCGAAGCTGCGCAAGGCCAGTCTTACGAGTTGCGTACCCACGTTGCTGACTATGGTGCCGCTTTCAGCGCTTGGCATGAGTAACATGGGGTTATAGAGGGCGCGGGGTAGTTCCTGTGAGAGGTGGGATCGAGTGTACCGGTACCGGTACCGTACCGATGCCCTCCCGGGAGCATGGCGTACTAGCCAAGGGTGGTTCTCGGCCTTTGGGCTTGGGTAAGCTTGACCATGCTGCAACTAATGGACAGCACTGGCGGCATGCAGTTCCCGTGTGGGCCCACTTCCTCACCCAACCACGCAGCTTGCGGCCGCCATGACGCGCGCCGCAGCAAGCGCATCAGTGCTCCTACCGGGCCACCACACATGCCGCCACACATGCTGCCGTACACACTGCCGCTGCTGATGCTGCTGCCGAACGTGCCGCCACCACTGCTGTCCCCACCCCTGCCCCTGCTGCCCCTACCCCTGCCCCTGAGATGCGTGTCTTTAGAATAGTGTCTCCGAATGCACTCACTGCATGAGTCGGGATATGGGATTGGGACTTTAGTTGTTTGCATTTCTTATATAATTTTTCTACCCTTGCCCCTGCTGCCCCTGCAGGTGCGGGTGGAGGTTCGCCGCAGCGGTGCCGGAGTGCGCGGGCTGTACACCGCTGCTGCGGCGGCTGCGGGGGAGGTGCTGGTGCGGGTGCCGCTGTCAGCGGCTGTGGTGCTGGGCGGGGCGGACGACACGGCGCCGGTGCGGGGGGCGGTGCGGGGCCGGAGGCAGGGGGGCAGGGTGGCAGGGCGGCTTAGCCAGACAACAGGCCTGGTTGGGCGACGTCTGGGTCCATTCCAGTCGAGGTGGGGTGGCGTAGCACTCCGGCTGCTGTCTGACGACCTGCCTCTCTTCTTCCCGCCTCCTCCTCTCCCCTCCTCTCAACCCCACCCAACAGGAGCTAGCAGTGCAGCTGCTGCGGGAGCGCTACCGCACACGACCCAGGTTCGCACCGTACTTTGCCGTACTACCGCCGCCGCCACCAGCAGTACCGCCACCACCTCCGCCACCACCTCCGCCCCCAGCAGCAGCAGCCCCATCACAAGATGGTGAACCAAGGCAGCAGCAGCAGCCCACCTCCTCCTCCTCATCCGCCTGGCAGCCCGCCTGCGTGGAGGAGTTTCCCCGGGCTGCGGTGGCGGCGCTAGCGGGGCGGGAGTTGGTGGGGTGGGGTGGAGCAAAGATGAAGGAACTGACTAACCGTGTGGGGTCTGGGGTGGTTGTGGAGATGGCAGATGGAACAAAAGGCCCGTTCACCGTGTACTTACAAGTGGGGCCAGGGCAAAGAACGTATAGCGGGGCTGGGTGGGCTTGCTAGCATTTGCCATGCGATGTATGCTCCCATGCGACCCCGGGGCTGACCGCACCATTCAAGTAGCCGTGCGGGTAACAGCACCAGCAATGCAAAGCTCACCCTGCCCCGTCTGCTCCCGCCTGCTCCCCACCCCCGCAGCGCCTACTCGCGAGCAGCAAGCGGGAGTGGATGCGGAGGGTGTGGTCCGGGGAGGCTGCCGTACGGCTGCCACTGGCACGTGCCGTACCCAGACGCCACGTCAGCCTGCAGGAGTTCGCCTGGGCCACCTGCATGGTGGGGTGGGGGGGTGGGTTGGGGGAAGAAGAATACCCTATGTGTGGAATGAGGGACACACCCCACCCCGCTCCCGCTCCCGCCCCCAGGTTACCAGCCGCTCCATCTCGGGTCCGGGCGGCTCGCTGCTGCTCATACCCCTCATCGACCTCGCCAACCACTGCACGGGTGCGTGTGGGGTGCGTGTGGGGTGCGTGTGGGATAAACCACATTCTGCAGGCGCGCATGCGGTTGCTGTACAGGTTGCTGCAATCCATGTCGCAGCGGCAACAGAAGTGTGTACGTGGCTTGCGTGCCTGTAGCGGCTTTTCCCTACCTACGTCCGTTGCTCTTCCCCGACCCGGCCCCCCTCTTGCCACATCCCTCTGACCCTCCCTCCCTCGCTTGGCCTCAGGACGGCCGCCGCCTCCGTCGTTAACCCCGCAGCAGGACAGCACGCAAAGCGACACCAATGCTGACGCTGGCAGTAACTCCTCAAAGGGTGGAGATACTGCCACCGCTGACGCCGTTGCTACTGCCAGTGCTGATCCCCCTACCGGCAGCAAAGTCTCCCCGCGTAGACCCGACCAGCTGCGGTTTGTGGTGGGCAGCGGCGGTAGTGGCGGTGGTGGAGGTGGTGGTGGCAGCAGCGGCGATGTGATGTTGGAGTTGGTGGCAGGACAGGACCTGGCGGCAGGCGAGGAGGTATGGGAAGTGGCATGGCACTGCCGCATGTATCGCTGCTGGCGGGTTTGGAATCTAATGCTGCATGCCTGATTGCGGTTTGATGGGGCAGAGGATGCCGGTGCACCACAACAAGAGGTACCCGTAGTGACGAAATCCTCCTCCTCCTCCTGCTCTTCCTTGCACCTCTCATCTCGGTGAGCCCGTCATGCCGTACCACTGCCGCTGGTCTGCCGTTTTCTGTCCTGCCGTACAACACAGGTGTGCATCAGTTACGGCGACCTGCGGCCTGACGAGGCTCTGCTCTACTACGGCTTCCTGTTACCCACAACACCGCGAACTACCACACCCACAGAAGAACACCTACCGGCACAACAACCTGCACCTGCACCCCACACGTCAGCTTCGCCAACGCCTCCAGCACAGGGAGATGAGGTGCCCGTGCTCTTTGCGGTTGACGAGCGGGAGTACGACAGCAGCGGGAGGCCCGGCAAGGTGCCGTACAAGCGGCTGGAGGTGACGTCAGCTGCTGCTGAGGTGGCGGCGGAGGTGGCGAGGTTGGCGGGTGTACTGGCGGAGGTGGAGGTGGAGGCGGCAGCGGTGCGAGTGGGAGCCGCGGCAGGTGGGGTGGCACCGGTAGCAGGTGGGGAGGTGGGGCATGTGGGTAAAGAGGAAGCAACTGACGAACCATGTGAGGGTATGACATGTAGGCTTCACCATGGGGTGCACCATGTGAGCCGCCAGGTAGGGTGGGGGTATTAGATAAACTGAGCCGCGAGAAACCACTGACCGTGACCATAGGGTGGGGGTAAAAAACGGAAAACTGTGGGGTGGGGGTAAAAAAAGGAAAACTGACGAACTGTATGATGAGGCTTCACCATGGGGAGGGGGGGGGTGACATGCGGCCGGTGTGCATGTCATCCCACGACCCACGGCTGGTGGCTGTGGGGGCAGGTGTAGCAGGTGGGGTTACTGGGGTACGGTACGGTATTCTGGCATGGAATGGGAGGGTGTCCTGAGGGGAAAAGAAGGATACCCAATAATGCCTTCTGAGGGGGGTGATGATGCATGCGCATGTGAGGTCCAGCGCTGTAGCCCAGCCGTGCAGCCGTTTGCACGGGGCGGCACTTGGCGTAGGCTGTACAGCACGGTCGCACGCACGGGGAGTGCCTGTGGGCTACCATATAGCAGCGCCCGTCCGCAGCAGCAGCAGCAGCAGCAGCAGAGGTTCCTATCCGGGAGGGCTCAGTGTGCAGCTGTCGGGAACTGAGGATAGAGTGGAGGAGGGGGCTGGGGGCTGCCCAATACCCTCCAGGTTGGAGAACTGTCGTTGCACTTGCGTTGACTCATATGCCCTCGTATGCTTGTTGTTTAGACTGCAACCAAGTGTTACCTGGCTGCGCTAGTCATCAAGCGCCATTCAGACTGACCCGGGTTCCCTGCCGCCGACCCCCGCATGCTGCGCTGTGCGCCAAACCCCAGGCTGCTCTTCAGTGGACTCTTCTGCCCAGCCGCCGGTGGACCAGTGCGCTTCGCTGCAAGACGGCTTGACTGCCGAGGTTCAAAGCCACGGAATGTGCTCAACGTCCAGCGATGTAGGGGCTGAGATGCAAGGGAGTTGCGGTGGTGACGGTTCTTGGTTCGCGGGTGGTCTGTCGGACCCGGTGGTGTGCAAGGTGGCCGCGCTAAATGAATTGCGCGTTGCTTTGCTTCGTTCAGAGCTGCGGAGGTTGAAAAGGATGGTGTAACTACGCCGGGCAGGGTATGAGTCAATGATGATGCGGATTTTGAGTCGGATCAGCGAGCACGGCAAAGCACGGCAGGAAAACCGTGGTGATATCGCAGCCGCTGACAGGGAAATACGGATACCACTGCCACTAAATGGTTTACTCGTTCTTGATACTCGTTACGATAAGGCAGAGGATCGTGCGAAGACATACCGGTAGTTGAAAGCCAACCTTGGGCAAGACCCACGTCGGAGAATGTTGAAGCTGCGAACAAAGGTACTCTGAAAGCATAGGAATTCGCTAGAGATACTCACTTACGATATAAGAAACCTTGACTGTGCTTGTTACGACGGTTTCAAGGACCCAGACAGCGCAGCTTTATGGCAACCGTTCGTTTCCGCGCCAGCATCTGGAGACGAGGTGCTAACTTTCTTCACGACCACAAATTACCGGCTGTGGCCGCTCGTGTGGCCTCTAGGCCTTCTGCTGCAAGGCGTTTGGGTGTTGTCATGGTGTCGATACATCTGCTCGCGGCTGTCCCCTTTACTTCGAGGAATCCCTTAGGACTTATTAACATGCCACGGACACGTATGACACAGATCCCAGGAAGCTTAGTGGCCAAACGCCAAGGTTCCACCAAGAGCAGGTCGACATGGCCCCGACACGTTTATGTTGGCGTGTCGTAGGCCAGTGAGGGACCCCCAACAGCTCTAGCTCTACTAGCTTGGTTTCTATTTGCTGAACCTTGGATAGCCTGCCTGGCAAGGTGAGCAGCGTAAGGGGATTTGGGGTGGTATTGGGACCGCGGGGTTTGGAGGCCCCGTTCCTCTTTAGGCGTTCTAGTGCGTGCCGGTTGCCTCCTGATGCCAAATGACTCGGGGAGTATTCGCAGAGCTTTGGCAACATGACCTACTTTTCCCCTGGACCCCACGCAGGCTACCCCTTACCCCCTGCGCCTGCAGGCTGGCGACGGCAGATGCATTGGAAGTGGGAAACAGAAGTGATAGGCGCATAAGGCCCCCGCCAGAACCGGTCGAGTACCGAAGATTTCCATCTATAGCATCAGCCCGGTTAGCTCAGTCGGTAGAGCGCAAGGCTCTTAACCTTGTGGTCGTGGGTTCGAGCCCCACATTGGGCGATTGCACTAGTGGTATAGTGGTAGCATAGGTCCTTGCCACGGACCAGACCCGAGTTCGATTCTCGGCTAGTGCATCCCGGTCCTGTGGTCTAGTGGTTAGGACAGCAGACTCTGAATCTGCTAACCTGAGTTCAAATCTCAGCAGGACCTTTTTCCTGCTTTTTGCGGTTTTCCTGGTTGTTTTCCTTTGATTTGGCATCTGTGCATTGTGATTTGTGGCCGACGGTGAGTTTTTGGGGGTGGGGGTTGCGGTGGGCGCGAGTGGCTCACGGCGGGTGCGGGTTGCTTTGGTGGGAGAGGGAAAACAGAGATACCAATGTGTCAGGTACATGTAGCTGACAAGCCCTGGCGGAAGAGGGCGTATTGGGCTGAAGAAGATGCTTTCAACACCGGGCTGCACTTCACGGGCTGCATACCGGTGCTGCACTGCTGCCGTACCGGTAACTACCCATACGGTTTCGCTTGTCTCGGCGTTACTGGTACATTCATTCCTAATTCCCTTGCTGCAGGCTTTACCATGGCTTACAGCACCGGTACGGCAAGTGTTGTGGGTGCTGCACGACGTACCGTGCTGCTGGGATGACGTGGAAGCTGTATCCATAGCCCGCCATGGGACAGGGTGGTCAGTCACCACATGCCATTGCAACACACACCAAGGAAAGAAAGGCACGCTTTGGATGTTTGTCGCATGTTTGCTGAGCTTCTTTGTTGGTTCCAATTCACACCGCCTCCTTCGTACACCACCCTGCACACTTTATGACCCGGTGTTTATGAACACCATCATCGTTCGGGACTGGGCTGACCCATGGATACCTCGTCTGCGTGTCAGCCGACACGCTGACATGGCCAGGGGCTGCTGGCTCTGCTGAGTGTGGTGGCCGACTTTGAAATGCAATCGATATTTCCGCTGCCTCTGGACTGCGATTGTACGAATACTGCACGATGTGCAACTTGTGTGAAGTCTGAAGTTACATCTTGTGGCACACAGCGTGCTCAGCGTGATTAGCAATCCTAAAGACTTCCATTTGCACAATTTGGACTAGTTACACGCAGGAATAATCACATACCCATACAAGCACAAATTACGGACCTGTAATACCGGAAAAGCTACCGCTACATGAATCCCAACCCATTATACGCAAGATAACAGGCAGCACAACTATATGGACGTAGGCCCTCCAAAGTTGCTGTTGTGCCGAGGCGCACGCGCATATGCACACTGTGAACCAGCGCAGACGCCGAAATAGCAGCTTGTTCACTGGACTTGCGGCTCACTGCCCTACGTGAAACCCCGCAGAAACAGTCAAGTGGATACCACCACCTCCACTGATCCACTGAAAGCCTCTGCACTTGTTATAAGCCAAGCGCACTAATGAAACACACACTAGCAACAGACGCGCCGCTCCAGCCAACGGCCACACCATGACAAGAACACACGACCAACGTCCGTACCTCGTGACTCATAAGGCTCATGCTGCAGTCAGCAACAAATGCTGGCAGCTGACCTGTCAACAAATAGCTGAAGTAAAAGAGGAAATCTACGCACAGGAACCCTGAACAAGCCTGAAACCCTTTCCCTCGCCCGACATAAACAACAAATAGACAGCTATTGCGGTATTCCGGTAATAAAAGAGTCTCAGATCCGACACCTAGCTGCCAGGAAGGCAAGCTTTCGAGGAAGGAAAAACACCAACGACCGTCCGATACCCAAGCCTAACGACAGCTACATAACACAAACACACCGCCTACCCACCCACCCACCAGACAACAGATGCGTCCTTCAACTGCATAAACCCCCTTTGGATCACAAACGCTTACCTTCCCCGAAACCAAGGCAGGCTCTGGCATGTCCATGGTAGTATTAGAACCTATGGCATGCGCACCCAGCATGCCGGGGGCACACTGCATACAATCCCAGACCGACAGACGGAACCGGGTAATCCGTACATATCTCTCCTAGCCACCGCAGCTCTGCCTATCTACTTGCCTACCTACCCTTGCCTGCTACTAAGGAAAGCTAACAAAAACACCAGCGCAAGATCTGATAGCCTAGCCGGACATTGCCGGCAATACAACACCATCCTCACCAATCTCAGCCGTACGGCGAAACACCAACAGGGAGGTCGACTGCGAACCTCCAACCACCACATCTCGGGAATCTTTCCAGAGACAGAAGCAACGGCGTCTTCACGCCTCGCATCAAAAACCCACCTTTTTTAGGTTTTATCCAGCACGGTACTGCCTACTATACTAAGCACCCCTTTCGCGAGCAGGAACCAAGCATATAGCTCGCATCTAGCATGCACCAGTTTCACAGCTAGCGCAGGCCGCGGCGCCGTGCAGATGTTGCAGATTCGGCAGGGCCCATCCCAAGGCCTGCCAATCCGCGTTATGATGGGGCGTGACGCACTCCAGGGCTGGCAGGGACTCTCGCCCACAACACAGCCCCCGCAACCAGCCACTCAACACGGGCGGGCGGGTGGGCAGGCTGGGATTATGAAGAGTGGTAAGTATGGATCTTCCATCGGCTACGCCTCTGACACCCTACGCACTCTGCTCCTAAGCACTAGGCTGTTGACCACGACAAACGACCTTCCAACCGCAATCAACAACCGCTCACTTTCCTAACCTCCTGCTTCGCCTCTCCTCCCTGCCTTGTACGGCAGTCGACAACTCCACCAGCAGACGACTCGCGCGCGCCACCAAAACCCAAACGCGAGGGCATGTCGGCACCTCCTGCGGCGCGAGTCCGAGTTCTGGGGCCCGTAAGCAACGGGGAAACAGAACTACGGACGCACCCGCCATGCCATGCAAGAGAGGATTGCCATGATGCCTCCTTGCCACAAAGGCCTGCCGCCTACCCGTGCGTTCATACCGCACAACATGAAAATAACTTCACCAATATACCCGACCTACTGCGTAAAGCAAACACTGCTTCCTGGCAAGTACAGCCGAGCTCGCTGCGCCAGGCCGCTCAACCAGCCCCCAGCTCTACGGAATACAGGACACCCAAAGACACTGCCTGCCATGACCGTCCTGCTAACCTCTGTACCTATACATTTGCCTCGAATAGGAAAGCGAGCTTGGCTGGCCATGCACTGCCGCCTTCGTGACCCCCCTGCCGCACACCCCATGCGCCAACAAATCCCTAGCATGGTATCATCCTCCTGCGGGCAGCCAAGTGTACTTGCCTGCGCGCCTTGGCAGGAACCACAACCTCCTGCATAGAACCCTCTCCTGACACGCACCAACCCCCCCCCACACACACACGCATCATAAACTGAGACATGTACCGATAACCCTTCCTGCGGCGCAGCGGGAACAGTGAAAGGCGTATCTAAAGGCCCATACGACATATACTCTCTGCAAGCACAGAACACACTGCCTCCAAACCCCTAGGAATTACCATCCTCACCAAATCCTGGAAACCAGCCTCCATCCTGTACCCTTGTCGTACATGTACATGAGCCCGACCCACAGGCAGCTGCAGGCGCGACAGCCGCCCTAGTAGCCCAGGCCAAAGCCCTTGGACAGCTTCTGTACGCTGCTGATGTACTGCATTGGGTTGACGTGGCCGTGATAGTGCCCTTGGCCGTGGACGTGGGGGTGGCCCGTGGGTGGCTTGCGGCCTTGGGCGTTGTAGCTGGGGGCCGTGTTGGGGCCCGTCGACTTGAGCGCACCAATGAGGTTGTTGATGATCTGTGGGAGGGATGGAAGTTCAAATGCTTAGTTGCCGAGGCGGCAACCGCAGCTAACAGATTTAACTTGCCTTCCCTCACAAGAATGGAGGTTCGACAATGTTTGTGATCTAGTCTAGTATTGAATGAAATACGTTCTCGGCAACCCACCAACACCCGTCTCTGGCAACGAGTCAGGGCCTATCCCCAACCGCCCTGCTTCTCTTACCTCAAGATCCCGGAGCAGCTTCTCGTCCACAAGCCCCTCCTCGCGCTTCAGGTTCAGCTGCTGGATGAGCGCCGCAATGTCAACATCTGACGGGGCGCCCGAAGCAAGCGCTGCCGCGGCCGCAGCTGCAGGACCAACGACAGCGGCAGCAGCAGCCGCGACCCCTGACACTGCCGGCTTGCCAGCAGGCGGCGTCTGGATTCGAACACCAGCAGCAGCCGAGGGCCGCGAGCCCACAGGCGCAGGCGCTGAGGAGGCCTCGTTTGCACCCTCAGCCGGAGACAGCGGAGACATCTTCCCCGAGGAGGCGGTGCTGTTGGCAGCGCCCGACAACATGGCCTCCTGGCCCGTAAGGCTGCTCGTGTTGCTGTCGGCACGGCCGCCGCTGCTGCCCGCCTCGCAGACCGAGCTCGCGTTTGAGGATGAGGCGGGTGAATGGCTGTCACCAACAGAGCCAGCATGGTTGGACAGGAGCGGCTTGCCCGTGGAAGCGGTCGCGGTATCCGGCGAGGAGACCACTGCTGGGACAGCTGGGACCTGCTGCTCGCCAGACATGGGCGTCCGCTTAACTGCAGCGGCGGCGGCGTCACCAGCAGCGGCGGCAGCAGCGGCAGACGACACTGGAACAACGCCAGACAAGGTCACCACAGGAGAGGACTGGCCACTTCCGCTGCCAGCGCTGCCAGAAGCCGGGCGGGCGGGGCTCTCTCCCTCGTCCGTTTGCTCGTCGCCGTCATCCGTGTCATAGCCACCAGACGGCAAGTCGCTGGCTGCTCCGCCATCATCGGCCCCGTCGCCAATGGTCCTCGCAACCAGGATCTTACCGGCTTCAAGCAGGCCGCGAATGGCACGCTCCTTAGCGCGGCGCAGCGTCCGTCGCTGGCGAGCGTTGAGGCGAACCTGCCCATCGCCTCCAGCGCCAGCAGCTGCGCCGCCGCTCATGGCGCCCGTCCCAATGCCGCTTCCCGGGTTGCGACGCGGACGGGGTCCCAGGCCACCCATGCCCAAGCCGTGCATGTGCATGCCCCCACCAAACTGGTGATGGTGATGCGTTGGGTGATGGTGGGCCGACAGAGCTCCCGAGAGGAAGGCAGGGTTGACCAGCATGCCACCGGGCGACAAGCCGGCGGCACTAGCAGCCGCTGCAGCCATAACCGGGTGCTGCATGTCCGCCACTGCGGCAGCGGCAGCCCGGAGGTTTTGCTGCTGCTGTGCAATGAGGGAGCCCTGCAGCTGCGCCTGCAGCTGGGCAATGTGCTCCGCAGCCGCCATGTAGTCCGTCTCAAGAGAGGGCGCTGCAACATAGCAGGGCATGCCAGTCGCCATCGGGTTCGGCACGGCGGCTAGCTGCTGCAGCTGCTGGATCATGGCTGCGTACTGCAACGATGGCTGCTGCATGGTGGTGGCTTGTTGAGGAAGGTGCTGCTGCGCTGCTGCGGCTGCCATGACGGATGCCTGCTGGGCGTTGTGCATGTGGGCATGTTGCGCCAGGTGCGCCATGCCGCCAGTCATCATGTGAGGGGCAGTGCCGTACAGACGCGGCATGGCACCCGGCCACATCTGCGGCGTGTTCATACCCGCCGTCGCAGCCGTGGAGGCGTCATAGAAGCCCCAGGCTGAAGCTGCGGATGCGGCCGCAGCGGCAGCCGCGGCAGCATTCCCAGCCATTTGGGTCATGCCGGGAGACCCAAAACCGCCGTACGCCGGCAGATCCACGTCAACGCCTGCAAGGCCCATGCCATCAGTGTCAAGCGCGGGCGCCGGCATGGAGGTCGCCGAGTCGTCCGGAAGCGGCACAGGCGCCGGGACGCTGACGACAGAGCCCAGAGCTGTGGCAGCTGCAGCCGCAGCAGCCGGAAGAGTCATGCCGGAACTGGATGTCCGAGACGAAGGCGGAGGAACCAGACCGCCTGAGATGGAAGTCCTAGGTGGCGGCGTCGCGGATGGGTTGGTGCAGGATGTGCGAGGCGTAGGGCCCGTAGACAGGTTGCCGACAGCTGCCGCAGCTGCCGCCACAACGGCCGCCGCCGCAGCAGCAGTAGTGGCGTCGAGTGCGTCGCGAGGGGTAGTGGTAGCCGAGACTGCAGCGGCGCGAACGGCCGACGTGGCACTATACGCAGGCATTGAGGGATCAGGGGAAACAGGCGCGGGATGCTGCTGCGGTGAGGCCGAGGCCGGGGCTACGGGCGACACATCGTCCCCATCTGTTCCGGCAGCCTGAGCGTCCGAGGATGCAGCGCCGCCCATTGCGGAGGCTTGGGAAAGCTGGTAGTTGGCGGCAGCCTGGTATCCTTGGCTCTGCTGCCTGTATGGCCCTCGGCCATTGTTCGAGGATGCCGACTGCGGCGGCGGAGGAACGTTGGGGCCTGTGCTGCCGTTGCCGGAGACCGTTGTTGGCGTACAAATGGCACGGCCGTCCAGCGACGACGCCATTTGCGGGAACGGCCCCACGCCGCTGATCGAACCACCGTTGCCCGACGACTTGCGCGGCCCTGGCTTAAGCGGCGAAGGCTGGTACGGCCGACCCTTGTCACCAGCTGTACTGCTGCGCTGTTGCTTGGTAACTGGCTGCTGCATGTTCCCCATCGGGCCAACGGGCCCGCCAAATGACCCATGGGCACCCGGAACAGGGGCCATGCCGCCTCCTGGGGCTCCAAAGGCGTTGAAACCGTTGAAGAGGGGATGGAAGTAGGCGGATGCGCTGTCGGGGCCGACAGATCCACTCGGCGGAGCTCCAGATATCGAGCCCGGGCGCATGGCGGGGCCGTTGGGGCCCTGAGGAGGAGCGAACGGCCCCACTGGTGCATGTTGTGCGAACGGCGTCTGGGGGAACATCATCGCTGCGGGCATAATAACAGATAAGGAGGGGGAGAGAAGCCGACGTTAAAGAGTGAGGTGGACGTGAACCTGACTTGCCACTGGCTGCAGCAAGACGTGTCCACAAGGATGTTTACCAAGAGCAAGCAGAGATCAAATCGTCCTCATCCTTTACTGTACCACTTACCCGTGGGCGTGCTGACTGGGCTTCCCATGAGAGGCGTTAACCCCCCGCGGGGACTGTCTGGCGCTCCTGACAACATGACGGGAAACATCACATATCCAGGAGCAGGAGTGTAGGCCATCGTCACGGGCACGTGAACTGGAGATGACGGACAACGACCGGCCTCGTTGCCAGAGAAGGTATTGTACAGTTTCTGCGGAAAGTTTTGCATCAGGAGGACAAAGAGGAAAGTTAATGAGCTTAATTGTATGACCCCTGCACGAGATTACATTTCCCTGAAGCGGGAAACTTGCGGGGGAAGGGCACCGACACGAACACCGTTCAAAAGCGCGCTGTGCGCAGACCCCAGTCGCCCACTAGGAACGATTTGCTTCCTTACCATTTACTAAATATATTTAGCAAAGCGCCCAAAGCCCCAAAACCTTTCCGAAAATCGCGCCAAAGTGCGACATGCTGTCAAGCACCACCTCTTTCGCCATGGCAAGCCGATATGAGCACAGCCGCATTTGTATAGAACCATAACTTACTGGGCTATCAGGATAGACGTGCGGTTGCCCTCCGTTGCAGGGGTTCCGCCACAACCAGCCGTGGGAACCGCCGTGGCCGCCTGCAAAACGCACAATAAGCGAATAGATGTTAATGGTGCGATGGTAAACATGTTGATTAACAACGAATTGATAGCGCACAGTGCTATGGAAGCAGGTTGGCCATCGGTGCAACAACAGCCGAAACGGCGGGAAGACGACCCAAGCACCTCTACGCGCTAGGCTCGCATATCCCTCATATGCTGTGGTAGAAAGTAAGACAGTCAAGTGCTGCACGGCGAGGCAAAGTGGGGCGCGCGCACTTCTGGGTAACCGCAAGCGCGCGCCAAAGCAGCAGTCGAGGTGTTCTGCCTAGTAACAATGCCAGCGCAATCGATAGCGGCTATTCTGCTGCTGCACTAAAGGTTGGATAGCTGGAACTATAGGCAAGAACAGCGTTGTGGAGTGCTTGTTGTCTCCAGAAGTACTCTTACCTAGGAGGCTCTGATTAATATTGGCATCGACAGACCTCCTTGGTGCTCTTGAATCCTCTTTAGATGTGCGGACTTTAAGTGGTTTAAAGTCGTTGCCCTGAAAAGGAAGGGATGAAACCAGTTATGTAGGTGACCCGCCCAGACCCGCCATTTTTTAATTGCCCGGGAACCGCCAACTCAATCTAGCATAAGACGAAACCAATACAGCTCGCTTCATCATATTCTATTTGGGCATGTCGTGCGCGTTTCTGTGCAGCCGCATGGGGCAAGCCAAGGCCACCTGCCTCAACTCCGGTTTTCGCGGCTTCACAGCGAATGGTTACAACCTCAACCAAACTTAAGGCAGTAGACAATAAACCTACCTCGTAAGGGCGGATACCGCGGGATTCACTCAAGCGAATCACCTCGGCCTCGCCGTCCATAGCCAAATCTGTCAGCTCCAGTTGATGTTAAATACAGCCTTTCGAAGTGAAATTAAGCATATACCAGGCACCAGCGAGGTTGAAGTTTAGCAGTTCAGCTATCCATTGCCAACCGGAAGAAGAGCACTGTGGTCTGAAGAATTGTTTATGTTAAAGGTATAAGGAATCTTAACTAACTACTAAATCGCTTCGCTTAAGACTGTCTGGAGGCGAGCTGGAATGGAGGGAAGTCGATGTGCCACAGACCAAAAGCCGCATGAAAGACATGGCATCCCGAAGTACGGATGCTTCACATAAAAACTGAGCTACAGGTACATCGATATGCAACCTGCATACAGCCAATCCTTCGCACAGTGCACACAGAGCCTTTGCGCAACAGTCTCTGGGGCGTTACATAGGACCTGCCGCCTGCCTCTCAAACCTATTGCTATTTGTTGGTCATGCTTGCCTTATATCAATTACCTTTGGGTTGAGGTCGCGAAGCTGGCGAGCCGGTTTTTCCCTCTTCCGGTCAGCTTTAGGATACAAACCTTTGCGACGTTCTAGGTTCAGGCCCTTCGTGGGATTACCAGCTCAAGGTAGCTGCGATCCTACTCGTGGCTGTCTCCCGTCCTGTCCCTTCGGACTGCCGCGCCGTGCTTGGGGATGGCACGTTCATGCCAAGCATTGTCGGTGCTGAGTTGAAAAACCTCAACAGCATAAAGACAGCCCTACCCAACGCCAAACGTGCCGGTGCTAACATGGGCTCACATCTCACATTTATCCAACCTAACTATACGGGCTGTGTCCGGCGTCATATCTGCCCGTTGCCCAATGGACACTGCGGCTTTAGCCCATCAGCCCAATGAGAAGCATAAAATGCTGGCCACCTTGAGTTACTGGGAAGCCTATCAGGAACTGTTGGGTGTTGTGTTGGTACCGGTGGTTCCTGAAGCCCTGTCCTCAGATGCGGGCGTGGGCAAGGCTGGATGCCTCCGGCAACTCCGGTTCCCTCCTTTGGTTTCGGAGCCTCCCCGGCAAGCTGTGCGCCTGTCCTTGGCAATGTCCTTGCACATGCTGAGCTAAGCAAGGTGGTACGACGACACGTTCACGTTGTGAGCGCGTGAACGTGTCGTGAATGCCAACAGATACCGGTACCTCACAGGCGGGTCCTCTTATCAGTTATGTTCACTGCACCGATAACTGGTGCACAGTGATGGTGAGGTTCCCATCCACGCAGCACACTGTCGCCGCCTGCATTCGCCATGCCGCCATGGCAAGTCCACTTCTTCCCCATCGCATCCCAGCCTCCTCCGGCAGCGCGTGCAGCACTCAGCCGCAACCCAGCTGACCCCCGTACTCCTGCGCTGTGCCCCTTAAGTGATCCTTGCGGCAAATTGCATGCGGATTGCGTCACTCCAGGGCTTTTTGCGCGACCATGCGTGGTCACTTGTCGGGTTCCCGCTGTCCCTATCGCATCTGTTCAGAGGCGGTTACAATGCCGTACTTGGGCGTTCTCTCTTCCCTGTGGTGTGTGTTAGCTCATAAGGCCTCCGCAATCAGCACTGCTGCGAAGCGCTGCTGCTGCAATCATGAACTCAAGGTGACTACTCCCTCGCAACCCCTCTGTTGTGAAGACCCCAGCCGTGCGCTGACCGCCTGGCGGGTGCGGCATTAGGGCTTCGTTTGGACTCATTTGTTACAGGAAAGAGGATTCCGACCAGAGACAGCCTTTCTATTGCAGCATGGCGCCTACCGGTTCTCCTAATATTGGCGTAGTCCGCTGCCTGCCTCACGCATTCCGCTGTCTGATGCGGCAGACGGACTTCTACCATCCGCCCTTAGGTTTCCCCTTATTAATCCCTAGCATGCATGAGTCTTCGCTGCTTCCCTCAGGGTGCCCGCCTAGGTGAACGACCCGCCAGCAAAGCAGCCCACCAACCGTCACACCCTACACACGACATCACCTCCCCCTCCTTACTTCCTCCCTCGTCGGCTTCCCTGCACCTCACGCGAACCCTCATCCTCCACCTCCTCCGCTTCCTCCCCGCCCTCCTCCCCTCGCCCCATGTGCCCAGCCTTCGCCTGTCCCGCACCCGCGCCCGCTGCGCCCAGCTGTCGAGTGTTGTGCGTGCGAATGTACCAGTCAGGCCAGCAGTCGCCCCACGCCAGCCGCCGAGCTAGGCGGTAGGCGGGACGACCCATCCAGCTACGCCGAGCGGACTTGGCGACAATCTGCACAGGAAGGCAACGAGCAAGGGAGGAATAAAAAAGGGGCAAGCAACTGAAAGTGAAGCAGAAAGCATCCGACCCCACGCCGCCTCAGGTTTTTTCTTCTTCTTTTTATTTGGATGCAAACAACACCCGCTAACATCCAAGCGTCCCTGCTCCACGTTTTCCACCGTATGCCCTCGGCCCGACCCCGTATCCCCCTTTTCCAGCCCTTACCTGCTGCACCAACCGCCCGTCCGCCGCCTCCTCTCCTGCGTCTCCCGCCTCCGCCACTTCTGCCCCCGCCCGCGCCGCACGCCCCTCAGAACTGTCACCTCGCTCGCCTGCCACCCCCTCACCATCGCCCTCGCCCGCCCCCGCCTCATCCGGGTAGTACCCCTGCGGCCCCACACACAGGTCCAGCAGCGTGTGGCCACCACGGCGCCGCGGCTGCCGTACAATGCGGCCCCAGCTGTACGACGAAGCTGCAGCCACACGTGCCTCAAAAGCACTGACCGCGCTCTGCAGGAGGGAGTGAAAAAGGATGTGGGTCGGTTGTACGGATGGGTCGGAATAGTGCAAATAAGGTTAGGGGGGTGGGCAACATGTGTAATACGTACGGGCTCGGCGGCAAGGTTGTCGGTAAGGAGGGCTGGTGCGCTTCGCTTTCGTGCCATAACCCGCCCACACCCATCCTCCAACGCACCTCGTCCATCAACTCCGCGTCCTCATCATCATCATCATCATCGTCAGCTTCCCTCGCAGAGCGCCCACTTCCCGCGCCGCCGACCTCGGCATCACTCCGACCGCCCTCCTCCGCAGCCGCCATGTAAGCACCCTCGTCGCCGCCCTCGCCTCCATAACCGTAGCCGTCACCGCGACTCGCCCGCCAGGCCTCCGCCACCTTGGCCCCGTAGATGCGCACCATCAGCTTCTCTTCCGCAGCCGCGTACTCCTCCTCGCCGACGTCAGCAGGATCCAGCCGAGACCAAGCGGCCGCCCGCCCCGAAACCTCTGGTTCCGCAAGCTCCTGATCTGGCGCATTGGAGGTTGCCGTGGCGTCGCCCTCACGCAGACCCATGGGTCGATTCTCGGCGGCCCCCGCTGCATCAGGAACAGCACCACCAACCATTGCCAGAGACAGCTCCGCCACGGCGGAGTCCAGACCCAGATTGCGTAGTGTAGCACTGGAGGCAGAGCTCTCCTTTGCTGGCGCAGCAGGGCCATGGCGGCCGACCCGTGGGTCATCGTGGGTCAGCATGTCGGGATCAGCCGACGATTGTAGTTCCGCCGCTCCTTGGCCATCTGCTGCGTCATCGGCTGGTGGAGCTGCCCAGTTGACGCCGGCATCCTGGGGGTGTACGGCAGGGAGAAAGTCAGGCGGGGATTGCGATGGTTGGGCCGGTCGTATGGTTGCTAGGACGACCCCCTCTGCTCTGCTACATTGGCCTCCTCCACGACACCGGTCTGGGCAAACGTGTGCAATGTATGGACGCTGGCAACTGTGGCCGACGTCCGCGTCTGATGCCGTACATCTCCCACACGCGTAAACCCATCCAAGCTACCCTGCAAGCTAACCTTCCACACCATCTGCACCCCTCACGTCCCCGGCCGCGGCCCCCTTACCTGCAGCACCATCAGCCGTCCAACCAGTCCCGGACCATACGCCGGGTACTTGCGAGCGAACGCGGCAACCACCGGTCCTGTGCCGACCCCACCACCAACACCAGCACCACCAGCAGCGGTGCCAGCCGGCTCCGCCCTCGTCGCGGCAGCAGCCTCGCCCTCACTGCTGCTGCGGCGCTGCGCTTGCTGCTGCGGGTGCTGCGAGTGCTCAGTGGCAGACTCAGACGCGGATGAAAGCCTGCCTGCCTCATCGCCACCCTCCGACGGGGAGGCTACTGGGTCGGAGGAGAAGAGGGGCAGCCGGCGTGACTGCTGCTGCTGCGGCGGCGGCTGCGACACCACTGTTCTCGCTCCCTCGTCCTCCCTGGCAGCAGCAACCGGCGTCCGAGATGAGGAGGCACTACCCCGCTCTCGAACGGCTGCTACTGCATCAGCTGCTGTTGCTGCCGCTCCGGGTGTCGCTGCGGTTCCTGCTGCTGCTGCAGCTGCTCTGTCCAGGAGCACCTGGCTGAACACCACACGGGGCGGCAGCCGGGGGAGCAGCGGCGCGGAGGAGGTGAAGTCCTCCTCAAAAGAGGAGGATGAGGAGGAGGAGCCGGCACCACCGCTGGGCTGCTCCTCGGCTGCTGCTGCGGCGGCCGCCATGCCGTACTCACGTGACACGGCGACCCGGAAGTCCGGCCGAGGGCCGCGACGCAGTACGACATAGCTGAAGCGCTCGTCCTGCACGGCAGTGGACAGGGCGACGGGCAGGGGGCCATGCATGGCAGGATAAGGCCCCGGTGCCCTCATGCAACAGCGGCAAGCGGTGTTCACATGAGATGCGCTGGCTCCATGTGCGCCTTGCCCTTGTGTTGTATTGGAAGAGCACTGGTTGCGTGTCTGGGAGCACGCTGCTGGAACAAAAGAGCTGAGGGACACGGGTGCTGGTGCAGCCTGTTGCAGCCCAAGGTACGCCTCCCCACCCGCCACCCCATCCCCCCTGACCTAAACCCCAACCCGGCAGGTGGGGCCTAGTTAGTTGCTTCCTCCTGACATAGCCCGCACCTGCCCTGCCCTACCTGCGTGTTGGGCGGTGTGCGGCCGCTCGCGCGGCCGCTGGGTGGCGCGATGGCCTGCTGCATGAAGGGCGGTCGCAGCAGCGGCTGGCTGAAGTGACACCAGCTGCGGTTGCCCTGCAGGTGAGGCGGAGGTGGTACAATGAGTGAACAGTGGGAAGGCCCAAGTAAGGTGTAAGGAGTGAATGAGAACAGGGTCCAAGCGCATCAACTCCGCAGCCAGGGAGGCTCCCTGTGTAGGTCTTCGTCACCGACACGTCCCCAGTCGCCCCTCACCCGCACCCCTTCCCCTCCCCCCTACCTGCATGGGACAGGTGCCGTCATGCGGACACGGCGCCACCACATGCGCTCCCGCCGCTCGGAGCTTTTCAGCGACCCGTGGGTCCATGTCGTCATGGCCGTCAGGGTGCTCATGCGCGCTTCCGCCGCCCTGTACCCCCGCCTTGAGCTTGGCTAGCTTCCGTTGCTGCGATCCGGTTATGACGCGGCATAGGAAAACACATCGTACGCGGGTCAGGGTGTGGACGAGCGCCTAATAAAGAGTTACTGTATGTATGAGGACCCGATGCTGTAGTTCAGCATACCCCCCTCCCCGCACCACTCCCGCCCCTCACCTCCAGCCCCAGCACCATCTGCCTCGCCTCCGCCACGTCAGCGAAGCCGCGCGGGGTGCCCGGCTCCACCAGCACCAACACATCGCCACACCTGCACCCTCGGAAGGGGGGTTTCAGAGATGTACCAAAACCACAGGTTAGGGCAAAGCAATGAGGGGGAAGGAGGTAAGGAAAACTAGCACGGGGGGAGAAATGGAAGCAGGGGAAGAGAGGGGAAAGCGGATGGGGATTGGATGCTGTGCGGTGATGCGGGGCTTAGAATGGTGCAAACTTTCCTGGCCTCCCTCTGACCTACTCTGTACTCCCCCCCCCGCCCCCTCCGACCCATATCCTTACAACCTGCCCAGGGCCCACGCCCCTCCCTCCCTCCCTCCGCCCCTCCGCCCCACCTCTCCCACAGCTGCCGCACCAGCCGCCTGCGCTCCTCCGCGGTGGGCAGCAGCGCCAGCTGGTAGGGCGCTATCACCAGGTCGTACCTGGGAGGAGTAATAGGGATACATATTCCGTATTTGGGTTAATTTGAGGATGGGGTGGGGTGGAAGGGGGGAGGGAAGTGGCGGGCGAGCAAGCAGAAAAGATTGTCGACGCTCTGTCGACGCAAACATGACAGCAAGCGTTGGGCCTATATACTGCATCCGATCGACCCAGATCAGGTATGCGATACCGACATGCATTAGTACCTCTCCACCCCACCCCCACCCCCATGCATCTCAGCTCTCCACCCGTCCACCACCACCCCACCTCCCCATCACTCACTTGCGCCGCTGCGCCGCCGTGGACTTGGACAACGGAGGCAGCTCCCGCACCCAACTGACCCGTGGGCCACCAGCCGCAGCCGCCGGCGGCTGCTGCCTCCCCTTCCTCCCCCTCTGCTGCTCCCTGCCCTCCTCCTGCTGCTGCTGCTGCTGCAGCCCCCCTGCCGCCTCCCTCGCGGCCCGCTCCACCCGGGTGCCCAGCAGCTGCCGTAGCGGGGAGGGCTCCACCGCTACCAGGTTGAGCAGGGAGCGGGGGGGCAGCGACTGGGGGGGGCGCAGGGAGGGCAGGGAGGAGAGGGGAAGAGGCGGCGGTAAGCGCGGCTACAAGGATACTCGGTTGCCCCACCCAGAAGCCAGCCTAGCGACTAGACCTAGACCCAGAATGCCAGAAGGCTAAAGACCACCAGGAGGGGATAAAGAGGAGCAGGGACACGGAAAAAAACCTCTAAAAGGGCAACCCCATCCCCCACTCCCCTCTATGGTTTTTTAATTGGTCCCAACCCCGACCCACCTCCAGTGCCGCCAGCACCGCCGCGCCCACACCCGCTCCATGCACCAGCACCTCCCGCGGCCGCCAGCCCGCTGACACACCGCCACCGCCACCCCGCTCCCTGCCTCCACCACCACTTCCACGCTCCCTGCCATGCGCCTCCGCCGCAGCAGCCGCCTCCGCCGCCAGCGCCGCCGCCACCCTGTCCGCCGCCTCCGCCGACTGCAGCAGCCGCGCCGCCTCCCCCAGCACGCGGCGACACACCGCGTATTCGGGGACCAGCCGGGACACCACGTAGGCCAGCACCTGAGGTGGAGAGGTGGAGAGGGGGGGAGAGGGGAGCGAGGAGGGCAGGGGAGGTGCAGGTAAGGTGGCAATGGTGGGCAACTCAGTTGTGTCTTTTTGGAGGTTTAGGAAGCGCGATGCCAGTGCGGTTACGCGTAAAGCAGCGCATCGTTTGCCCCTGAACGTTGTACCCACGACGGATACATGGAGTGGGCGAATGGCGGCCCCCCCGCTCCCGACGGCGGATCACGCACCTGGGACTGCGTGTTGTAGCTGGGCGCCAGCTTCTTCATGCGCTCGGCTGCAGACAGACAGGCAGGCAGGCAGGCAAAGCCGCACAACCCAAGGTCAGCTCCTTCCAGCTTCTTCTACCAGACACCAGACTGGCAGCCTATGCATCAAGCTTTTTACTCCAGGGCACAAAATAAAAGAAATATCTACCGGCATGCATGACATGCCGCTCTTGCACACCAGCCGCACCCCCACCCCCACCCACCCTGTCTCTCCTCCTCCCGCAGCGGCGGCGGCAGCCCCAGTGCCGCATTCACCGCATGGTCGTCCATGTACGGCAGCTCCCCCGCCTCCAGGGCCGCCCGCGCCGCCGCCACCTCTGAGGCGCGCATGCGGCCGCTGGGCAGGAAGCGCCCCGAGGCACCCGGGGCAGCGGGTGAGGAGGAGGAGGAGGAGGTGGGGGAGGCTTGGTGGCGGGTGCGGCTGAGGGTCTGCGGGGCCGCGTGGGGGTGCGTGGAGGCGGTGGAAGTGAGCAGGGGGGGTATGAGTGGGGAGAAGTGGAGGGGTGGGGAGGCAGAAAAGGGCCGGCATGGGGGCAGGGTGTGAGGGTTAGGGGCTTAGGGATGCGCGCGTGTGAAGCATGTGGGTCGGGGCCAGGGGCCGTGAAGAGGACGGGGATGTGAGTTGGCGGCGGCTGTGGGGGCGACAGGGTGAGGGGACGGGGCTGTCGGTCAATGGATAGGACGAGGGGATGAGCCGTGTTCGTTCCTTTCCCTCCCTCCTTCCCTCTTCTCCTTTCCCTTCTCCCCCCAGCGCACCTTGAGTCCCTCCAGCAGCTGCCCTCCCAGCCTGCGTGCCTCCCGCGGACCCACGCCATGCTCTGCATGCAAGCAAGAGGGTGCCGACAGAGGGTGCTGTTACACCGGTATGTATCCCCGTCATTACCCAACACACACTCGGCCAGCGCGACCAGATGTGTGCCGCCCGCCCGCCAACAGTTCGCGAGGATGACAGCTTCGCTGAGGATGGGTGAAGCCTCGTAGTTGTATTCGCATGCATCAAGACCTCCCAACACTGTGTCCTCCCAACACTGTCCCGCTAACATGCAACCCACTGACAAGCAACCCAAGCGCAGCCAATCACCCACCTGCCAGCACCGCCTCAAGCTCGCGCTCCAGGGCCGGCGGCAGCTGCACGCGGGGCAGTCCCCGACGGGCTGCAGCCGTCGCGGCCTCGGCCGTCACCTCAACCTGCAGCGGGAGCACACGGGAGGCAGCGTGAGGTGACAGCGGCGTGCAGGGAAGCGCGTGGGGAAGGAACGGGTCGAGAGAGTCGGCTGGAGAACGGCGGCGACAGCCACACTGGCGGCTGGGTATCAGATCTGGACAGGAGGCAAGGAGCCCAAGACCACATCGAGCGGCATTCGCGTAGTATAAATGAGTGATAATACAAAGCAGTCAATGACTGAAGGTGGCGCACACGGCTCACCACAGCTGGCAGCTGACTGAAGTTTCGCTTGAAGGCTGCTGCTGCGTCTGATGACCTTTGTGCAAGCTGGCAACTGAATGTTGCTATTGCATTGGATAATCGCATCTTGCCTGCCGTCGCGTTGAACCTATGCTGAAGATCCTAAGTGACTAGCTACGTTGCTGGTTGGCTGCACACAAAGCGCACTGATTCGATCAAGGAATTGCCTATACTTGGACAGGACCGGCGTTAGAGGAAGCAGTAAAAGTGCCGGCTTGCACCCATGCTCGTATGTATGTATGTGTTACAAGCTTCGTACCGAGCTCGTAAGATCCGTCCGAGCCAGAAGGCTCATGGATCGCGAGCACAAAACGCGAAAACAACCAAAAGAAGAAAAGTAAAACAAAAGAGACAAACAAACAGAACGCTAATCATATGATAAACCCTGTCTGCGCAATCCTGCGACTTCGCATGCTAGTGATTACGCTAGCAAGCAATGCCTGATTCTCCATGCCCATGACAGCAATCATATCAGCATCCCGTGAGACACCACTTTCCCATATCTTATCACGCAAATCATCGTAAGCGGGACATTCAATGAGGATGTGTTTCTCATCTTCCACTCTCCCCGGCGACCCCTGCACGGCACACATAGGACAGACACGCGCTACTCGTTGCCTACCCCTAGGGCGATTGGCTTCAATGCCCCACACACACAGCCGAAAACGCATCAGGTTCACATGCTGCCGCTGAGTAATGTACCCCCTGTCAACCGGGTCACCCATCCAATTTTTGTACCTGCACATCTTAACTCCAACCCCTGGTACGGGGTCTACTGGGTTGAAAAGCCGCGGGTCATCTTCCAAACTCCTATCCTCCCAATCCGCATCCATTCTATCAGCAAACGTTTTAGTGAGAGCAGACACATTTAGCTCCGTGCCAGCAATACGTTCCACACGCGCATTCAAGTCCAACTCACCCCCCAAGGCCGTCAAATCCGTCCCTAACATTTTCAGAATCTTCAACACCTTAGAACCCCAGCCATCATAATGCTCAGTACTGAGAGCCGAACGAATTTCACCTCGCAACGCCTGGTGGTAGACCGTGTCCTTCTGCTTGACCAGGTCATTCCAAAACCTCAGAAACAGTTCCAGCCAGAAGACATGCAAGGGGCGCTGGTTAAACTCCTTAAACAGCAACTTATCAGGCGAGACTTTCACACCCGCAATCTCCCGAAGAAATTCCCTTTGTAACTGCACCATTGGGTCCCGCAAGGATCTGTCAAAGTACCTCGCGGAATTCTCGCAGTCCGTCATTAGCTTCAGCACCACATCAGGCCCCCACACCTGGACACCGTACGACAAGATGGAGCGGACTTGCACGTCGAAGCACTTAACTGCAACAGCAGGGACCAAAAGACCTAGGCGTTTTAATTTACGCTGAAGAGAAAACATAGCACGTCGGCCAGAGGTCAACAGTTCCTCTGTGCAGGAAACAAACGGTGTGCCAGGACCAAAGTGCAAACCAAGGTAACGGGCTCGTTGTACCCAGGGAATAACCATAGGTACTCGCGCATTTCCCTCAATAGAAGTCCACACCACGGGGCAAAGGGCAGCAAAAGCCTCGCGGATATTGGCACGAGGGTGGAAAACCATCAATTCACATTTACGGACATTCACCCGCATCCCAAAGGCCTCACACCACTCTCTCAGATCAGAAAGCAACACAATCAGCCGTCTGTGCGTCGTAGCGAAAAGGCTGAGGTCGTCGGCATACAGTTCCAACGGGATACGCCGGCCATCCGCATGGGGAGTCTGCTGCTTAGCGCGCATAGCATCAGGGAGCCACTTATCCTTAGCGTCAACATAGTCAGCAAACCCCTCGCCAAAAATCCCGTAAAGCGTAGGGCTGAGAGGGCATCCTTGCTTGACTCCCTGCGAAGATTCAAAAGGATCCCCCGTCACTCCGTCTACCCTGACACGCATCATGACCTTGTTGTAACAAGTCTTGAGAGCCTCCAGCATAGCGCCATGCACACCCCGTTCCTCCAACCTTAACCACAAGAGATCACGTGGCACCTTGTCAAACGCTTTCTCAAAGTCAATCTGACAAACGAACAGGGGGTCAACTGCATCTCGCCCCCCCTTATGTTTGTCCGTCAGATGTCGCAACAAAAACAGGTTGTGGCAGGTACCCCGCTTGCGTCGGAAACCTCCCTGATACGGCGACCTAGCTCCCACCAGCTCGCCCCAACGAGACAGCCTGTGCTCCAACATAAACGCATAAAGCTTAGACAAAACACCACCCACTGCTAAACCAATGCTCTCTGCTGAGCATGATTTGCAAATAGCCGTACGCTTTGGACGAGAGCGCGCATAAGAGCGACGTAAGGTGGCAGGACTTGGCCCGTGTTCTTTATGCTTAGTCCGAATTTATTTATGAATTTACTGGTAAACCGCAGAATTTGTATAGAGAAGTAGAAGGAGCAGAAGGCGGAGGGTCGTCGGCAGGGGTTCCACCTAACCTCTACCTCGTGATCACCCACATATTTATTCACGATGAATCTTCAGCTATCGGCCGTTAGGCCCGTAGGGCAGTCGAGCGCGCTTCGTCCACCTTCGGCGCTCCTTGAGCCATCCCCACCGGGCGTTGGTGCCAGCTTGCGCCAAAAATTCCTTTCAACCGGCCCAGCCACATCGATGACAGCAGGAGTTGGCATGATGGGAGGTGGCAACGCATCCAGCGTCCTTGACCACCTCAAGAGGCATGCCGGTAGGTGTCGCAAGCTTCGCAATGTCCGGCCCAAATATCGATAGCCTTACATGAGGGGCTCTGGGCAACCCATTAGATTTGCTATGCTAAATTTGGCCAGGACTTCCAAGCTATCCGTATAGCTCTGTAAGAGTTGTTAACGCAGAATGTGTGTCATGTTGTTCCCTGCAGACCGCATGATGGAGGAACAAGAGAGCACCAGACTCGACGTCAGCACTTATGTAAGACGGCTTAATTGTGATGCTATGCAGCGCTTGGGCATTTTGCAAGGGTGGGCTGTTAGTCGCGTTTGAAATGTCGCGCATGTTCAGAGCCACGTAACATATTTGGCCCGAGCAAACAGATGACTTAAACAGTATCTCCAGACCCAAATGGGAATGTCACAGCGCAAACACTTTTCCGAAGGAGGAATACCTTTCGTACCGAGCGGCCACGTTATCCTTATCTGTCCTCCACAGCGTGAGAAGCTGACCGAGGTGCAAGCGACGCTGTCGCGCACGGAACAAGACCTGGCTCGCGAGCGGCAGGAGAACGTGGTCCTGCGTGCTAAGGCCAAGGATGGTGCGTATTTGGCATGCCTCCGATCCAAGGACGACGTACAAGACGCCACGCTACCGCCTGGATGATCCCTAAGCCCTGTTGTTGCTGGCTGTGTGGATCAATGTCATCGGCTTGCTGCATGATGCACACCGCCTATGTGCACGTCAGTTCGGCACGCAGTACTTGTAGCCGGTATCTTGCTGAAACCCACTTGACCCACATCAGCAATGCACCCTTTCGGCCTTTCCCGATGCCATGTAGATGCGACCCAAGTTGCCTACGTCCTCGAGAAGATGAAGGTTGTAGCTGCGCTGCAAGAGGGCTTGCGTGCATCCATTGGCAACGCTGGACTCGATATTGGCCGCAGTAAGTACGATGTTCATGCCCCTGTATAGTCATAATGCTTCAGCTTCTTACGTTTCTATCCAACCCGTTTCCCTTCCTTCACGTTCAACGCGTACCACTTCTGCGTGTCGTACGGTGGCTCAGCCGACCAGCACGTCCGCGACCTGGATGTACGGCAGCTGGGCCAGGAGCGAGAGGTGGGCGACGCCAATGCCTCACTGCGGGACTTGGGCGCCGCCAAGGACGAGGCCGCTGCGGAGTTGCGCCGTGGTAAGTGCAGCCTCGGAGGGTTGGAGGGCTGGCATGCCTCTTTGTAATGTGCTGCCTGGGTTGCCCTGTCGGTTGTAGTGAACCGCCGACGATGTGGGTCGGCGGCTTTCGTTCAAGGAGTGCATGGGGCCGGTCACATGCGATCCCTGAACGGAGACCGCCGGCCAACATCCGACCCACAACAAAATAGCATTGTGCGTGCAGCAGCCAAACTTTTCGATCCTTCGTTGACACTCCTTTGCTTCACCTTGCCTATGCAGTTCAAGCCCTGGCAGCCAAGCTGCAGTCCCAGCTGCGCCACGCCCTGGAGGAGGGCTCCCGCAAGGATGAGGCGCTGAAGCGGCAGACGGCCGACGCGGTGGGTGGCGCAGGGATAGGGTTGCTGTCGTTCCTCTTTGCCTCAACGCCTTTATTCATCTGTGGCAATTTACATTGCAGGCTGCACGCGAGAAGGCTGCTGAGGCGCATGCGGCGTCGCTGCAGGCTACCCTTGCCAGCACCACCGCTGACCTTGCGGCCGCACGCAGCCAGGCGGAGCAGCTGCGGTCCGAGGTTGACGCTGAGAGGTAGGGGGAGGCTGGAAGACGGCAACGTGACGTCAACGTGAAAGTAGCCGGAGGGCGTGAGTGTTGTGCAATCTGCCGTACACCGACAGGGATAGGGATGCTTAGGATTCCCAACACGCATTGCCTAGGATTTGCAACACGTTAATGCAAAGCGCTGACCCAGATCAACTCTGCATGCATGCACGCACGCAGGGCTCGCTCCGCCAAGTCCGCCGCCCAGCTCACGGAGCGCTACCAGGAGGCCCAGCAGCGCATTGCGCAGCTGGATCGGCAGCTGTGTACGGCAATGGACGAGCAGAAGGCCGCGCGCGAGCGGATCCAGAAGCTGGAGGACCGGGCCCAGGTATGTTGGGTGACGCACGCCTGTCTTTGGTTTCAGAGCCGGTTTTGCGGCTGCCAGCTGCTGCAGTGCTCCTAGCAGGATAACCCTTGCCGTGTAGCGTATGCACGCTTCTGTTATGAGCTCATGACAGTATAATTCTCCTGGCATTCACGCATGCACTACCGTATGCAGGTGCTGACGGCTGACGGCGCCCAGGCGCGCGAGGAGCTGTCCGGCGCCCAGGCGGCGCTGGCCGACCGCAACTCCGAGCTCAAGAACGCCAACGCCGAGGTGAGCTGGCGCCCGCAGGCCCAACGAGGCCCAGCCCGCTGCAGGCGTACGCTCGTACCTCCTTGACCTGGAGATCTCGTTACTACCCAGTCTGAGTTGTCAAGACTTATGAGACTGCACCCAACCCAGCCAAGCCATGGACTTGTCACCGGTCGCACCAAGCATGCCGAAAGCGCATGCACCCGCCGACCCACATGGATTCAAAGCCTGTATGCATCTCCAACATGCATTAACAAAATACCGCGTCTATCGTTCCACGATGCTGTTATGCAGATTGAGCAGCTGGGTCGGCGCCTGGAGGCGGTCCAGGGCGAGCTGGCCGTTCGCGAGACGGACGTGCAGCGGCTCGAGGGGGACAGCGCCGAGGTCGCCAAGAGGGCGGAGGAGCTGGCGGCGCAGGAGGCGGCATTGCGAGAGGAGCTGTCGTGCCGCGAGGTTGACGTCGCACGCCTGACGGAGGAGCTTGCAGCCCTGCAAGGCAAGAGCACGGCCAAGGAGGTAGGTTATCTGGCCTCGTGTCCTCGTTAGGAGATGCCTTGGTTAAGATGAGGAAGGATGCCGAATCGGTCTGAACCGACGGATAAGCAAATGTGCACGACGCTTGCTAGACGTTAAACATTGTGGTGTGGACCGTGCAGTAGCATATCGCTTTAGTAACACGCCCTATCCAGCCAGCTAAGCGCGACCACATGCCGATACTCCGGTTAATGGGCAGGATGCTTTGGTCAGGCATTGCGCATTGTGGTTTGGACCCTGTGACCCATGGGACGCTACCCTGGACCCCAGATTTCCCCGTGCTTGCTCGCATGCTCATACCCACTCCCACGCCACCTTCCCGCACCTACAGGAGGAGCTCAGCACCGCGCTGGTCGCTGCCCAGGCCGCCGTTGCTGCCGAGGCCGCACGTGCCACTGCCGCCACAGCCGCCGCCGAGCAGCGTCTGCGGGAGGCGGAGCGCGCGGCTGAGGCGCGGCTGCAGCGGTTTACGGAGCGCACCTCCCGCGAGAACGACGAGATGCGCCGTCGCGTGCGCGCTGAGGCCGAGGCCGAGGCGAAGCGGGTACGTACGGGTTTAGCAGGTTATGCTGCAGATAGGGTTGCAATGGGAGATGGTTATGCCTTTGGGCTATTGATACGGTTAGGCATGGTTCCAGCGCTAAGCGGTTGAGAAATCTCGCTATGGCTGTGTCCTGTGGCCGTATCTCGTCGTCCTTGAATACATGTGCCTCCCCGGCCCCTGCTCGCAGTTGGCAGAGGAGCTCAAGAAGGCTCATGCTGCGCTGGAGGCGGCGGAGGCGCTCGCGGTGCAAGGCGCGGCAGAGCGTGAGGCGGCGGCGCTGGCAGAGCTGCAGGTAGGGGGGGGCGACGTACAGTGTCGGGCTTCCGGCATCCTTACCATCCTTACTATCGAGGCTCGCATGTGGGCCGTGGGCGGCTTCAATGCATGCCTATGTCAGGGCGCATTGCAGTGTGCGGGGAGCGTGTTCGCTTGGTGATGTGTACTTCATACAGTGCTGTTGGCGTCAGCGAAGGTTCACGTGCCAGATACGGTGCTCACTCTCCACCTGCACTCCGTTCTGTTCTTTCCAGGCTCTGCGCAAGTCGACGGCCGAGGAGTTGGCGGCCCTCAAGGAGCAGGTGACGGCGGCCAACCTCAAGGCTAAGGAGCTCGCCAAGGAGGCGAAGGTAAGAGCAATCTTACAGACACAGGAACCGGGAACACCGTACCGGGGACCTTGGCGGCGTACCCTGCGTTGTTATTGTGCCGCGGACTGCGTTCAGCTACGGCATGCGGCTGGCTGCATGCGGCTGCACTAGGACTAGGCTACGAGAGTGCTCCCGGATGACCCGCATCCCAAGGTACTAGGCTTTCCCCGGTTGTCCGCTGCGCACAGGCCGAGCAGGAGCGGTCCCTCGCTGCGGCACGTGCGGCGGCCGAGGCAGCTGCTGCGGAGCTGCGGACCCAGCTGGAGGCCGAGTACCAGAAGGAGCGCGACGAGGCTGACAGGTGGGTGAAGCATGCAGCACGATTGGATGGATGTCGGGTACCAAGGACTGTGTTTTGTGGGGGTTGCGTGTGTACGCACTTTCGGTACAACGTTTCTGTTCTCACCATCCGCGCCTGCCCATCGTGCCTACTCCTCATGCCAAATAGGGAGATGGAGGCTGTGACAGCTGCCGAGCGGGCTGCCGCCGAGGAGAGCACCAAGCAGGCGGTGGAGGCGGCGCGCGCCGAGGTGGTGGCGGAGATGGAGGCACGCATGCGCGAAACCGAGGCCGCGGCGGGGGACCGGAAGGCCAAGCTGGAGGAGGAGGCACAGCAGCTGGCCAAGCGCGTGCAGGTAGGCATGCTCCGCTAGTTTTTAGAACTCGCTACTTCTAGGCCGTTTACCGTACGTCAAGCATATATAGGCAATGAGACAGCGCAGGTGGTGTACGGCTTTCCATATGCACACTATGCCCTAACTCACGCCGAACTCTTTCAACACAGGAGCTCGAGACTGGCACAACCTCAGTGCACCAGGAGCTCACGTCCGCCCGCGAGCGTTCCCTGGAGCTGGAGCGGCAGCTGGCAGCCGCCCGAGCTGCGACCGAGATCGCCGCCAGCGACCAAGACAAGGAGTTGAGCCGTCTGCGTGAGCAGCTCGAGCAGCAGCGCGCGATCCACGAGGAGCGCGAGCGTGCTTGGGAGGCGGAGCGGCGGCAGCAAGAGCTTAAGCTGTTGGAAAAGGAGAAGGAGATTGAGCAGGCAGTGGAGGAGCAGCGCCGTCAGCAGCAGCGGCTTGAAAGCGAGAAGGCGGAGGCGGAGGCGGAGCTTGAGCGGCAGCGAGTGCGGGAACGCGAGAGGGAGCAGGAGTGGGAGAAGGACCGCGAGCGTGAGCAGCAGGAACGGGAGCAGCGCGAGCGTGAGCTGCGGGAACGGGAGGAGCGCGAGCGTGGGCAGCGACAGCGAGAGCAGCAGGAGCGTGAGCAGCGGGAACGGGAAGAGCGCGAGCGTGAGCTGCGGGAAAGGCAGCAGCGGGAGGAACGCGAACAGCAAGAGAAGCGGGAGCGGGAGAAGCGCGAGCGTGAGGAGCGTGAGCGACAGGAACGCGAGGAGCGGCGGCGGCAGGAGGATGAGCGGCGTGAGAAGGAGATGGAACAAGAGCGCCGGCGGCAGGAGGAGGAGGTTGCTGAGCAGCGCCGCCTGCAGGAGCAGGAGCGGCTCGAGCGAGAAGCGCGTGAGGCGCGAGAGCTTGCAGACGCTCAGCGGGAGAAGGAGAAGCAAGCCGCGGCGAAGCGGCAGAAGCGCAGCGCAGATGACGCTGGCAAGGGTGGCCGTCCTGCCAAGGCCAGTGACCCTGACAGTGACAGTGACGGCGATGGCGACGACGACGCTGTGACTGCCAGCCAGCGGGCTCCCGCTCCTCCGACTATCAAGACCGCAGCCCCTGCCAAGCCTGACACCAAGGATGCCGACCCCGCACCCAGCAAGCCGCCGAACAAGACGCGCGGCAAGGGCGCCGCACCCACAACCGCTGGGGCTGCAACACAGCCAGCGGCAACTGCGGCGGCCGCGGCTGCTGCGACCAAGGGAAGTGGCCGCAGCCGAAAGGCTGAGGAGCCGCCAGCCGCCGGGCCCAGCGGTACGGGCAAGGCGCAGGCAGCGAAAGCCATGCCGCCCCCTCCGCCACCCGCAGCCAACAAGGTGATCACGGGTTAAGGTGCATGAACCCGCTTCCCTGTTGCTTGCCTGATCTGCTGCCCGTCTAGATTGCATGTTACTAACAGCCATTCCTTTATATGTATTCCACATCCTTCCTACGTTCCTACACGTGTGCCATCTGCGTCCGTAGGCACGCAAGGCGCCCGAGCCGCCACCTCGCTTCCCCGCCAGCACCGCCGCCACCACCACCACCACTGTCACTGTTGCTGCGGCGGCGGCCCGCAAGGCTACTGCCGCCGTCCCCAAGCGCCCATCCATGGATGAGTTCGCGGACCTGCAGACGGAGAGCGAGATGGACGAGCCCAGCCAGAGCCAGGGCACCACGGTGATGGGGAACCTGGCCAAGCGGCAGAAGGTGAGGGCGCGAGATCGGGCTTGGGGGTGCATGCGTGACGCCGTTGTAGTTACGCCACATGGCGCACCATTTTAGCTTGTGGACCATCTGCAGCCACGGCCCCTAGCATGGCCCCTAGCAAGGACTGCTGCATCAGGGGTAGGTGGTTGCATGGTGGGTTGCATGCAAAGAGGCCCACACGGTAACCCTTTTACGCGCCCAACGACGGCATCCGATTGAGACCCGCTTAAACCTGTTCCGTCTTCTTCACCCGCTTACCATGCAGACGGGCGCCGATACCTCCCTGCCGGCTCCCTCGCAACCGGTGACCAAGGGCGGCCGCTTCTCCCTGTTCAGGGGTATGTCGATGTCCATCCAGGTGCGCAACGCCGCAACGTGTATTTCGAGCGGCACCCACGAACCTAGGCGCTGGACCTGCTTATGAGCTGGAGATACAAAGCAGCGATGAAGGCTGTCGAGCTGAATTGGGGTGCATGCATAAGCTTAGCATCACGTATAGTAGTTACGGTATTCAAGCACACAATCTTGTCTTCCACTTTGTTGCAGACCACCACCGTGGAGACTGGTGGCAACGAGGTCAGCTCTGGAGCCGGCGGTGTTGTGCGCCGTAAGGTGCGGCTAAGGCTTGCGACAAGGTGTATTAGGCGCCAAGAAGGGTGGCATGCGCCTATCTCACATCGCTACGTGCTTCCCTAAAGATCTGCATCCTTCCCCGACTTATAATCGCTTACTGTGCACATTCTTTGTTCCTTTTGCAGGGCGCTGCAGCCCAGAAGGCCCCCAAGCAGAACCGCAGCGGTGGCGCAAACGACGGCGGCGTCTTCATGGACCTGTTCGCTGGAATGTAATGGCCGTCAGCTAACTTGCAGCAGGATTCGCTGGCTTACCCTATGCATATATCAACGACGGTCATTGCTGGCATCGCGGAAGGGCTATCTGTGTCGTGGTATTTTATTCCCGAAGGTCTGGTGATGTGTGTGCGCTACTAGCTGCAAAAGGCCTGCCAAGCCTGGCCCGTTCTGACCCAAGGGTCCTGCCAACACATGAGGCTCGACGTAATATCTGGCATCCTTCCGCCCAATAGGCGGTATACCCACGAGTAAGATGACGTAGGATGATAAATAATTAAGCAGGATTGTGTGATGACACCCAGGACGCAAGCCGCTTTCCATACGACATATGGCTTACAATGATGTCATTGATGTAACGTTTTGCAGCAGTCTGCAAATTTCTACCCCATGCCCATTACGGCACATGCTGAAACCACATCAAGTCACATGTCGTTACTGCTACCAGTCCACGACAGGGGACACCATGCACGGCATCCACCTGCACCCCTGGTCCGGCGCCCCAATGCAACAGCGGAACATGTCAGCGTTCGACAGCCTTTACGGTGTCACATATAATCCTACGTTAACGCAGTCCGCATGTCATTAAACCCGCTTGAAACTCACGCGACATCGTCGAAGCCAGGAGCAAAATACTTGTGCCTAACCTACCCGTCTACCCCAGACCCAGCTGCTCCTCACCTTACAAGAAACCCCTCCCGGCCCCGCTTGCCCCACATCCAAGCGGTCTACAAGCTACAAGAGGCTGGAATATTTGGACAAGCACACCTTCAGGAGCCGACGGTCGCGCAAAACAGACGCGAGCCCTCACGCTTGTACCAGGCAGTGTGACACACGAGAACGCAAACTAAAAACGAATCAGTATCACTCAGTAATCTACACCCATGCTCTAAGTAGAGCTGGTTAAAGCTCCGGAGGAGCTTGTTGCGTAGGCAGCAGCCCGAACCGCTTTTTGCAAGTAATCCGCTCTCGCGAGAACTTATCGTCTGGTGAGAAGCGCGCTGGGTGGGCTGACCTCGTCGGTGTACCGTCTGGGCCAATTTTCTGCGGGTGGGTGACGGCAACACAGCGTAGTGGGTAACATGCGGCGGCCGGCGGCCACTTGGCGTTATGATAGTATCCCCATGCCCGCTGCCTTGCGCAATCATGCAGTATGAAGCCAAGGACTTTCTCCTTGCAACCGCAATGCCCTGAGGCCTAAAGGATTACTCCTTGCAAAAGCGCACCTTCAGCGTGTACACCCGGTTGCCCGCATCGTCCTCATAATACATCAGATACATTTTGGAAGATAGTGACTTGCTGAGACTAGCTCAATAAATGCCTGAGAACGGACCTAAGCTAGCAAGGAGGCGATAGAGTGCAGTTTGCCACCGTCAGCCAAATTTGCAGTAACTAGAACACGCAACCTGTTCTTAGATGTAACCCCTTCATCACGGCGCAGAGGTCTGAAACGGTCGACACCGGTAAGGTACGGCTAGAACCGGAATTTCAACTGTTCTGTCGCGCACCCTCCGTTTACCTAAATTCTTACGTATAACTCGCCAGTCGTTACACGTGTTCCATTTAACCCCGGACTTGTGATTGCTGAGGAATGTCCACGCAAATGGATGTTGATGCCAGCCGTGACAACCCTGACCTTGATATGGAGATGACAAACGAGCAGACAGGACCGATGTCTACAAACGTGATAGGTCGAGAAGCTAGCTGGCGATCGCAGCTCCTGCAGGAGGCCTTTGATAAAGCTAGTGCATACGCTTTGCGTGACCCGACGCGAGAGGTACGAGCTGTCGCGGCGGCATCTTCCAAGGGTCATAATGGGCTTAAGGGTTTCTTTACATATTGACACAGGAATTCGGCGACAACTACCTGGACCTTGACGATGCGTTTGTCGACGCGTTGTATGATACTTACGTGCGCGCTATGGCGCTCGTGCGGTCGTACTGTCAGGTGCGTGGGGGTAACTCAGCTAAGCCGCAGGACTGTGCGAGTGCATGGAAGGCGCAGGACAGTCCTGCGCACGTATGGGCCATGCACAGTTTACCACATGCATGGCGCCTGTTGCAAACCGAGCATACAGCACCCTATGGAACCCATGTTACCACGTAGATTACCGTCGGCTTACCACACCGTTGCTGGTTTCGGCACGCATGGGTGTGTAGGAAGAGTTCCAGGAGCTATGCTCGGCGCACAAGGTGCAAGAGGAGCTCCGGAACCTCGAGCTAGAAAGTGACCCACTGCCCTCCACGTCCACAACACCCACGCCCCTACGGATTCGCCCGTCCCTAGGAGGGTAAGGCCTGCTTGCGCAAACTCCCCACGACGCCGAAATGTCCTGGCTACACACGCGCCATCCTACACCATTGCACACTTCCACTCCTACGGGCTAGCACGCATGGGCAGAGGCCACCTTCTGAGGCGAGTAACACTAAGTACTGCTTATCATGCCTTGCCAATTTCACACTGCTTCTCTGCGACCTTATCACAATCCTCCCAAGACTTCCGCTGTTCTGGAACGGCCACCGCCGATTCACTCCCCTCCACAACCACGTCCCTCCTCCTCTTTTGCCCCCTCCCACGCCTCAGCGAGCCGCCAGCCGGAACGCCAGCGGGAACGCCCGGTGGTGCAGCGTTAGCAGCAGCAGCATCAGGTGACTGCGGGGCTGGGTCCGCGGCAGTGGTGGGGCGCGCTGAGGAGGCGGCTCGGCTACACGCGCTGCGACAGGAGGCGGCCTACCTGCAGCACATGCTGGAGCGGGTAGGTGGCGGGGACGCGGCGGGGTAGGGGCGCGAGGAGCTTGGCCGATGTAACGGCGTGGCGTGGAAGTGAGCTGGTGCATGCGAGGGTGGCGGGCGGCAGGGTCAACGCCCCCCAAAAAGATGCTGCCGGGCTTGGCAAGAGTATTCTTTGTGATTGGCCTACGTATGTGAAGCCACACGGTGCTTTCCTGAGGACCTCCGTTGCCGAACGGCGCCCAGTCATCAACGCACTGGTCCAGTTACCGTTTCACACGCTCAGCACCTGCGGCTACTCCCTTGCCACCCGTATCACGGAGGCGTGACGGAATGCGTTCTTTCTTTCATATCAACCCTTCGCTACGGCCGGGGCCGATAGCCTGCATGTGACCTCGCCATCCTGAGGCCATTGTCGTACCTGCCCGCCCGCCTGCGTGCCGTACACCTCCCCAGGCCACCACCACGGAGGCCCGCCTCACGGAGGCGCTGGCGCAGCGGCAGAAGACGGTGGACGAGATGGCGTCGACGTACGGCAGAGTCGTGTCGGAGGTGAAGCAGGTGCGGCGTTAGGGGGATATGATGTGGTGAGCTGAATGTGGTGAGCTGAATGTATTTGGGCACATGGTGTGGTAGGGAGCTGGGAATCTAGGGAGCTGTGTTGCCTGTCCTGGACTGTGGCAAAGCTTGCGCCACAGCATTGTTCCTGATTGGTTTACACACGAACTTTCCCTTTCCCCCGTGTGTGCGGTTCTGCTTGGAGCAGGTCGTGGACGTCACACGCGCATGGCCTGCGGCGCGTCGCGGCGTCATTGCCTAGGGTTGCATAGGGTTGCTTCTTAGGGGCACGTCGCAAAATGCGTCCCAGGTGCCAATAGGAGGCAGTTAGCCGTCGCTGTAGCGATTACGGTTGATGACAAGGGTTTTGCGTTTGCGATGGGAAGCTCTAGGGGTATGGATGAGGCATGGCGGTTAAGGATGGTGGGGATGGGTTCCGGGAGAGGTCCAGTGGAGCTTTAGACATTAAATACTATAATTTAGGGTCGAATGACTGCTTACCATACGTTGTTAATGTTAACGGCGGGCTAATAATGAACAAGTGCCATGAGGTGAAGCCTTGTACTACAAAGTCGCAAATTGCCAAATTTCAAGGCAATGCCCCAATAGTTTTCTTTATGGCCTATTTCTGTCCATTAGCGGTGTACTTCGCATTTCTTCAGAACTCAGGCATTACATAGTATCCGGACGGGCTAGATCTCGAGTCATTCTCCGTCAACTGTTAATAGAAACTCAGAAACTTGTAGTTTTATAACTACCGGCGGTGTAAGCGCTTGTGGAATAAGAAATTATTGCTGGGGCGCAGCCCCTGAGGAAGGGTTAGTTCACCATGGGCCAGAACCAGAGTGGACAGGGCGGGGCAGGTGCTCCTGGTGATCAGAAGAAGGATCAGGTATGTGTAAAGTGATCAGATTCTATGGCGATCAGTTCAGCTACACTACGTTTATCGCAAGGCCAACGTGCATTGCATCCTGAGCAGGAGAAGAAGAAGAAATACGAGCCCCCGGCTCCCCCGCCGCGTGTGGGCAAGAAGCAAAAGAAGCGTGATACAGCAGCTAGTCTTGGGGGAAAGCTGCCGACTGTCTACCCAACAGCGAAATGCAAACTCAGGCTACTAAAGCTGGAGCGCGTTAAGGACTACTTACTAATGGAGGAGGAGTTTGTACAAAACCAGGAACAGCTGAAGCCACAGGAGGAGCGCAATGAGGAGGACCGGTCGAAGGTGGGTTGGGTATTCGGTGCGGACAACATCCCCATGGCATGTCCGGTTGCTTGTGCACCAAGTGCTTTCGGGGCAGTAAGGTTGTTGTGCTTCCCCTCAATGCATATGACTTTGTTACATTCCTGGAACCCGGTGCATATGTGCATGGGTGCAAACGTCTGCTTCCACTCTTTCACTCCATTCCAAAGGCTGCCGCGCCTCTCCACCTGCATCCCTGGTGGGCGATCGTCGACGCTTTTTCTTCCGCCCTCTTACCCCCGCTGTTCTTCCCGCTGCCCGCCCCCCTGTGCCCAGGTCGACGACCTGCGCGGCACGCCCCTGAGTGTTGGCACCCTGGAGGAGATCATCGATGAGAAGTGCGTGGGCCAACCTTGCTGATTTGGGAGGGGTCAGGATAGAGCGAACCATAGGAATCCACCTTTTGGGGGGGGGTCTGGAAGGGGAAGAGTTGGAAGAAGGGGGCAGAGGGGCTGATGAGGAGAAGAGATACAGGGGAGGGAAAGGGGCAGGAGGAAGGCACCTCCGGCGCCTTTGCGGCATCCGGGCTGACAGCTACACCTGCAGGCAGGCTAGAAGGGGAGGGGTGCTAACTGGCTTGCATGCAGCGCGGGCGGGTTGAGGGACGCGTTAGAGGCCGGCCGGCAAACCCACCATGTGCTTGCAACCACACAATAGAAGAAGAATACAAACCACCTCCAGCGACCTCCCTTTGTGTCGTACCCCGCCCTCTACTTACCCCATTTCCCCCCCTCCCCCCCAGCCACGCCATCGTCTCCTCCTCCGTGGGCCCCGAGTACTACGTGTGCATCCTGTCCTTCGTGGACAAGACGCAGCTGGAGCCGGGCTGCTCCGTGCTGCTGCACTACAAGGTGGGGGGGGAGGGAAGGGGGGCGGGGAAGAGCAGGGGGGGGGGGGAGCGGGTGAGGGTGAGGAAAGAACTAACCATATGACAAGCGGGGGTAAAAAGAGAAATTAACGAGCTGTGACAAGACGGGAAGGGGGAGCAGAGGAAGAGAGAAGAGAGCAGGGGCGGGGGCGGGCAGGAGAAGCGAGGGGGCCTACCGGTAGTCAGGGGCTGCCAAGCACAGGGTGTTATGGGGCAGCTGGTGGCAGAGGGAGGCTGTCAGGGCGGCCGGCCACTGCCTTGCCCTGCCACTGCACCGGCGTAGCGGGGGGAGGGGGACATGGTCGACCTCGCTTGCGGCGGTCTGCGTGGTGGCAGGCAGGAGAGGAAAGAAAGGAAGGTCGGGGATAGAGATAGAGGAATGGGAGGTTGAGGAGTGGAGGATCGCAAGGGCGGGGGAACATGTGCACACGGCTGCACAGCATCGTTGCTTATCTGCCTCGCTGTACTGACGGTGCTAACACCCTCCCACCCTTCCCTCCACCTCTTCCCTCCCCTTCAGAGCATGTCGGTGGTGGGCATCCTGAGCGACGAGACCGACCCCATGGTGTCCGTCATGAAGGTGTGTACGACAGGGGGAAAGAAGAAGTCCCAATGTGTTGAATGATAATCGCAAACAGGGGGGAAGGGGGTGCAGGGGTGTCCGTCACGAAGGTGTGTGTTTTTCCGTCACTGTGTACGGCACGGGTGTATGCGCGATGCACGGCGCGGAGACGTGTGTGTGTATGTTCCTACGGCGGTGGTGCATCCTTGCGCGTATCTGGGAGAAGGGGCAGGGGCCAGAGGTAGTGGAGGGGTGTTCGGGCGCTTGGCTGCGTCCAGTGACCCATGGGTCACATGCTTCACAGGAGCTGTCGGCAGCCTTACCTCTTCCATACGGTCGCTCCGCTATTGGGTATTCCGCCTCCTTCCTCCTCCCCTGGGGTTAGTGTTTCTCACGGTCCTCAGCCTTCCTAACCCCCTCCTCCCTTCCCCCCCCCCTCCCTGTCTCCCCACCCCCCAGGTTGAGAAGGCGCCCCTGGAGTCGTACGCGGACGTGGGCGGCCTGGAGGCGCAGATCCAGGAGATCAAGGAGGCGGTGGAGCTGCCGCTGACACACCCCGAGCTGTACGAGGACATCGGGATAAAGCCGCCCAAGGTGGGGAGGGGGAAAATAATGAAGGGGGGGAGGCTGTGGAAGAAGGGGCGTGGGGGAACGAGCGGGATAATGACTGGTGGATGAGCTCAGGGGTGGCCGCTGCGTGCACAAGTCCTCTTCGGCATACACAAGGTCAGGTGTGTTTCCTCCTCGCGACTCCGTTGGATGCCCCTCAGTAACCCCTCCCCTCGCCCCTTTCCTCTCTCTGTGCACCACCATACTGGCCCTTCTCCTCTATTTTATATTTCTACCTGCCATGTTGCAACCCATGGCATAGCATGACCTCGCCACACTGCTACCTTACACCCTGCCGCTCCTTCCTGTGCGGAAATGGCCCACCTCCTATACATCCTCCCTTCCCCTGCCTCCCCTCCCTCCCTCCCTACATTGGCCATTCTGCCTCCTGCCCCCCCCCCCCACATTGGGTATTCCTTCCCCCTCCCCTCTCCCCCCCTCTATCCCCCCCCCTCAGGGAGTCATCCTGTACGGCGACCCCGGCACCGGCAAGACGCTGCTGGCCAAGGCGGTCGCCAACTCCACCTCCGCCACCTTCCTGCGTGTGGTGGGCAGCGAGCTCATCCAGAAGTACCTGGGTGACGGACCCAAGCTGGTGCGCGAGCTGTTCCGAGTGGCGGATGAGCTGGCGCCCTCCATCGTGTTCATTGGTGAGGGGGGAGAGGGGGCGGGGGAGGGGAGGGAATGAAGAAGCTGACGAGGAAACTGACAAGCTGAGAAGAGGGGAAAGGAAGCGAGGAGGATGGGGAGGGGTAAAACTCCTGGTGCAACCAATGCTTTGCAATATCCGGATTGTGACCCACACATGAATAACACCCTAAAACACCCTACTCATTACCCCTGTACCTCCCACACTCCTACTTCCCCCCCCCCGGTCATATAGTTCGTCAGTTCCCTTATTTTTACACCCCCCCCCACTCCACTCCCCATTCCCTCCCCTTCCCGCCCAGACGAGATCGACGCCATCGGCACCAAGCGCTACGACGCGCACAGCGGCGGCGAGCGGGAGATCCAACGCACCATGCTTGAGCTGCTCAACCAGCTGGACGGATTCGACTCCATGAGCGATGTTAAGGTGGGGGAGAAAGCAAAAGTCGTGTGGGTTCGTACATTGCTTTGTTTCGTAACCACCCCACTCCCCATCACGCACACGTTCAGACTCGCGGCCAGGTTTCTTAACAGACACAGGCTGCTAACCCTCTCTTGTTATATGACAACGTGCTGTCCTCTATCCCATTGCTTTGCGATATCATGTGGTTTGAGCCCACCCACCCCCTTCCCCACCACACACACATACCCCACATGCGAACCTCTCCCCATTGCTTGCTCCTGTCCTACTCAACTACACACACATACCCCACTCCCCCCAGGTCATCATGGCCACCAACCGCATCGAGTCGCTGGACCCCGCGCTCATCCGCCCCGGCCGCATCGACCGCAAGATCGAGTTCCCGCTGCCCGACGCCAAGACCAAGCGACGCATCTTCGGCATCCACACCGGCCGCATGACGCTGTCGGAGGACGTCAACCTGGAGGAGTTTGTGATGGCCAAGGACGAGCTGAGCGGCGCCGACATCAAGGCGGTGTGCACGGAGGCGGGGCTGCTGGCGCTGCGGGAGCGGCGCATGCGGGTGACGCAGGCGGACTTCCGCAAGGCTAAGGAGAAGGTGCTGTACAAGAAGAAGGAGGGCGTGCCGGAGGGTCTCTACATGTAGAGGGGGATGTGTGGAGGGGCGGGGGAGGGGGGAGAGGAAGGGCCGCTGCTCGATGTGTGGAAAGAGGGGAGGGCGGGGACAAGGTGGGAGGGGCTATGGAGGTGGGGTTTGAGGCGGCGTCGGCTGGCGAACAAGGACAGGCGGGCGGGGTAGGGGTGTTATGTGCGTGGGGAAAGAGAGGGGTAGATTGCAGAGTTGTAGATAGCAGAGGTGTCACCAGGTGCCCCTACCGAAGGCGGCAGCAGGGGCGGCGTCAAGAGGGCACGAAAGGTGGTTGTAGCGCATGAAGATACCTAACTGTCTAGCTGTCAGGGGCGGACGCCATGCGTGTGTGTTTTGTTAGGCACAGTGTGCATTACAGCATGGTTGTTCCGCTTCATGTGCCCCTCATGTGTTGACGGAGAAGCGTGAGGACTGGGTTCCATGGGGGCGCGCCTTTGGCAAAGCTCGCGTCGTGTGTGCTGTCCCCTGAGGTGAGAGGTGTACTTGACCAGTCCTCCGCCTCTTCAAGCTCCAAGAGGAGGAGCATGTAAAGTTAATCGCCATGCGCCGGAGGAAGGAAGCATGACACCGGCCGTTCTTATTGAACCCAGGGCAAGGTAGTAGGGGACAGGAAGCGTGTGAGAGCCTAAGCCATGAACGCCTGTGACCCAGGGGCTCTGGGGCCGCATCCGTTACGGCGTTTGTCAGGGTCGTAGCACCGTCTGCGCAGTTCAGGGGCTACCGAAGTAGGTACGAACTGCTAACATTCGTATTCATTTAGCGGGCTGCGAGTCGCCCAAGCAAAGGCATGGTTGCATGCACTGCGTCGCTGCGTAGGGGAGGTAGGAACCGAGGAGGACTCAGGGCCGAGGTGGGAAGATCCATAACGGACCCCTTTGAGGAGCACAGGCTGGGCAGCAAGGCAGCAAGCCGTGTACTGAACGTTGCTAAACACGTTCATCAGGAGAGGCGGCGCTCTGTCGCGGCACGGAACTGTCGCAGACTCGCAAAGAGTCGCATTGCATGCGCGTCCAAAGAACGGGAGGTCACGGAGCGGCAAAGGGAAGGCTGTACCGGGGTCAGGGTTTATGCCCCCATTCAGTAAACTGTGGGCAAACCATTCCGGCTGTCCCCGTGGAGAAGAGTTGGGTTGGGTGACAGGAATGTGACCGGACGCCTCGGCACAGACCAATCGCCGACAACAAGAGGGTAATTGCATGTTTCGGTATTCTGCCTGCTTAGGTCGCTTCACTTGACCATGCTGTCCTGTGCCCAGGCTTTACGTTGGTCCATTGCTTGCAAGGCAAGGATAGTGCCTTATGACAAACCGCATGCAATGCATTCTGCCGCATTATGCATAGGAGGCTAGCTTCTAGTAATGCGTCATCTCCTGATGGGCGGGCCTGAAGGCCCTGTAAAAAGCGTCCCGACGCCGTATCCGACGTGGATTCCGCGACCCTTGGCGCATGCAGCAAAGAAGAAGTTGCCGCCACTTCACTATAAGCACGGTGTTACGAGACAAAACAAAATACTCTTATCCAGCCAACTCCTTTGCTGTCGAAGTTAGTACCGACTCAAGACTTAGCTTCCCGCTTTCCCGGTAAGCGATAGGAACTATTGCTGAACTGATCTCAGTGACGTTTATGTGGATATGAGAAGAACACTGGAAGTAACGCAGACACCTGGTGCAGATTACTACCATACCCTTGCGGTCCGCGATCTGAGACGAATGGCTCTGGCGCTGCATAAACGCGCAGCAAAGGGTTGCCGCCTACAGCAGGCAAGTGGGATCTAACCTTCCAGCGGCCAGTGATGTGATCTGTTAACGACCCTTCGGCTGACAAACGCAGGCTGGGGAACACTCCGCTGCCCCGCGAGTCCGACCTTTCGTGCCGCTCTCTAGCATCTGCCGTCTTACACCTCTTAGCTCTGGTAAGTCCGCGGGTAGCTTGGTCCTTGGACATGCAGCTCCGACACGTCCGACATCGAGTCCTCTTCAATTCATGAATCTGTCGGTCAATTATGCTTCGCTTAATAGTAACTTTGAAATTGCCCAGGTGTTGACCTTGCGCCGGTTGCTGCTTCCGGAAGGCCGTCGCGATGCAGTCTTGTGGTCAGCGCTGTCGCTAAGGCCACCAACACCGTCCGGATAGCAATCCAAGGGCGGCGACTGCCTGTGACAGATGCAATTAAGCAGTATGTCGAGGAGAAGGTGGCCAAGGCCATTCACAACTTCGCCCACAGCCTAAAGCACATTGACGTGACATTGTCGGCCCGCGGGGGCGACACTGGAACGCACGGCAAGAAGTGAGTTTGGACTAGGGGGTTGAGAGGGTTGGGGTTTAGTGAATAGCTGCGGTCGCGTGTGGGTAGCGTCCTGGCTTCCAATGGGGTAGACTGGCTGGGGTAGAAGGCCGCGGCAAGTAGGCATACGCCACACAAAACGTCCAGTAGGTAGAGGTCAGCTCGCATTGTGCAGACGTAATTGCGTGCTGCGGATAAGCCTGCAAGCTGCGAAGGCAGGCCCGTTTCATGAAGCACACCCGCCACATGAATGAGGCGTGTGTGTGTTACGGGTACTTACAAGCATGCATCCCTCTTCACCCTCCTCCCCTCTCCCTCCCCTGTCAACCCCCCCTTCCCCCCCTCCCCCCAGGGAGCAGAAGGTGGAGGTGACCATCCACACCCTCCGCAACGGCGTCGTCCGCGTGGAGGACTCCGGCTCCAGCTTGTACGCCGCCATTGACACGGTGTGTGACAAGCTGGCGCGCAAGCTGGGGCGCGTGAAGGAGCGCGCCATTGCGGCGGGTCGGTGGCCGGGTCGCGGCGGGCCCAAGGAGGATGTGGCGGAGGAGGACTTCCAGGAGTTCCTGCAGGAGGTGGGAGCGGGGGAGGGGGAGGGGAGGGGGGGATTAATTTGGAGACGTAATCCGCCTTAGGCTGGATATTAGGATTGCGCATAGTCAAATTCGTTGGGTTAGTAGCAGCACACAAAGTACAAACCGTGATAAAGCTCCATAAGCTGGCGGCTGTGCTGAGATCATATCATTGGACGAATTCCTGACGAGCTATAAGGTGGCGTCTGAGCTCCACTGCATTGCTGAGCGCCAGTGCGCTGTAAGCTGTGGCTGGTATGCGGCTGTGTGCACCTAAACATCCCACCCGCCCGCCCGCGCAAGTGACCCCTGGGTCGAACTTTAGCCCAGCCCACCCACGACCGAACCCGACGGACCTGCGTAGCAAGGGAAAATTGTGCAACGAAGACGTACCAAATTTCGTTAATAGTGAGCGAAAAGCGTCCAGAGACACAAGAAGGCGGCGCGGCGAGCGAACAGAAGGCAGGCATGCGTCCCTGTGCTGGTGCTGCGAGCTGCGCTGTATATCGACGGGAGGGGGGGAGGGGGAGAAGCTAAGAATACCCAATGTGTGTGTTGAATGAGAATGGCGAACAAGCCGACGAGGGGAGAGGAGGGGGGTGCTGTGGTGGTGGAGGGAAGAGGTACGCACCACAGGGACGCCTTCACACGCCTTCAGCTGACATGCAGCTCCTCTCCTGAAATTCCCGATGTGTGCGCTCGCCCCAAACCCCAACCGCACAACCCACCTGTACACCCCCTCCACCCCGCCACCCCCCCCGGTCCAGGTCCGCGCCCAGACGCAGCTGTACGACCGTGAGGCGGAGCTGCAGGCGCAGTTCGAGCAGCTCAACCGCCACTACCCAGCTGCCGTACTGCGTGCGAAGAACATCACCCTGGGTGCGTGGGGCTGGGGGGCCGGGGGGGCCGGGATAGAAAGAGGGGAGAGGGGCGGGGGTACTCCGGGGGAGGGGTGGGGTTATCTGACAGTGCCGTACATCCCTCCACACACACACGGGAGTCCATCAACTGTCTTCATGCGTGTGTCCCGAGGTGAGCAGCGGAGCCAAAGTGGCTGTCGTACGACCTCCGCCTCGGGCGACTGAGGAGTGCGGAGCTCACCAGTCACCGGTGCCCACCAAACCCCTTTCCGGCCCTCACACCGCTCCGCCCCTCTCTTGTACCCCCTCCTTAACCCTCCCACCGCTCCGCCCCTCCTTGCAGACCCTATTTCCGTGGACGAGGCGATTGACGCGCTGGAGGCGGTTGGGCACAGCTTCTACGTCTTCCGTGAGATGACCACGGACACCGTGCAGGTGAGGGGGGGGGCGGGGCTGGGAGGCAGGGAGGAGGGAGGAGGAGGGAAGATGAAGCAATGCTACCGGTATGATGAGGGATGAGGGATGAGGAGGAGGAGGAGGAGGAGAGGGGGCTGGGCTGCGATCTGGGAGTGGCGGTGGGGGCTGGGGTTGGGAAGGATGTGGTGGTCGGTGCAGGCAGAGGAGGGGGAAGGGGAGGTTGCCAACCTAACAGTGAAGGTTGGCAAACTATCATGGAGGGACATGGACATGGAGCGGAGTGGCAAGCAAGGGGCGACCGGGGTGTTAAGACAGGCCGGGGCGGGGCAGTCCCCCGTCCCTGCTGTCAGCCGCCGCAGCGGGGGCTGCGTCAGCCTGCCGGAGCCCGCCACAACCCCCCTCAGCTACAGGCGGACAGGGGCGGTATGTGGGTGAGGTTCGACCGGCTTTTTGCATATGTCCCAGCCGGCCCAACCGCCTCTCCTTCCTCGCTGCCCCCCCCCCCCTCGTTGGCTTCCCCCCTCCCCCACGTTGGCTTTTGGTTAAGCCTCGTCGTACAGCTCATCAGTTTCCTTGTTTGACGTTGGCTTTCCCTCCCTCCCTGCAACCCTGCCCAGGTGCTGTACAAGCGTGAGGAGGGCGGGTACGGAGTCATCGTGCCGCAGTTCCGCGACTGAGAGGAGGGGATGCCGGGTGTGGTGAGGAAGGCAGGGAGGGGCGTAGTGGCAGAGGAGAGCAGGGAGGCGAGGTGACAGGATTGCTCGCCAGTTTGCAACATACGTTGCTTACCCAGCCAAGCAGCTACACAGGCGGATGCGTCGTGGCGTGGCATGGGTGACCGAGGGTGCCTGGAGCGGCCTGTGTGTCCCTGGTTAGGAGCAGGCAGGGGGGTGGTCCGAGGGGCGGGGGCTAGGAGCAGGAAGAGCAGAATATAGAAATTGTGGGGAGTTTCAGGTGGCTCCGCCCTTACTCCCTGTACAGTAGGCAAGTAATAACAAAGCATGTGTTAAATTCCAAAGTTTGCTACCGATGTGTGCACTATGGTGGTTTTATACTGTTGTTTACTCTGTGCCAACAAGTAAATGTTGTTGCATACTCGTTAAGCAATATGGGTATTTAACACGACCCATTTGATGACGTTCTTGGACGGTTCTAAAAACTTCATGCATGTGGTTGGTAATACTGCAGACTAACTATTTTACTACCGATGTAAGTGACGGGCATTGCTCTGAATTCTTTCCATTTCTTCATGTTACAACAGTCGTTATCCAACAATCCGTGGATAGCTGTTTCTCACCAGGTTTGGCGAGACAAAAAGCCATATTGGCTTATACTGTACATCCACGGCTTCGCACGCACGCTTGCAAGGTAGCAAGGAGTTTATTCCTCGTCGACCTAGGAATTGCCATCCGGGATAAGAATAAAAGAACACTCTGCTCTCACATCGCTCAGAAGAGTTCCAACACAGGCTCACGAGACAGCAAGGCATTGCGTCAGAAAGAGTCTGCCGTACACCAAATGTACGTTACTAATGCATCGCCCACATGCCGTACCTTACAGTCCGTCGGTCAATAGGCCCCCGTCCGGCAAACACATGGACGGGACCACATCCGTGAAAGTGCTCCGCGCAGCACATCAAACCAAGAGAAAAACCCACATGCCTAGTCTACACAACGGTAACACCAGCGCCAAGCCAGGTCCAAGATTTTTCTAACCTACCAAGCCACCCATTCACATGTCAAACCAGTCATGTACTGTCCTCAAGCGCGTGTCAGTCCTCAAGTCAGTCCTCAACCCGTCTCAAAGCCGCAACGAGCCGCTAAACACCAGCTCCGCGGGTCCCGTCATAAAGATGCGGTCGTCGCTCTCCCGCCACTCAATCAGCAGCGGGCCGCCCGGCAGATCCACTCGGCAGATCTTGTCGCGGTCAATGCGCCCCTCCAGGATACCCGCTACCACCAACGCGCAGGTGCCGGTGCCGCAAGCCAGGGTGCGGCCCGCGCCGCGCTCCCACACCACCATGCGCACGTGCGAGCGCGTGAGGACCTCCACGAATTCCGTGTTGGTGCGTGCGGGGAAGACCGCGTTACGCTCAAACTTGGGGCCCAGGGTCGCGAGCTGCTTGTCGATCTCGTCAATCTGAAGGTGAAGGGATGAGGGAGGAGGGGGATAAGGAGGGTTGTTGCAAGGTATGTATGGGGGTGGGGTACTTGGGTGCATGGTGTGTGTGGTTTTGTGTTCTCCCGACTCTCGGAGCGGCTGTCAGTGTACGAATACAGTCAACAGCGGTTGTTCTGCTTATTGCAATATATTAACATCATTCAGCGCTGCCGAGAGTCGAGAGGCCCAGATGATGAGGAGACCCCTTAGCTCAAGAATGCAATTCATGCGTGGTTGTGTAAACAAGCAACAGAGGTGCAACATTGCGCAGTCAAGACTGCAGGCATGCGTAGCTCATATCAGGGGCTTGCCAGCTGCTGTCAGGCAGTACGAATACGATAAGATGCTACATTGGTGATTCAGATTATCTTATCGGTTTTTACATCACCCAGCAGCTGAAAATCCCCAAAGCGAAAAAGAGGTGGACATGCATACACATAATGAAATGCATCTAAAACTCCACACACAAACACGGAAAGCGCGCTCCCTTACCTTGATGGGCTGGTCATCGCAGGTGTAGATCACGGCATGTGGGTTGCCCATGCTGACGCAGGTGACCTTGTAGGTGCGGCCCTCCACCTCCAAATCCTGCTGCACCACGGTGCTGCCCTGCGTGGGCGCGAGCGTGGTGGGCACCTTGGGTCCCTCCAGGATGGGCTTGCCCATGTCCACACGAACTTGACCATCCGCAAGCATCTCTGGCTGGATTAGGCCTGCGTAACAGAAAGGTTTGAAGGAGGTAAGACAACACGAAGATGATGAGGAATGAAGTTGGACTTTCAAAGGGAATTGTCTGCAAGCGTGAACAAAATACGAGAAATGGGACTCGCCTGCGAGCGTGTGGATGCGGTACTTGCGGGGAGCAGCCTTGTCCGTATCGGAAACGAACTTGGCAAGGCAGCGGATCCCGTTCCCGCACATCTCTGGCTCAGACCCGTCCGAGTTGAAGATACGCATGGTGAAATCGGTATCACCAACTGGCGGAAGCGCAAAGATGACCTGCGCGTGCCCGGCGATGTTGGCGTTGGGATATTATCCTGCCGACCATTCAGCCGATCATAGCCGCCGCGCCCTCAGCGCTCACCCCATCGCCGCCAACGCCAAAGTTGCGGTCGCAAATCTTAACGGCCTGCTCAGGAGTCAATACAGGCTCGCTGGAGTGGCGGTTGTCAACCTGCATGAGCGTAGGGCGGCGCCGCTAGTCAAGCGCAAGCGATGCAGCGCGCGAAGGACTCAGCCTTTAGCCTAGGTCAGAACCTACCAGGATGAAATCATTGCCCAGTCCCTGATACTTGGAGAATGTCAGGGGGGAGGCGGAAGCCATCACGCGGACGGCACTCCGCGGCCGGCAAGTGGCCACCGACCGGAAAGCATGGCCAGCCACGGCGCGCTTGTGGAGCGTTTGTGTACGCATCTTCCGCAAATATGAATAGAATAGACAACTCTGTGATCATTTCGAGCTTTAAAGTTGGTACCTCGTACGACAATTCGTTCATTGATCGAACCGCTTGCCGACCTGAGGCGTTGCCTATGCCGCACGTAACTTCAACCGAATACCCCTACACAGTGCGGACTAGCCTGGATAATGTCAACGAAGAAACCTTTATGAAGTCAGTGTGGGGTATAATACGTATGTTTCTGACGTGACGGTGCTGTCAAAAACCTAGTTTGGTTGACATAATTTGTGCAAACATAGTACAACAAATAAAATATTGGTTTGGCTAGGTTCCTTCGGTTGAACGCCCACATGGCATCAGTAGAACAAGCCAAGCGGGAGCTATGTAAGCATGCATTCTTACAAGTCCAGAAATACCTGGCGGTGGCTGGCAAGGATGGCCAGGTAGGGTGTCTCCTACTTGGTGTGGCTCCAGCACTTGGCCCCTAATGGTTGCCGGGGACCTCGAATACAACGGGGCATGGCCACACGGGTGTAGGTGTATCCTTCCTCACCCCCCTCCTCCCTCCCTCCCTCCCTTATCACCCGGTTAGCACCTTCCTCATCCCCCTCCCTCCCTACACACACGCATTAACCCCCCTCCCTTGTCCCTCTCCTCCGTCCTTCTCCTCCCACGACACATGGGATATTCCTCTCCTCCCTCTCCTCCGCCCCTCCCTCCCTCCCTCCCTGATGCTGCTGCGCAGGAGTCGTTCGACTTCCGCCGCAACGTGCGCAAGAAGGACGCGCTCAACATCGACCTGGCCACCAACAAGGAGGTCATGGCGGAGCTGGGCAAGTTCAGGGAGACGGGCGAGGCGGCGATGCTGGCGTCGGGGTGAGGAGGAAGAGGGGGCGGGGTGAGGAGGAAGAGGGGGCGGGGTGAGGAGGAAGAGGGGGCGGGGTGAGGAGGAAGAGGGGGCGGGGTGAGGAGGAAGAGGGGGCGGGGTGAGGAGGAAGAGGGGGCGGGGTGAGGGGGAAGAGGGGGCGGGGTGAAAATTATATAAAAGTGAAACAACGAATCCCAATCCCATAGCCCGACTCATGCAGTGAGCGCATTCGGAGGCGGGGTGAGGGGGAAGAGGGGGCGGGGTGAGGAGGAAGAGGGGGCGGGGGGGGCTGCCAAGGGGGGGGTGTGAGGGTGCCAAGTAGGGGCGTGAGAGAAAGCGGGGGTGGGCATGGGGAGGAGGGAGTCAGAACGGGGAGCGGCAGCGGGGTCGAGGAGCGGGAGGCGTAAGGGCGGGGGAGGAGGAATGCGTCAGGGAGGGGGAGAGCGGCGGGGCCAAGGAGGAGGGCCGGTCGCCCTGCCACCTCCACCCCAGGTGCCGGTCAGGGGGCGCACCTGGAGGGGATCACAGCGGAGGAGGCGCAGACAACGGGGAGGCACACAGCGGGGAGGAGGAGGAGGGGAAAAAAATTCCAATGTGTGGTGTGATAGTGGTAAATTAGCTGACAAGTCCTGATGGAAAAACAGTGAGTCGAGCCGAACTGGTGACTGAAGCGTTGCGAGCTAAAACTTACCGAACTGGGGGGTGGGGCAGCTGCCTGCTGCTGCTACACGCTGCAAGGGCAGCTGGCAGGGCATCCCGCCGCATGCAGGTGCATGACAGGAGCCCCCGCTCCCGCCCCCAACCCCTGGCTGCATCTGTTGACAAGCTCAACAAGCTCACCAAGCTCACCAACCCACCCCCGCCCCTAAACGTCCCTCTTCGTTCTCCAACCGCCCCGCCCCGGCCCCCACCCCAACTTTGACTACGCGCAATCCTTAAGCCCAGCCTAATGCGGAGTCTTCATCCCTATTAACCCCCACCCCAGGGCCATGCAGGTCCCCCCCGCGTACGGCCCCGGTGCCGCAGCCGCCGCCAAGGCCCCCGCCAAGAGCGGCAAGGGGGGCGGCGGGGCAGCCGCAGCGGCAGGCGGCGGCCCCGCACTCCCGCCTCCTCCTCCCCTGGGCCCCCTCAAGAGCAGCTCCCTGGCAGCAGCCAAGCCCAGCAAGTCGGGCGCCAAGGGTGCAGGTGCAGGCGGCAAGGCGGAGGGCGGCCCCTCCCCCTCCTCGCCCTCGCTGCCGCCTCGGATAGGTGCCAAGGTGAACCGCTGGTGGCCCAATGAGGGGCAGTGGTACACGTGTGTGGTGACGGACTACAACAGCGAGACACGGCTGTACAGGTGGGGAGGGAGGGGGGTCAAAGACCATACCGAACCATAGGAAGCCACAGGTTGGGGCAAGACAATGGGGATAGGAGTGGCAGGGTGCCCCAAAAACAAGTAGGGAGGGAGGGGGCGGAAGAGGCAGGGGAAGGGGGTAGGAGAGGGAGGGGAAGGGGGGTAATGGAAGCAGCTGGGATGCAGGCAGGGGGTCTGGGCGGGGTGGGTGTCATGTGCGGTAGGGAGCTGGGGGGGTCCTGGTGGGCTGGGGGGCTGTAGACTGGCCCGGTGTGAGATGGGCTGTATAGGCTGGGTTGGGCTGTATAGGTTGGGCTGGGTGCCGTGCGGAGCAGCGGAAGGCTCTGCTTTTTTTCCGATGCTGGGCTGCTGCTGCTAGGCTCAGGAGCGAAACACCGCAGGGGTGGACACCGAACCGTGCAGAGGAACCCTCACTGTGTCTCTCTTTGTTTACCCCCCCCCCCCAGGCTAACGTACAACCTGGGCAGCGCGCAGGAGACGTACGAGGACTTCAACCTGGACTCCGCCGACCCCTCCGTCTTCGAGCTGACGGGGGAGAAGGTCAACCTGCTCACAAAGACAGGCAGCGCGGCGGGTGAGGCGGGGGCGGAGATATAAGGAAACTGATGGGGGGGCAGAATGAGGGTGCATGGTTTGAGCAGCCAAGCACAAAATCGCCCGTTGAAGGGAACAACTTGGGAAAAATTAAATAAGTGAAACAACGAGTCCCAATCCCATATCCCGACTCATGCGGTGAGCGCATTCGGAGGGGAGAGGTTGGCTGGAGGGGGGGCTGGCTGGCTGGCTGGATGGATGGGGGTGCCGGGTGTGTGGCTAGGTGGTCCGGAGGGTTGGTTGGGGAGGTATGGGTTACAGTCACAGCCGCGCGCTGAGGGGGTGGGGGGCCATGGGGGCTGGCTGGGAAACGGGGCACAATGCCCCATGCGGAGTGGGGTCCCCGGCGCAGGAGTGCGCCGCTCCCTCAGCTGCGGTCAGCCAGGCGGACCGCTGCCAGCCCACGCAGCGTGCCCCACCTGGCGGCCCCCCGGTGTTGATGACACCCGGCCACACACCACTCCTTTTCACACACCACTCTCTTGTGTCCCGCCACTCTCTTGTCCTGTCACTATTCTGCCTCGCCACGGAGTCCCCCTCCTCCTCCTCTGTCCCCGGCTTACCCCCCACCCTCCTCCCCCATCACCCCCCTCTCTCCTCCCTCCACCACCCCCCGGCCCCCCCCCCGCAGTGAACAATTCGGTGGTGCTGCAGCCCTTCCTACGCGGCGCGGGAGCAGCAGGCGGAGGGGGAGGAGGAGGCGGAGGGGGAGGCGGGGGAGGAGGCGGGGGAGGAGGCAGCAAGGCGAGCAAGAAGCGGCGCAACAACCACAGCAGCGACGAGGAGGAGGAGGAGGTTGACGAGGACAGCGACAGCGACTGATCGGGTCAGGAGCGACTGATCGGGTCAGGAGCGACTGATCGGGTCAGGAGCGACTGATCCGGTCATGAGCGACTGATCGGGTCAGGAGCGACTGATCGGGTCATGAGGGGCGACAAGGCCGTGCACAGCTTAGGGCGCGGAGAGGTTTAGAAAGAGAGCAGTGCTTGGTCGCTTCACAATGGCGGCGTTGTTGGTGTTTGTGCATATATTGTTTTTGTACCATCATACTACCTACGATACGACTTGCCTAGGGGACTTGCCTGGCGTGACATGTGCAACTGCCGACCAGTTGATATACCGGTACGTGTGGCTTGTCGTCGGTCGTATGTTGGGATCAGGCTCAGAAGCAGCGCCGTAGTTACGGTAAACCCTTCCGATGCCAAGCAGGGTTAAGCGGTGGCCCGTAGGTTCTAAGGTTTGTAGTGGAGATCAGCTACTGGTACTACTTCGCTTCAGCTACTGGCAATACTTGGCTTCAGCGCAGCAGCCGTTAGGTTTGGTTTCTTGGGGCCGGCAGAAGGTTGCGTTGGAGTCCGGTATGTACAACGGCACGTTGGCAACTGAAGGTAGAACAGAAGGTATGTGTGTGGGCTTCAGGTCGCGCCCAACCAACGTTTACCGGTAGCACGAAAGGGCATCAGGACAGAGAAGGATCGAGGAGTCAGGCAATCTTGTTTTTAGGCGACTTGGTGTGTTGGTGCTGCTACTTTTATGTCTTTGGGAACACATCTATCTGCCTTTGAGCTGCAGGGGAAAAGGGTATAAGCCGTATGTTGAAGAAGTGTCGTAGTGACAGCAGTACGGCGCCCGAGATGACTCGTACCTTCATCTGCCTGCTATGGTGAACAAGCCTCCACATGGAACGCTTGCCGTACAACCAACACGCTGAGTTGCCGTACAATTTACACGCTATCGTTGCGAAGTAAAGTGAAACGTTGGTGCCCACTCGCCCCGTTTATTAATGCAATTAAATGTTTGCCGTGTTTAAGCGACGTGCGCAATGCCATGTAAACACCACCGAGCTGCCTAGAGCTGCCTCATACGTGGCGGTGGCCCGGTTACCCCGTTGTGGCCGGGGTGGGGCTGATCCCATCCCGTTTGCATGTGGGACCTATGCTCCTCACCATCTGGCTAGCTGCTACAGCAAGAATGGTTTGCATCTGGCCCTTCAGAAGGGCGACTGCTCCTTCGGCAGCACATGGTACGAGCGCTAGGCTGCTGCCGTCACTGACATGTTGGCTGGTCGGGCCAGCAAGGCAGATCCCTTTGCGCGTATACCCTTGGGACGCCTTGGTCATTAGCCCATGCGTGTTGGCCCCATTACCACATCTTCGAGGCAGAAGGACCTGGGGCCGAGAGCAGTGAAGGTTGCGACCGATTGCGCCGAGTGCAAGAGACGATGTATGGGAGAGCCTGTTCGACAGAAAGTGATAAGGCTTGAGCCTTGAGGAAGGGGCCATACGTGAAATGGGCGGTTACAGAACAGTTACTGCCCATCCAAAAGTCTGTTGGCGCTAAAAGCTGAAAAAACAGCAACTCCACCTTCACCGAAAGACGATTGGGGTAAATGCATGCTGCACTTTTAAATCTGCGACTTCCCAGCAACACAGTACAACGAAGTGTATGTAGTACAAGTGTACAACCAGCCAGCCGTACATACGGTAGGCTTACTACCAGGATGTCAGGCATCTGGATACCGGACTTTAATAAGCCCATGTACGGACTGCTATGCGTAGAAAATGATGCGTGCGTCCTTAAAAAGGTGGAGCATGCAGCACACACACGCAACTTAGCCAGAACCACAGCAAGTACACGTGTAGACCGGACCAGGAGGGGCCACACCTATCTAGCACCTGACGTGCGGGAAGCCCAAGTCACGTGGGCGCTGATGAGTGGTGGCTGCACCACCGGTCAGCACACCCCAAACAGAAGGCCACCAGTTAACCGAATGCAACGAGGGGTGGCTGGAACAACAACTACCTTACGTACACAGGAGCTATCAACCAACCTGATTGCATAACTAGACACGAAGAGGAAGGATACAGTGGTGTTTTTGCAAAGTACTTGCGTTGTAACGCTTGAGCCCAGCGTATGTACGGGAATCAACCTCTTGTCATCGAGGTCACACACCTCTCGTGGATAACTCTCCACGATGTTCCCTTCCCGGGAACGATACGGAAGCGACGGAAGCAGGCGAGACCGCAACATGCCGTATGCCAACGTACAACATGTCCGATGTCGGCGTATGTAGCACACCTCGCTGCCATTGGACCTCATTAAAGTCCCCCAATGAATCGAATGGGCCATGCATCATATCCGCGAACCTTCCGCCCCATCCTGCAGCAGACGTCCTGCCACCACTCCTCCACTAAACACTCCGTTACAATCCGCTCCACCTCTTTTCCCTTCCTCCCCGTCAACCCCTCACAACCAGCGTTCACAACATCCCACATCACCCGCAATCCCCTCACATCGACCGCCCCCTTGTCGCCCCCCTCCTTCTCGCTAAGCTGCGCTCCTCCCCCTCCTTTTCCTACCTCCCTTCCTCCCCTCCGGCCCCCACTATTCCTCCCCCTGCCCCGGCAGCTGCTGCCTCAGCTCCGCCAGCAGCCCCTCGAACCGCTCCTTCATGCCCTCCATCACACGAACAAACGCCTCGCCCTCCGAAATCATCTGCCGTACAACCTGTTCCGCAGCGGCTGCAGACCTGCCCGCGGCAGGCTGGGGCGGCTGGGAAGAGGGACCCGCAGCAGCAACCGTACCAGCCGTACCAGCAGCTGCCGCTGCTGCAGCTGCTGCTGCGGTGGTGGTGGCGGTGGCGGCGTCAGCCGGACCCATGCCTGCTGCTGTCAGCGGGGCCGCAGCGGTGTGCATGTCATTGGCCGCCGCGTTCAGAAGAGCTGCGGGTGCTGCTACTGCAACCGCCGCCGCCGCCGCCACTGCCGGCTGTACGGCAGCGTGTGTTGCCTGCACCGCGTCAGCCAGCGGAGCTGAGCCCACCCTCGCTGCCGAACCCACACCCGCCCGTCCGTCAGTGGCAGCGGCAGCAGCAGCAGCGGCAGCAGCACGAGCCTCCAACCGCGGGTCCTTGGGCGCCTGCCCGCCGCCACCACCGCCGGCACGAGCCTCCAACCGCGGGTCCCTGGGCCCCAACTCTATCCGGCCTGCCACCTGCTTCCGCCGCACTCCCCCGGCCCCGTAAGGCCCCCCATCACCCTCCTCACCGGGACCCGGGGACGGCCGCCGGCGCCGACCCCCCGCCAGGGCAACCAACAGCTCACCCAACGCCGTGTGCACTGCTAGCCCGCCCTGCCGGGCCCCCGCCACTGGCGCCTGCGAGTGCGGCTGCTGCGGCTGCTGCCTGTCCGGCGGAGCTAGCGGAGGCGGCAGCGGGGCCATCGGCGGCAGGTCGAGGCCGCAGAGCCGCGGGGTTGGGGTGCGCCCGTGTGGCTGGTCAGCGGGGGCGGGGTGCAGGAGCGGAGGCGCAGGGCGCGGGGGCGCCGGGAGTCCAGGAAGGCAACGCCAATCGGGCAGCGACTGCATCTGCCTCCACTGCTGACGCAGCTGCCGTTCGCCATCAAGCCAGTTCCCCTCCCTGCTGCTGCTTCCAGAGCTCCCAGCCCGTACAGCAGCCCCTGCCGCGTCAGGCTGCACGGCAGCCGCCGCTGGCACCGCTGCGGCGGCGGCAGCGCTCCCAGCCGGTCCAGTGGCAGCTGCGGGGGCGGCAGCGGCGGGGGCAACCCCCTGGCCGACTCCTGCCGGAGCGGCCTCAGAACCCCTGCCGCTGCTGCCTCCAGAACCCTCATCTCCTCCGCCCGCGCCTGCTGCAACAGCAGCCGCAGCCGCAGTACCCCTGCCGGCCGCATTGGAGTCCCTACCATTGGGGTTCCCTCGGAACAACCACCCGGCATTCGCCTCCTCCTCCTCCTCCTCCACGGCCTGCTCTGCAGTCCTGCGCCGCTTCGCAGCCCTCCGCAGCGGGGTACCCAGCGGCGACTCACCAACAACCAGCGGCAGCTCCGGGGCAACAGCCGCCCCGGCGGCTTCGGAATGCGCACGACGGCGCCGCTGCCGCTGCTCCTCCGATTGCCGCCCTCCGCTGCCCACCTGCTGCTGCTGCTGCTCCTCCTGCTCACGGCCATCCCGGCCATTTCCAAAGTCCAGCTCCCAGAGAGACTCGCTTGTGTCGCTGTTGCCTCGCCGCAGCGGCCAGGGTTGCTGTTGTGGCGGTGGCGCCGGAGGCGGTGCCGGCAGCACAGCGCCGCCCCCCGCACCCGCGCTAGCAATGCTCTGCCGCCGACCAGTGTCCGAGGCCATTGCTGCTGCTCCCGCCGCCTGGCCTGCCGCTGCTGCTGCTGCCGCCGCCGCCGCCGTGCGCGACGTAGTCGCTTCCCGTACCTCATTATAGCGCCTGAGTGCCGCCTCGGCCTCCCCCTGCCGGGCCCGCGCAGCCGCTGCCGCCCCCCTCCTGGCGCGGAGGGCCGCCGCCCGCGCTACTGACAGCGCCTGCCGCCTCGCGCTCATGGCATGCGAGTGCACGTCCGCCTCCGCCGCCCGCATGGCCACCTCCGCCGCCCGCAGTGCAACCTCCGACGCCCGCCTTCCCTCCGCCAACCTTTGTAAGAAATCCCTCCCAGTATCCACGCCGCCGCCGCCCACAGCAGCCGCAGCAGCAGCCGGCGGCTCAGCAGCAGCGGCGCGGCTGCTGGTGCTGCCGCCGTCACGTGCGGCCCCTGCACCTCTGTCCGCCGCTGCAGCCCCCGTCCTCCCGGCCCCTGCAGCATCTGCTGCTGCTGCTGCAGCGGGGGCAGCAGCGGCGGCGCTAGCGGCTGCACCCCACTGCTGCACTCCGGGAGCTCCGGCTGCTGCTGCTGCTGGTGCATCCCCGGCAGCGGCGGCAGCAGCGGCCAGGGCGCCACCCGGTACGCGTACCTCCTCCTCGTCTTCGTCCCCCACCAGCATCGGCTCCACCCGCCACCCATAAGCCAGCCTAACAACACCCGCCTCCTCCTCCTCCTCTGCAGGAGCCGCGCCGGCGGAGGCGGCGGTGCCATCTCCAGGACCCCGCGGCCGCGGCGTGTCAGTCCTTAGCCCCGAGCGACGCTGTACACGCTTCATGGCAACCATCCTCCGAACGCCCAGATTTGGGAAAGCGCGGTTCATCCTGTGTTCCCGCTCTTGCTCCCGCTCCGGCTGTTGCTCTTGCTCCGGCTCCCGCTCTCCCACCCTGCCTCCCGCCAGCTCTAGCATGGCCGTGAAGTCGCGCATGCGCTGTGCCACGCCAGCAGCCAACGCACCAGCCGCACTGCTGCCGCCGCCGGCGGCCATGGCGGCAGTGCCGCCGTTCCTATCGCCGCCGCCCTCGGCATTGAGTGCCGTACGGTCCACACGGTTGGCCGTTTGCGGTTGGGCGTCATCGCTACGGCGCACCCCACCTTCACCGTCACCTTCACCGCCGCCGGCGCCATCCACATGCGATCCCCCGTCCCTTCGCTCCGCCTTCGCCGCAACCAATTCACGCTCCACTGCGTCCACCCGCTCCTCCCTCTCCGTCCTCCTCCGGCGCAGGAGGCCGTCCAGGAAGTCCAACTCCGCCTTGACACGCGCCTCCTGGGCCCCCTGGGGCGCAGCAGGCCGCACTGCCGCCGCCGCCTCAGCCGCAGGGACAGGGGCAGGTTCTCCTTCCGCAGGTTCAGTAGCAGCGGCAGCAGCAGGTGCCGGGCCGGCTTGTGCTGCGTCTGCCCATCGCACCGTCAGCCCGCGACCACGGGCCAACCGCAAGGGGGACTTGGGATGACCCGGCGGGTCGGCTGCAGCTGCAGCAGCGGGCGGCTGGCGTGCTTCCGATTCGGGTGCCTGCATGGCAAGGTAAAAGGGAACGGGGAAGTGAATAGAGGTGTGGCCAAGGTGGTAATGATTGTCCCCGCGAAAGGGCGGGTCGAGGAGGAAGCAGAGGCTGAGCAGTACCGCGCAAGGGACTCACACTCGGCGTGCGAGCATGATTATGCATTGGAGCTGCGCCTCG